TAATAATAATAATAATAATAATAATAATCCCGGCATTTGACCCGGCGCCTTATCGCGTCGTCGAGACTTCTCAAAGCGCTTCACAGGACACGTTGTAAAGTGAAGTGACTGTGTGTTTTGTGGGCGAACCGCGGCAGCCAATTGCGCCCCCGGCGACGTCCCCGCAAACAGCCGTGGGTCGAGCGACCGAATTATTATTATTATTGTTTCGAAGGGATTATTATCCCCCGGGAAAGCAATTCCCCACTCGACTGACAAGCGAGTTCCTATTGACTGCGGGTAAACAGAGGCACGCGTGTGTGTGCGTGCGTGTGCGTGTGTGGGGTGGGGTGGGGGGAGCGGGGAGGTAAGGAAACTTGCCTTAGGTTTCGCCCCCCAACCCGACCCGCCCGGGAATCGAACCCGGGTCCTCTCGCTTGCGAGGCGCGGGGTCTAACCCCTGAGCCACGGGACAGTTAACGTGGGGAGTGGGGGTCAGAAGGGGGAACACTGTAAGGTTTGCCAGGACGAGACTTCACCCAATACGGGCGGTGTGAACGGCAAATCTTTTAATGTCGCGCGGCACCGTAATTATATCGTTAAGTGACGTTACAGCAGCGAAACCCATATCACCCGACTCCATTGGGGGAGAAGCCACCGACCACCGTCTCCTCACGATGATTCCAACTGTTCCGAAGTCACATCTTTCCTTGACGTGTGTCTAACGCCGTCTCAACCTGGTCACGGAGAGAGAGAGAGAGAGAGAAAGAGGGGGAGAGAGGGAGAGAGAGAGACCCCACCCTTCGCGGGATCTCTCTCTCTCTCTCGTCCGGGAAAATAACTGATGAGGAGAAGGAGATACGGAGAACTGATTGGGACTCGTTCTGTCTTTGCAGATCCTGGTTCCTGAAAGGAACCCACGACTTGAGGCACACGGTCCTTCAGCCCCGACAGGTCAAAGCCACACAGGTAAGCCCCCACCCCACCCCCCGACCCACCCCCACCCCTCCCACCGTCGCATCCCAGGGCCTGACCCCCACAATTGTTTCCCCAACCCAACCCCCAACAGTGACTCAAATCCCTTCAATCTCTGGTACCTCCTTCCCTACCTCTACCGACCTGGTAAACACCTCCTCGCCCCCACCACCAACACCCCTGCCTCCGCTCGGCTGGCTCCGGTCTCCTGCTTGTCCCTCGTTGCCCCCCCCACCACCCCGCTCCACCATCAACGGCCGGACTTGCAGCCACAACGCCCCGAAACCGTGTCACCCTCTCCCCCTCGCCCCCCACACAACCCCTCCGCCTCGCGCCCCCTTCCCCGCTTCCTCATCTTGAGGTCACGCCTCAAGACCTTCCTCTTCGACGGTCACCTCCCCCCTCTCCCCCTCTCCCCCCCCCCCCCGTTCTCCTATACTGTCAAGCGCTCTGGGGCGCTGCCCTGCTTGAGGGGTCGCTGTAAACCCAGTGTGTGGCCCTCTCGTTCGCAGAAGCCAATGTTGACGGACTCGGTCAGGAACAGTTTCCACCTGATGCAAATCCGCCACCTGGAGAGGAAACTGGTGCCCATGACGCAGAGGTCAGTTGCCCACCTCGCAAGCGGGTACAGGGAGCCAGAGAGAGGGAGAGAGACACACATAGGCACAGAGAGACACACAGAGAGAGACAGACAGAGAGAGAGAGAGAGACACACAGACATAGGCACAGAGAGACACACAGAGAGAGACAGACAGAGAGAGAGAGAGAGTCACAGACACACACACAAATAGGCACAGAGAGACACACAGATAGAGACAGACAGAGAGAGGGAAAGAGAGAGACACACACACACATAGGCACAGAGAGACACACAGAGAGAGACAGACAGAGAGAGAGAGAGAGAGTCACAGACACACACACACATAGGCACAGAGAGACACACAGAGAGAGACAGACGGACAGAGAGAGAGAGAAAGAGTCACAGACGCACACACACACATAGGCACAGAGAGACACACAGAGAGAGACAGATGGACAGAGAGAGGAGAGAGAGTCACAGACACACACAGACATAGGCACAGAGAGACACACAGAGAGAGACAGACGGACAGAGAGAGAGAGAGAGTCACAGACACACACACACATAGGCACAGAGAGAGAAACAGAGAGAGAGAGAGAGACGGACAGAGAGAGAGAGAGAGTCACAGACACACACAGACAGACAGAGAGAGAAATAGACAGACAGTGAGTGAGAGTGACACACAGAGAGAGAGAGACGGGCACAGATGTGATGGTCACAGACAGGCGGTGAGGGGTGTGCGGGTGGTACATGTGGGTGTAATGTGACGCCTCTCATTCAGGTTACAAACCAGAGATCTCAACCCAGAGGAGACTTCGCTACCCAGAGAATTACTGGAGGAGTCACCCAGCAGGTACCTCCCTCCCTCCCTCCCTCCTCCCTCCTCCCTCCCTCCCTCCCTCGCTCACTCTCTTTCTCTCACTCCCTCGCTCAGTCACTCACTCCCTCATAGTCAGTCAGTCAGTCAGTCAGTCGTCAGTCCCTCCTCACAGATACTCACTCACTCACTCACTCACTCGCTCACTCGCTCACTCACTCGCTCACTCACTCGCTCGCTCACTCACTCACTCAACTCACTCAACTCACTCACTCAACTCACTCACTCACAGTCACTCAACTCACAGTCACTCAACTCACTCTCGTCCCCGCAGCGACCTGACCTTCCAGAAACTGGCGCTGGTGCTGATGGCCGACGAGGATGAAGATGCCGGCCATGATGAAGAGAGGGTGTGAGCCGGGCCGAGCGGAGGAGCCTGTCCTGGACGTCCTGGACCATTTCTCCAGAGCGTGACAGCCGGGAAGGAATGTGCCGCCGTAGTGTTAGCGAGAGCGGCCACGTCGCCAGGGATCGGGAATAATCCCTACAATAATCCCGGCGTTTGAGACGGAGCCTCATCACGTCGTCGAGACGTCTCAAAAGCCCTTCACAGGACTATACCGTAGAGCGTAGTGACTGCGTGTTTTCCGGGTGACGCACCGGAAAGCAAAGCTTTGTTGTCGCTGTTGTGGCCTTCACCCCCCCCCCCCCCACCCCCCACCCCCACTCCACGGCTTTTCGTACCTCCCCGATTCAACTTGGAAGGACAGGATGGGGTGGGTGTCGGGTGGGGGAACCGTGGTTAGGGCCCTCGCCTCGCAAGCGAGAGGTCCTGGGTCCGATTCCTGGGCGGGACAGGTCGGGGCGAAATGTATTCCACACCCACACAGGGATCCCCCAATTGGGGGATCACTTTTCCGGGGGTAATAATCCCTTCAACAATAATAATAATATCGTCACTCAATCCACGGCTGTTTGTGGGGACGTCGCTGGGCGCAGTTGGCTGCCGGGTTTCGCCCACACAACGCACAGTCACTGCACTTTACAGTGTGTCCTGTGAAGCGCTTTGGGACGTCTCGACGACGAGATTAAGGCGCCGGGTCAAATGCGAGGATTATCAGCATTATCGGCCGCTGCCGACAGCTCACAACATTGACGACTCTTAAGGCGTGTAGTGAGAAGTGCAGTGAGGTTGTCCTCACCACCGGGAGCCTCGTGCGGAGCCTGGAATGAAGTGACATGTGAGATGGATGTTGGGTTTGGTTCCTACTTCAGGGAAGAGAACATATTTTGTGCTACGTCCCGGCTTCTGTGGACGGGATCGCATCTCAAACACCAGTAAGCACCGGCAACCTCAGATGGGGAACAAGCCCCTGGTGTGTCGGGATGCCTGGCCCTATCCCCGGTAAAACGCCAGGAGATGAGCTCCTCCACCACAGCAGCAGGTGGTCAAGGCGTCCGGTAGAGCACTCGCCTCGCCAGCGAGAGGGAGATCTGGGTTCGATTCCCGAGAGGGCAAAATTCTGGTTACGTAGGCAGACCTAGAAACAGGAGGAGGCCATTCAGCCCCTCGAGCCTGTTCTGCCATCTTATAAGATCATGGCTGATCTGTACCTCAAATCCAATTGCCTGCCTTTGCCCCATATCCCTCGATCCCCTGACCTAACAAACATCCGTCCATCTCAGCCTTGAAGATATGAACGGATCCATCCATAACCCACAACCTTTTGGGGGAGAGAGAGAGAGAGAGAGAGAGAGAGATTCTCACGAACTCTTTGGGTGAAAAACTCCTAAAATGGCGTGGCTCGGATCTCAAGATTATTTGTTGTGATCTACTCTCTTCACGGACAGGAAGGACCCATTGTGGGTCGAGCATCTGACACCTAACTGTCCCCGTGCAAACAGTCCTGTTGCGATATATAGGTGTGTGCAAAAAAAAAACGTTGATGTACAACTATTTGTAATAATAACGTGATTTGTTGTTCGTCTTACACTGATCACCAAACAGTGGTGTATGTGTGTGTGTGTGAGTGTGTGTGTCAGTGTCTGTGTGTGTGTGTGTGTGTGTGTGGGGGGGGGTGGGGTGGGGGAGTAAGGAAACTTGCCAAAGGTTTCGCCCTAACCTGACCCGCCCGGGAATCGAACCTGGGACCAAACCCCGCGCCCCCATCACCCCAGTCCTTTGCCAGGCTCCCTCTTCCAAAGAGCTTCGCGGGATAGCCTGTAAAGTGCAGTGACTGTATATTTTGTGGGCGTAACCGGGCAGCCAATTGCGCACGGCAGCGTTTCCCCACAAACAGTCGTGCCGTTGAGTGGCCGTATTTATTATTATTAATAATTATTAGCTAATAATCCGACAGCTCCACAAAATTACCGCGCTCGCCTCCTTAAAATTAGAGCAGTCCGCGCGTGCGTCCCATGGTAACTTTATCCTCGTTGACCACGACTGTTCCGAGGTAGAAAAGGGGATGTGTGAGCAGACGCCGGAGGTAACTAATGACTCAGTTGGTTGTGGGATGAGTTTGATGAGCGAAAACAGCTCAGGGCTAAGGTAAGACAAATGAATATAAGGTAACGATGCGTGAAAGACGTGTAGCGATTGGACAACCGTTGGTGTAGATTGTGGACCGCAACTGGTTGATAGCTGAAAAATTGAGGAAAGAGAGATGAACACAAGGCACGAATACATGTTCGTTCATGTGTATAAATATCAGGCACAAAGTGGTCTAGTTTCACCCGGGAAAGAAGGCAATCAGAAGCCACTGTGATAAGCAGAAGATGCTCTTGTAACTCCTTATTCTGTTCCCTGCGTCGGTAAGTGCGACTTTTGGTTCAATTAATATCGCCAGAAAACGTTTGCGATTCACACAAACTGTGTGAGGTTGATTAACATTTCGTTTTGGTTGTACGGGCGTCTGACACGCACGGAAACCCCTCACCGTGACCGGCCGGGCGTCTGACACGCACGGAAACCCCTCACCGTGACCGGCCGGGCGTCTGACACGCACGGAAAGCCCTCACCGTGACCGGCCGGGCGTCTGACACGCACGGAAACCCCTCACCGTGACCGGCCGGGCGTCTGACACGCACGGAAACCCGTCACCGTGACCGGTCGGGTGTCTGACATGCATGGAAACCCCTCACCGTGACCAGCCGGGCGTCTGACACGCACGGAAACCCATCACCGTGACCGGCCGGGCGTCTGACACGCACGGAAACCCCTCACCGTGACCGGCCGGGCGTCTGACACGCACGGAAACCCATCACCGTGACCGGCCGGGCGTCTGACACGCACGGAAACCCATCACCGTGACCGGCCGGGCGTCTGACACGCACGGAAACCCGTCACCGTGACCGGCCGGGCGTCTGACAGCTCCACAAAATTGTGGAGAGCATTAGGCGCAGGTTGGGCGAGAGCCAAGGCTTTGGGGGTGGGGGGGGGGTGGAGAGCCCAGAGTGTGCGTTGGGGTAATTGCTGGGGTCTAACCAACTAAACCCACACACAGCTCGGCCATCAAGAGAGAGAGAGAGCGCTGTCTGGCCGAGCGTTCCCGCTGATGTCCAGTTGGATAATAGGGATTTCCAGATGGGTTTTTACATCGGAACAAAAATAATTTGATGATAGTAAAGACCCCAATAAATCCTTGGCACCAATGATGGACTATCCATTGGCGTAGATGGTGAAGGAAGATGATTTAGTCCAAATGGATCACAAGATATTGTTCGGGACCAATGGATGTCTTGTGTGTGTGTCCCAGGTATAAGTAAGTGTTGGTGCTCACACCTGGGGAACCTTCTACCTGCAGCTGAAGTCGGAGACAGACTCGCAATGATGTACCGACTGACACTGCTCATCCTCCAAGTCTCTGCCGCGCTCTCTGTAAGTTTCCTTTTAATTTTCTTTTCATGAGCGTAAAGTCGACGTCGTTTTCAAAGCATAATATTCCACAAAACACACACTCACTGGACTTTACAGCGTGTCCGGCGAAGCACTTTGAGACGTCTCGAAGACGTGATGAGGCGCAGTGTCAAACGCCAGGACGATTATTGTAATAATAATAATAATCCTTGCATTTGATATAGCGCTGTTCACGTCTTCTCGACGTCTCAATGGAGAATAATCACAGAATATTCTGTAAAGTGTAAGGAAACTTGCCCAAGGTTTTGCCCTGCCGGGAATGGACCCAGGTGTCTCGCTTGCGAGGCGAGTGCTCTAACCACTGAGCTACAGGACTCCATATTACTATTATTATTATTATTATTCCATATCCTAACCACCCTACTTGTGAAAAACAATCTTACCTCCCCACTACCCGTTTAATAACTATCTTTAAATTGATACCCTCCAGTCACCGACCAGTGGACATAATTTCTTCCCTATTCTCTCGAAACCTCTCATTTTAATGACATCTTTCTTTGTTTCCCAGTTCCCAATTCCCAGTTCCTCCCACATCCGCTCCTCAGCCGAACGACTCATCCCTGGTATCACCCCTTACGCCCCTGTTAATATTTCATCACATAATAATAACTTGTACGCTACAAATGGGAATGATTTTCCTGTTGTTCCCAGGCGATGGTTGGCAACAGGACAATCGAGAGAGATGTAAAGTGTGTTTGTTCTGTGGTGATGCCAGACAACATCTTCCCGGTGGAGCGAATGGAGTACTTGGAAGCCACGTCGCAGAACCTCAGCACCAGTGTGCAAACGGAGACCCTCAAGGTACACACGTTGACGGTATTTTTAGGTCCATGATCCCTTACTGCAACGGTTAACTGCAGTCGGACACGGAGTAAAGGCCATGCGGACAAATGTGATAATAATAATAATAATAATAATACTCCTGGCATTTGCTGCAGCGCCTTATCACGTCTTCGAGACGTCTCAAAGCGCTTCACAGGATATATTGTAAAGTGTAGTCTCTGTATATTTTGTGGGCGAAAAGCGGCAGCCAATTGCGCACAGCAGCGTCCCCACAGTCGTGGATTGAAGTGAGCAATTTATTATTATTATTATTTTTGAACGAATTATTACCACCAATCGACTAACAACCGGGTTCCTACTGACTGCTGAATAAACAGAGGTGTGTGAGCGCGTGTGTGTGGAGTAAGGAAACTTGCCCCAAATTTGTCCCTGCGAGGAATCGATCCCGGGGCCTCTCGCTAACCACTGAGATCCAGGTCTCCACTCCGCTGCTTAAGAGGAGTAACGGTTGGGGGTGACCAAAGTATTGATAAAGATACCCGTTGGTTACTCAGGTGCAGATGTACGGTCAGACTCTCTCGCTGTACACGCAGCAGCTGCAGAACCTGACCCTCCGGTTGCAGGCGATGGAGTCGGGGGCCGGGTATACGGAGCTCCAGTTTGACGCGCTGAGAGTTGAGATCCAGGAGTTACTGTCACTCACCAGCCAACTGCGGTCAACAGTGAACGGCAGCGAAGCCATCATCGAGCGGCTTCACTTTCAGGTCAGTAATCAATCAATCAATCAATCAATCAATCAATCAATCAGTCAGTCAGTCAGTCAGTCACCAGCCAATCAATCAAATAATTAACCAACCAAGTACCCCACCCTCACCCCAACACTCCACCCATACACCCTAAACCCCACCCACACCCCCTAATACCACACCCCCATACCCCAAACCCCCCCCCCTAACGCCCCGCCCCCACACCCCAAACGCCACCCGCACCCTAACCCCCACCCACACTGACCCCCGGGCCTGTTGCAGATCAAGAACATGTCAACCACCGTGGACCAACTGGAGACGTTCGATAAACATAATGTGCTGGGAATCCGTCAAGAGATCAAGGTCCTGAAGGCACAGCAGAAGAAGTGTGAGGCCAATCAAGGGCTGAAGCCTTCCCAAGTTAACTTTGGTCAGTCAGCGCTTCCAAATTCAATTATAATATTAATAACAATTCTTGCATTTGACCTCATCACGTCTTCGAGACGTCTCAAAGCGCTTCGCGGGATACACTGTAAGGTGTCGCGACTGTACAATTTGTGGGCGAAACGCAGCAGCCAACTGCGCCCCCAGCGACGTCCCCACAAACAGTCGTGGGTTGAGTGACCAAATTACAGTGCAGTCGGTGGAAGTCCAGACCAGAGTTGGGACTCTGCAATGGATCGGCTTGAGCGTCAGTAATAAACACACGTTTCTTTTTTTTTAACACGCCCCGCAGGGAGCTGTGACCACGGAGGCCTCTTGAACGTCCGTGGGCCCAACGTGGTGCAACTGAACTGGAGAGGAATTGGCTGCACATCTGGGGCGTGGGGCAGAGATCCCGCACCTCTGCCCGGGAAAGGCGGTCAATATTGGGTGGCACCTCTCGAGAGTGACCGCCGGGCATTTAATTCATACAGACTCTATTCTTCGTACAATGACCTGCTCCTGTCCAGGAACCCGGTGAACGTACAGCTGAGATCTTCCTCGTACACTGGTCAGGGCAGTGGGATGGCTATGTACAAGAATTACCTGTATTACAACTGCTACAATTCTCGGTACATGTGTAGGATGAACAGAGACACATATCGGACGCAGAGGACAATTCTCAACAACGCGACGTACAACAACCGCTTCTCGTTCTCCAGCGGTTCCTACCACGACTTTGACTTTGCCGTGGACGAGAGCGGGCTGTGGGTGGTCTACGCCACGGAGGCAAGCGATGGGAACATGGTGGTCTCCAAGATTAACGACACCTCCTTTACCGTCGAGGAGAACTGGGTCACCAACATGTACAAACCTTCCGTCTCCGGCACCTTCATGATCTGTGGGGTGCTCTACGCCATGAGGTCTCAGAGCACTCGCCTGGAAGAGATATTCTACACCTTCGACACCAAAGACGGTCAGGAAGCCATGATCAGCGTGAAGATGGAGAAGATGTTGGAGAAGGTATCGAGTGTCACCTACAGCCCGTCTGATCACAAGCTCTTTGTGTACAATCAAGGCAATCAGATGACCTATGATGTGGTCTTCAGGCCTAAAGGCTAACCCTCGGGCTCCCGTGAACACACGCTACGTCTACACAACCTTTCTCCTGGGGTGGAAACCATCGAGTCACTACCCTGCAAAGTGAATAATAATCCTCGCATTCGACACGGCGCCTTATCGTGTCTTCGAGACGCCTCAAAGCGCTTACACAGAATAGGCTGCAAAGTGAACTGACTGCATATTGTGTGGGTGAAACGCGGGCGGCAGCCAACTGTGCCCCACAGCGTCCCCACAAACAGTCGTGGATTGAAGTGACCAAATTATTATTCTTTTTTTAAGGAATTATGAACCCCCAGAAAAGCGACTAACAACTGGGTTTCTGCTCACTGTTGGGTAAACGGAAGCGTGTGGAGTAACGTTCCCAACGTCTCGCCCTACCCGCCCGGGAATCGAACCCGGGTCCTCTCGCTTGCGAGGCGAGTGCTCTAACCGCTGAGTTAACAGGACTCAATGACGTCTCTTGGCTTCATTCACTCTATTCTTCCGACTCTGCTTATTAAAGAGATTTATTAGATCTGTATCCGGGCCTCTTGTCTGTTAATATAAACACTTTTACACTCACTCGACACAGCACTTCCAGGTTTCCGCACGTTGAGGGCTGAGAGTAACAGAGAGGCTGAGGGTGACAGGTCAGAGCCTGACACACGCAGGAAGTCATTTGTTATTTAAATAGGGAAAAAAAAAAGCTGCGGGGAATGAAAAATTGCCCGATCTACAATAAATTTCACCACAGCGGTGCTCGGTGGCCTTGAGCAATGCAAACCAGACGTGGAGATGTATTAGAAGGTCAATACCGAGCCAAAATAATGGGGTTAATCCGAACACTTTATAAATCATTGGTGCGGCCGTACTTGGAATACTATGTGCGGGTCTGGTCGCCGCAGAACAAAAAGGATATTGCAGCGATTGAGAGGATACAGAGTGTGTGTGTGTGTGGGGGGGGGCAACCAGAATGATTGAGGAGATGGAGGGATTGGATTAAGAGGAGCAATTAGTATTGTACAGCGCAGAAGAAAGCCATTCGGCCCATTGTGTTTGTTCCGGCTCTTTTAAAAGAGCTTCCAAATCAATCCCACTCCCCGCCCCGTTTTCTCCCCGTAGCCCTGCAAACTTGTCCTCCCAAAATAATTGTCTGGTTCTGGATAAGATTAGATTAGATTAGATAAACTGGGCATGTTCACGCTGGAGAAGAGGAGGTTGAGCTGCGATATGATTGCGGTCTGTAAGATTCTAGACCGTGATAAGCTGTTTTCAGTCTTGTCCAGAACAGTAGACCCGCGTCTGTCTGACCCCGGTCCATGTTGGGGTTCGCTGGTGAAGCATTTTGTGACCTCCTCCTGACGCGAAAGGCACCTGTATCACAAGTAGTGATCACTGCCTCAAACAACGTCGTTGTGTACTGTCTTCGGTGAACAGTCTCACATCTCGAACACTGGGGGCGGGGGGCGGGGATGGGGGGGGTGGGAATGCTTTAGCTGGGGCGCCAGCCCTTGCCAACGTCGGGCTGCCTTGCTCTGTCTGGTGCAGTAAAAAATGGACGAGGACACAGAAAAAAGGAAAGCGTCAGCAGAGTTTAACTAGTTTATTTGAAAATGCCTCGCAACACCTGCTCTCCACACCTCCCTCCCTCCCTCCCTCCCTCACGTACTAACAGATGAGAAGAAATGTCACTTTTATTAGAGCCTCCTCGCTTGGCAAAGTTCCAGCATTGTTAGTTGGCCTATTTATTGCCCCCCCCCTTTGAAATTTGCAGCTGGACAACAACTGCGACAGCAGTTTAGTGGTGGGCGTAAGTGCAGATGGGAGCGGTCTCTCCTAACACATCAAAAGATAAACTGTAGCCTTGTTAGCAGCGCCAACGCAGAACATTTGAAACGAACATTTAAAGCCATTGAGAGCCGAGCGCTGAGAAAAGGCCACGGGCTGAGAATTTAGCCGCATTTATGAATGCTTCCCGTCAGCGAAGCCGCATTCAACGTTGTCTGCAGAGAAACCAGGTTTAGGAACACTCCTCTCGAAAACCTTTGCAGAAAATAGTCTTTGCTCCTAGCCGTGAGGTGTGCAAGACTGATAATAGTAATAATAATAATAATAATCCTTGCATTTGACACAGCGCCTTATCACGTCTTCGAGACGTCTCTCAAAGCTCTTCACGGGATAAATGAAATGACTGTGTATTTTGTGGGCGAAACGCGGCAGCCAATTGCCCGCAGCAGCGTCCCCACAAACAGCCGTAGGTTGATTTGTTGGCGTAAATCAATTTAGTTGTTCTAATTTATTGTTACAAACGCAGGTCGTTGTCAGACTGCAGCAGCAGAGGCTTCTCTCTCAGGGGGAGGTAGAAAGACTGTGAGTGTCTGAGGCTGAAGAAAGGGATGAGTGAGTGAGTGAGTGAGTGTTGGAGCACTAGTTACCGTCTCTTAATGCCTTCGGGCGGTGGTGAAACTTTACGCACGCCGGTTCCCCGCTGCGGACGTTCGAGTGGGTGAAATTCTCAAGAGGTTATATATTGCGATCGATCGGAGTCGAGAGACCGGAAACGTTAAAACTCAGCTGCGGATTCTACTGTGGAAATACGGGAGTCATTCTGGTTCGCTGGTGCCAGACCAGAATAAAATAGGAAGCCTCGGTTCTGGGGAGACACGTTATACAGCAGCAGGCTAAGGCACTTGGTTTCAATCTTAGATTTTATCCCCACATTCCCCGCCCTCCCCCCCCCCCCACCACCACCACCACTTTCCGCAAACCCCCACCCCCCAAAATATGTTTTGTTTTTTCTCTCTGATATGTACTGAAGTATAAATGTGGTCTCGCACACGCGCGGGCGGGCGGGCGGTCGGTCGGGCGGGTGGGCTCGTTGGCTGCGCGAAAACTGGTTCCCACATCATCAAGTGCTGCCCAGGTTTAAACCTCGTCTCTACGATGAGATCTACTTCGGGTGCTTTGCCCCTTTACGGCGGGCCGGGGGCACCGAGGGAAACCGTGGCAGCTGCGAGCGGGGAACGGGGTTGGGACTTGCGGCTCGGATCCACAGGAAGCGCAGCATTCCCACCGCTCCGGTGCTTTATGCCAGCTGGTCCTCGTACTGTTTCCGGAAGCAATCCCCGGCCGGGAAGAAATCCCAGCAACGTTCCTGATACATCTTCCACACGTAAGATTCCTGCAATAATAATAATCCTCGCATTTGACCCAGCGCCTTATCACGTCGTCGAGACGTCTCAAAGCGCTGCACAAAATAAATGCGGAGTGTAGTGACTGTGCATTTTGTGGGTTAGAACACACTCGCGTTCAAATCCTTTCACTCCCTGGTACCTCCCTAACTCCCTCTCCGACCTCCTCACTTCACCACCCGGTGCCTACGCTCGACTGGCACCGGTCTCCTGTTTGTTCCTCGCACCACCTGCCCCACCATCGGAGGTCGCGCTTTCAGCCACTGCGTCTCTACCTCCGCCTGACCCCCTCTCTCCCCTTTTTCTAATCCCGCCTGGAAAGCTTTCTTTTCGACTGTGCTTATGGTCAAGTGCTCCGAGACGCCATCTGGCGTGGAGGGCGCTATGTAAATCCAAGTTGTCGTTGTTGTCACCTCCTGCCCCCCCCCCCCCCAGCTCGGAGTCAGGCTCCGGCACTGTTAAGCGCTCTGAGACACTACCCTGGGTGGAGGGCGCTATATAAGTGCAAGTTGTTGCTGTAGAGGGGGCGGGAAGGAGAGGGGTTTGGGATGAGGACAGATGGCTGATTAGAGGTGCAAATAACGGGCCAAATGGCCTCCGACTGGGTTGGTCCAAACATGTCTAGGACTTTTTGCAGTAATTGCTACAGAGAGCAGTGATGTGGCCCCTCACGTACCTGACCCGTGTGCTCCGTCTCATCCTTGTTGATCAGGTACATGAGGAAAAACCTGCAATACAGGAGGTGGGTTTGAAATGGAATCCACAATAGGACGTTTACCACAACAACAAAATGACGTTTACACAGAGCTTTTCATGTCGGGAGGACGTCCCAAGGCGCTGGACAGTCAGCGTTTCGGACCCGAGCCGGGGGTCGGGATCGGGGAGGGGGGAAGGTGGGCGGGCGGGCGGGGGGTGTTAGGAGGGTGATCAAAAGCACGGTCGAAGAGGAGGGTCTTGAGACGGGTTTTGAAGGAGGCAAAGGAGGGGGTGAGGTGGAGTGGGACAGACACTGAGCTACAGTGCTCCACAAATCAAAGCCTAGACGAGGGCAGACACTGGGTGGGGTCCCACTGGGTGGGGGTTATAAATAGACATCCACCATCTCCGCTTGGGCACCGCCTGGAAACAGTATCTTACATGTAATTTGCCAAATTGTGCTCTTCCAAAGTGTGAGTTTCAAACCCGTGTGGCGTTGTGTCGAAGTAATCGCTGCCGATTCCACAAATGAAGCACTTGGTCTGTTAAAGCAGAACAGGGGTTAGCATAACCGCGACGGCAAGCCAGGCTAGCAACACGACATCACCGTCACCCCGACCTACAACGCCCAGATTGAGGACATCGATTCCACAAACCGACAGTTAACAATATTTCTGGCAGCATCGCATCTGCCGGGAGAGGAAAATGAAGTTAAAAGTTTCAGGTCGATAACCTCGTGTACAGAACAGAGAGGAAGGGGTCAGAAATTGGCTGAGGTGGAGCAAGTAGGGGTGAAGTGGAGGTTGAATTCGCTTAAGATGAGAGGTCGCATTCGCTCGGAAGGTAGAACGCAGGAGGTGTCTGAGAGGAAAGTCTTTGAAGGGCTGGGGAGACGGTATAGGATTGGAAATTTTCGGGGGGGATTGAAGGGATAGTAAAGTGTGAGGTTGCCTAATGGTTGGATTTAAAGTGCTCGTAATGTGCGACTTGAAACTCTTCCCACCTCCATGTCCTCTTTGACTTGCTCCTGTTGATCTCTCAGTTCTCCAAAGGCGTCTATGATCAGACCTGTGCGAAGAGATAAATCCAAATCCACTCATGACTCTCCCACCTCAGTAGGTGTGAACCCTAAACCTGTGAACTGCGTTATAATAATAATAAAGATCCTGGCATTTGATACAGCGCCTTATCAAGTCTTCGAGACGTCTCAAAGCGCTTCACAGAATATACTGTAAAGTGAATTGACTGTGAATTTTGTGGGTGAAACGCGGCAGCCGATTGCGCGCAGCAGCGTCCCCACAAACAGTCTGTTGGAAAATGATGAATCAAAATTATAATCGTTAAAGTTACTAACTGTGCTTATGTGAGTTAAAACGGCTGAGACAACCGTTTTACACTTGTACTAACAAGTTGCTTTGTCTCAATAAAAAGCAGTCAGTCAGTGGAATGTCGGAGTAAGATAGCAGATAGCTTCGAGAGGAGAGTAGGCTGTCACGCGCTGTAGTGACAAGGTAGTCAGACATTCCTTTAAAACTAAGTAAAACAACCCTATCCTCCTGTAAACATCTGCCAATTGTTTTCCCCAGTCGGGGACAGGCACTGGCCTTGGGAGGAAGGGAGCTGCCAGGCGCTGAGGATTGATGCAAATTGCTCTGTATCAGAAGCCCCGGTTATCTTTGCAAAGGAGAAGTCTGGCGCCAACCATACAGTGCAGACATGATCAATTCGCCATTGGTCAAATGAGCAACACGTGTGAAGCCTGATGTGTGGTGGGCCTCTGATTGGGGGAACTAAGGGGAAGAACCCTTAGGCCGTATGGTATAACGGCCCCTGGTGTTAAGCAAGTTGGGCAGCAGATTCAGCCAAGTGAAGAGGTGCAGAGGTGCAGGCTTATTGTATAAGCATTAACCTATCGGCTTTGTATGTATTATCCTAATCAATAAATCTTTATTACACATTTATTGGATTGTCGGGTCATTAGTCGAACCTGGGGATCAGAAATCCCAACAAGTCGTGGATTGATTTATTGTCATAAATCAATTTAACTGTTATAATTTATTGTTATAAATGCAGGTTTTGTCAGTCTGCAGCAGCAGAGGCTTCTCTCTCAGTCAGGGGGAGGTAGAGAGCCTGAGATCTTGCTGTACATACCCTGGATGATGGCCAGAAGGATGACAATGACGAAGAAGAAGAAAGTGATGTCGAAGACAACTCGGTATAGCTCATATTCGTCCCCAGCCGGGTCTTCAATCTCGTCGCCAATGCCACCTCCAGCTCGCACGCCCACGTACATGTGGAACAGGTAGCACTGTGGGTACAGAGAGGGGAGATAGGTTAGTAGCAGCTCCCACTCACGGAACATCCCGACACAGGCCATCCAGGCTCCACGTCCACAGCTCCACAGATTTCTGAGCTTCGTAGACTCTGAGCTACGTGCACTGCAAAAGGAGCTCATTCAGGCCTTCAACCACTCTGCCCCCACCCTTTGGAACTCCATCCCACAGTCCCTCTGTCTCACTCCTTCCCTCCCTCGCCTCCTTCAAGATCCGTCTCAAGAACCTCCTCTTTGACCAACTACGCCTTCGGTCACCCTCCCACCCCCCAAACCCACTCCTGATCTCAACTCCACCTTGGGTGCGGATCCCCGACTGTCCAGGGCCTTGGGACGTCCTCCTGACCTGAAAAGCGCTGCGTAAATGTGATAATAATAAATAATAATAATCCTTGCATTTGATATAGCGGCTCATCGCACCGTTGAGACGTCTCAAAGCATTTCACAGAATATCCTGTAAAAAGTAGTGACTCTATATTTTGTGGACAAAACACGGCAGCCAATTGCGCACAGCAGTGTCCTACAAACAACCGTGGAGTGATTGAACACTTTTGTTTTATAATGCCGCACAGATAACTTCTCCCCCAACATCATTCATTTTTAACAAAGATGATAAGACCTCCAGGTCGGTTTTCTGAGCGCTAATTGAGCCTTCGATTCCCACAGAATCTGGGGATGAAAAATATTTCCTATATGTGACTGTCTTAAGTGTCCTCCAGTCACTAACTCCTTCACCAGGAGAGAAAGATTACCGTCATCATATCGTCACACTTCATGTCAGGCTCATCCTCATCCTCGCTCTTGTTATAGAACTTGCGGAAAAAGTTGAAGGCCACGACTGTGTATAGATAAACCACCACTGCCAGCAGCCCCACCGTCATCATCAGCTGTGGGGGAGAAGGAAGGTGGGGGAAGGGAGAGTGGGGGGGCGGGGGGGGGAGAGAGAGGTAGAAAAAGAGGATGAGAGGTGGGGGAGGAGAGAGGAGGGGAGAGAAAGACGGGGGCGGAGAGAAAGACGGGAGGACAAAGAACGGGAAGGGAGAGAGGGAGATAGAGGGGTAGAGAGAGGAAGAGGGGGAGAGAAGGGGGAAGGAAAGAGAGAGAGAGGAGAGGGAGAGAACGCGGGAAGAGAGAGAGAAGAGAGGGGGGAAAGAGAAGAAGAGTGGAGAGAGGAATGGGAGGAGGAGACAGAGAGAATTAGCATTTTTCTTGGCCTCAAAGAGTAACAACAACAACAACTTGCATTAAATAGCGCCCCTCACGTGGGGTAGCGTCCCGGAGCCCCAGGAAAGCTGCCAGGGTCAGGTGTAACCCCTCTTACCTGTTTGCCGTTGTGAGTTACGGAGGACAGGATGGTGCGAAGGGTCTTGACTCCCATGGCAATGTCCAGCAGGTGAGCAGCGAAGAAGAAGTTGTTGTAATGACCGAGAGCAGACATGACGAGATACCAGACCAGGTACAGGAACGACTGAAAGACACAGAGAATGAAAGCACTCCTGACGGTAGCAGGGATTATTTTATATAAACCAGCTTTATCTGCGGATTAACCTAAACAATATTAATATTAATAATAATCCTTGCATTCGCCTTCGCCTTCGATGACGTCGCAAAGCGCTTCACGGGATATACGGTAAAGTGAATCGACTGTATATTTTCTGAGCGAAACGCGGCAGCCAATTGCGCACAGCAGCGTCCCCACAAACAGTCGTGGATTGAGTGACCCATTTTTTTTAAAAAGGGATTATTATCCCCGGAAAAGCGATCCAACAATCGACCATCAACCAGGTTCCTACTTACTGCTGAGGCGCGCGCGTGTGTGTGTGGTGGTGGTGGTAGTGGTGGTGGGGGGAGTAAGGAGATTTGCCCAAATTTTCGCCCTTCCCGCCCGGGAATCGAACCCGGTACCACTGAGCTACAGGACTCCACAACAGGACTTATGTCCGAGTTGACAGGGTGAGAGCGCGAAGGAGGTTTGAAAGCCTTACATTGTCAGTGAAAATCACTCCAAACTTCCAGATCTGGTACTTGATGTCCAACGATGTGAACCTAAAAACGAACAAGAGATGAAAGCGTTGTCGCTGCACACGGCTCAGCCCAGACCTCACTCACGTCCACAAACAGTTCTTGACGGTTTGCACTGTGTGTTTGCTGCGTGTTAACTGGTGTGAACGGTGATCCTCGCACACGTTTTCAAATCACTTCGTTCCCTCGCACCTCCCTAACTCTCCGACCTGCTCACCACCCGCCCCCGACTCCATCACCCGCTGCCTCCGGCCTCCTGTTCCTCCCTCGCCCCCTCCGCTCACACGCCCCAAAACTCTGGAACTCTCCCCCTCAAATCCCTCCGCCTTGCTCCCTCCCTCCCTCCCCACCTTCAAATCTCATCTAAAGACCTTCTTTGTTTTGATCGTGACTACGGTCACCTCCCACCTTCCTCTCCTCTCGCCTCCAATCGGAAAATCCCAAGCACCGAACACACAGCGGGCAGGGCAACCCCGACCTAAGCAGCAGAAAGACACACACACGCACACGCACGCACACACAGAGGCACCCACCAGGACAGAATGGAGTTGTCAGACACTGGTTTCTTCTGAGGTACACTGACGTCTAAGGCACTCATATCCATTCCCAGAAGCTCTGCAATACGTTCCCTGCCGTAGATATCACCGTATTTATCCAACACCTGGGACACCGGGAAAGAGATGAGACCCTGACACTGACCATTGCTTCGCCAACAACAACTTGCATTTATATAGCTCTTTCGGTCAATCGTCCCCCCTCCCCGCCCCCGTCAGCCCCCACCCCCGGCTCGGGAAGAAATGTAAATTGTATTGTGTTACTGACGACGTCGTCTTATAATCCACCCAAGATGAGAACATGACTGAGGAGCAGAAATGAATGGACCAGGTAAAGGTCACAGACTAAGTACCTTTTTCCACCCCCCCCCGCCACCCAGATACCTATGGAACTACAGAAATGAAGTGCCCCCCTGAGGCTTACATGGGTATTGCAGTTTTTAGTGGAGTCGATATTTAACCCGAAAGACACACAACCCGTTAGACTGTAGTCCAGACACAGTGGTGATGACAAGTGTGGTTGTGAGAACATACCACTTATTTGTCAATACATTTAGATAACCAGAGTCTGTGCTGCTCACCTTTCGTTTGACAAACTTGTCCCAGTAGTTATTTGGGAACGATCTGCAGAAAGTCAAAATAAAATGTCCGGTGAAGAGGGCTCCTTCCCTACCTTACCCCACCCCCAAGTCCACCCTCCCCAACTCACCCCCACCCCCACCCACACACACACGGGTATCTGGCTTGCCTGAGGATAACCCATTGCGTGACAGATGACCACTCTTCACATTACGCCCACAAAAACAGTCACTGCACTTTAGTGTATCCCGTGAAGTGCTTTGAAGTCGTCACGCAGGTGTGATAAGACGCGGTGTCAAATGCAAGAATGATTATTGTTGTATTACAGGGACGCCCTCTCCTCGGGTATGGAGTCGTCCCGCCTCGTGTACCCCAGGTGAGACCCTCCGTACAGTCCAGTCCAGCCTTGCTCACAGCCTGCCCTCACTTACGGGGTGTTGAGAACCAGACGATCCCACTGGCCTTTTATGTCGTCGTCTGCGGGCTGCTCCGTGATGTACACACCGTCGAACTCCAGCTTCCTGGCCAGTTCCTTCTCCCGTTTAAAGATGACCAGAGGCACCTGAGGAGTAGCAGAGACAATAAGTCTCAGTATCTCGAGCGGAGCTGGAGGTTTGGTGTTGCTAACGTCGAGGAGATTGAGTCTGTTGGCTTCTCTCTCTCCTTCTCTCTCTCTCTCTCGGGATGGATTGAAAGCAACAATAACAACTTGCATTTACATAGCTCCCCTCAAGTAGGGCAGCGTCCCAGAGCAGTTGACAGCGGTGGAGGAGGAGGAAGGTCTTCAGGCGTGACATGAAGATGGGGAAGGAGTGGGCAAGACAGAGGGAGGGATAGAGAGAGAAAGAGTGACAAAAGTTTCAGGGAGTAGTGCCTAAGCACAGCAACCGATGGTGGAACGGAGGGGATGCAGGAGAAGCAGGAGGCCAGAGCCAGTCGAGCAGAGGCAGTGGGTAATGGGTTGGGAAATAAGCAGGTCGGAGAGGGAGGGAGATGCCAGGGCATGCGATTGGCTTGTGCTCCTATTGGAACCTGGAAGGTCTAAGGCACTTTGCCACGTGTCTGTACCTTTAAACAGTTGTAGCCAATGATGCAGAGGAACGAGATGAGGGTGTGCAGAACAGACAGGAACTTCAGTGTTGGCGCCATGTAACCCGTACTCTCCTCAAGGACAAAATAAACCAACGAGTTGTCATCCTCCTCTTCCTCCTCTTCACCTCCATTTCCATTTCCAAAACCAGATCCTCCCGAGTCATCCTCAAAACCTGCTTCTTCAAAGCTTTCTTCATCTTCAAGCACAGAAACCTGTCCCACACAAACAATTTAATAATAATAATCCTCGCATTTGACACAGCGCCTAATCAGGTCTTCTAGACGTCTCAAAGCGCTTCACAGGATACACTGTAAAGTGAATTCACTGTGTATTTTGTGGATGAAACACAGCAGACAATTACGCACAGCAGTGTCCCGCACACAGTCGTGGATCGAGTGACCAAATTATTTTTATATATTTTAAACGAATTATGATCCCCCGGAAAAGTGATCCGCCAATCGACTAACAACTGCTGGGTAAACAGAGGTGCGTGTGTGGTGTAAGGAAACATGCCCAAGGTTTCTCCCTGGTGGGAACTGAACCCAGATCTCTTGCTTGCGAGGCAAGTGCTCTAACCACCGAGCTCCTGTTTTCATTCTTTGCCGCAGAAGAATAAATGGACGGCCTTTTTTGCGGCGTTTGTGTAGCTGTTAAGACAGCTCTACGTTAAGGCAGTGTTACAAAGATTCACTTGTTCCGATACGGATTTTGGTCAAAGTTACCCACCTTATAGAAGAGCAGGATAAAGTTGATGGCAAACGCCACGAAGAGAGCCAGGAAACGCAGGTTATAGAAATTCCTCGACAGGTAATTCTGAAAGAGAAAAAAAGACACGAACACGAAGTCAGGCCAGGCAGGAAAAGGACTGAACTTTACACCTGAAAGGAGCTTTTTATTCAGACCCTTTAATGCCCTGGAGCCAGTCCAGGACTCTCGCTGTTCGGTGTTAGCAATAAAACTAATCAGCCTCTTAGAGAAAAGAAGGTTTCGAAATTTTCTCCCAGTTCTTTCCGTTCGTTAATAATGACCCTGGCAAGACTTTCCTCTTTGGCTGTGCTTTTGGGCCCCCTCTTAGCCCACCCCAGCCTCTAACCCTCTTGATTCCAACCCCCGGCTCGGGTACAAAACATTAACTGTCCAGGGTAATTAAGTCTGCTGCGTTGCCAGGGGGAGTTGGAGATGGTGAGGGAGACGGACACTTACAGGTCCATCAAAGCTCCCAAACTTACCAGGAGTTTGGTCTTGTAATTTTCAAACTCGTTCCAGAATTCCATGACCGCCTCTGGCTCCTCCCGCTTCCTCTCCCGCTTGGCTTTCTTCCTCGCTCTCCTCACAGGCGCCATCTCTTCTTCTGGGGCCGCCTCCTCCTCCTCCACTTCTTTCTCCTTCATGTCCTTCTCTGCCTTCTCCCCGTTCTCTGTGCTGTGTGGGAAAGACACACACAAAAGAATCCCTAACAAGTGGTTCTTTTGCGCTGTTTGTGTGTACATGTGGTCAAGGCGAGGTGTTCGGGTGAAGAAGGCCCGTTTTGTCCATTTGATCTCATCCTGACAGAATCCCGTCCTGTGCTCCCATTACAGCATCGATGATTCTTAAATGAGTCCAGGCCCTGGCACTGCGTTGGGAGTGTCAGTGTAGACTATAGGCGTTTCAAGACCCAACGTGGGGCTTGAACCCACAACCTTCTGACTCAGAGGCTGACTGACACGAATATATTCTCATTTAGCCAAATGAATATTAAGAGGAGACATGTTATGTGATGTTCTGCTGTTAAAAGTAACACAAACGATCAGAAATGAGGGAATTATTTCGAGACAAACACTTACTCGGCTTTCTCGGGTTCAACCTGCTTTTCATGTGACTGGGCCTCAATTGTAGCTTCAATCTGCTCCTGTCAAAACAAGGACAATAATCTCATTGAATGGTAATTAATATCAGAGCACAGAATGAAGTGTTAGAGAAATCAACTGGGGCATTTAAAGGGGAACCAGACAAGAACAATCTGAGGAGACGAACTGGAATTGGAAGGCAGGAATTTAATTTAATAATATAATAATAATCCTTGCATTTGATTTAGCACCTTACCACGTCTTGGAGACGTCTCAAAGAGCTTCACGGGATATGCTGTAAGGTGATTTGATTGTATATATATTTTCTGGGCAAAACACGGCAGCCAATTGCACACAGCAGTGTCACACAAACAGTCGTGCATTGAGTGACCAAATTATTATTATTAATTTTTTTTGAAGGAATTATTATCCCTGGAAAAGCGATCCGACAATCGACTAAGAACGGGACTCCTCCTGACTGCTGGTAAACAGAGGCGAGTGTGTGTGTGTAATAAGAAAACTTGCCTAAGGTTTTGCCCTGACCTGACCCGCCTGGGAATCGAACCCAGTTCCCGTTGCTTGCGAGGCGAGGGCCCTGAGCTACAGGGACTTCCCAGAAATGCATGGTACTCACTCCCAGCTTCCTGAAGGAGGGTGGTGTGCCCTCAGGAGTGGGTGGCTCTGCTGATGCGCTCTCCACAATGTCACCGAGCCCCAGGTTAGAGTCAGGCGAGCTTGTCCTGGGGCAGCCACTCTCCCTCTTGGCCTCGGCCTGGTCTGAATCCTCCTGCTCTTTAACCTGATCCTCAAACTCCGAGGGAGTTTCCAGGTTCTCCACCTCCACCTTGCTGAGGTCAGGAAGATCGGCGTGAACCTCATCTTGTGTTGGGTCCGGCATACTGGCCAACAGGTCTGCCACCGTCATCTTTTTGGCCTCTTCGACCAAGCCGCCTCCGAATAAGGTGTTCCACACGATCAGGAAGAAACCACGACAGATATTATAGAAGAAGAGCACAATTCCTACCAACAAGGTCCAGAAGAAGGACACCAAGGCCATCACCATCTCTTTGATGGTCATCTTCTTCAACTTCCTATATTGCTTCCGTATGTTTTTCAGGGTGAACAGGTGGAAAAAGTCCACGATGCTGCCGAGGAAAGCCGCGAAGGCGGAGGGCGACTCGGCCAAAGGCGAGGCTCTCTCGACCTCGCCTCCCTCGGCGTTCTCTCCCTGCTCCTCCTCGTCCTCCGACTTCTCTTCCTCGTCCGGTTCGGAAATCTTGGAGGCGATCTGCATCTCAAAGATGGTGTCCTCGCAGAAGTTGACGAACATTTCCATCTTCTCGGACTCCCCCCCTTCGTTCACCACGTCGAAGATAAACTGCCTCTTGGACTCCTTGACTTGAGGCATCTCCCACTGGGTCTTGTTGGCCTCGCTAATCTCAAAGTAAATTCGCTCGATTTTCCGACTGGCTCCCATGATCTCGATGCGGCCCAGGAAAGGCTGGAAGTAGTTCAGAATGCTCTCTGCCAACGTTAGGAAGTTCTGAAGCCTGGTGTCGTGAGGCACATGTTCGGAGAGATTGGTGAGCAGCACGGCTATGTTAAAGCCGATGTCCTTGGCTGGTTCCTGAAACCGGTTAGCAAATTCCTCATAGTTTATCATCTCGTTCTCGTCTGCCTCAGAACACGAGAGTAGGAACTGGATCTCAGACAAGGTGTACTGTTTCTGACTGTCCATCGCCTTCTGGAAATCCTTCTTTGAAATCAGCCCCCTCGGGTCCGTCACATAGTCTTTGAATGCATCGGAAGCCACAATATCCTTCAGCTTCAGGAACATGTCAAAGAACTTCAAGATCATTTCAACATTGCTGGACGACTCGACCAACATGTCCACCATCTGTTTAGCAATGGTTCCGTTCACCACATTCCCTGGAAAAAACACGAGAGAGCAGCCATCGGTCATCGATAAAATGTTCAATAAGATGTGATAATAATAATCCTTGCATTTGATACAGTCTCTTATCACGTCTTCGAGATGTCTCAAAGGGCTTCACAGGAAAAACTCAAGTTAATTGACTATATTTTGTGGGCGAAACACCGCAGGCAATTGTGCACAGCAGTGTCCCACAAACAGTTGTGGATTGAAGTGACCAATTTATTTTTTTTTATTTGAAGGAATTATTCCCCCTGGAAAAGCGATCCACCAATCGACTAACGACCGGGTTCCTACTTAATGCCGGATAAACAGAGGCGGGTGGGGTAAGGAAACTTGCCCAACATTTCACCCCGCCGGGAATCAAACCAAGGTCTCTTGCTTGCGAGGCGAGTTCTCTAACCACTGAGCTACAGGACTCCATTTATTTACAGGACTTATTTACAATGTGATAAGATGCTGTATCAAATGCAAGGATTATTATATTATTATTATTATATTTACCTTCCAGCAGAGAGAGCAGCATCACCACCATGTCTTTCTGCAAGTCCAGCAGCTCCTTCAACAACTCAATCTGGCTTGAATCCTGCAGAGAAGAATGAACAGATTGAAACGCTAACATCATACGACCAAGCGTGAAATAAAGATGGGAACGCGGAGAAGGTTTTCAGCATTGATGATGGATGAGATGATGGGGCACTGATTAAAGTGCTCCTGTTGGTAGGGAATCCGCTGTTTTGATGAACTGATCGGACCAAGTATCCACATAACATGCAAAACACGACCAAAACGTCTTTGTCACTGACTCACGATAACGTCTCTCTCAGTACAATTCAAAGTAACGCAGGAATACATTTGGAAGGTCCCCTAAGCTGAGTGTTTAACGCTCGGTTTGATACGGGTTACTTTGATGTGTAGAATGGTCTATTGTAATGTTTTACGGGTGCCCAGCAACATTCACTGTGTCTTATCTGCCACAGAACTGAAGCTTTCAACGACAATGTGTCGCTGTAGACAGTTGAAACTGGCAGCCAACAAAGGGGTCAAGCTGAACTTCTTTAACCTACAGTGCCCTGGGAGGTGTACCATTGTACACACCACAATCGCGACCTCTAGACGTGGTCAGACCTGAAAGGTGCCGCACCAAATGCAAGGATTATTATTATAACTTTCACCCAAGTGTTTTTACTGTAGGGAATCCCACTTAAAGACCTTCCTCTTCGATCGTGCTTACGGTCACCTCCCCACTCCCTCTGCCCTTGGCTTGGGGTAAGATTCCGACACTGTCAAGCGCTCTGGTACGCTATCCCGTGTGAAGGGCGCTAAATAAATGCAAGTTGTTGTTGATGGATTGATAGGCTGCAAGGGGTGACCCTTGAAGTTATAAAGTGCACACAGACGTGGCCAAGGATATAAAGCCACAGCTTATCCTCTACCATCGTGGGGTTTTATTTACAATGGTTCTCGATCGTGGACTGAAAACATAAAACACTTGTCGACAGTAAGACGGCAACAAAACTGCTTTTGGTGCAGTTGGGAGTCGCAAAGGCATTGCTTGGGGCTTAAACCCGCGGTGGACGAAACTTACCTCGCTTCGAGCTTTAATCCAAAAATGTTCCTTTTTTGCATGTTAACAAATAATAAATATACATTAAAAGGACAACACAGTATTTGCGGTTACTTTTCCCGTATGACAGTCACTAGGACATGAATGTGAAAGAGATCTTCTTCTTGTTAGAGGCTCATCTATACAGGACACACAGATGAACTGACTGGTGGGAAATAGGCTGTAGCTATGTGGAGGGTTTCCGTGCACAAATGTGCTTTTAAAGTTTGCAAAAAAAAAACATTCATTTGAAAAGTTAATGCAAGAAAATACACATTTTTTTTTACCTGTGGCAGGCACGTTGCTTTAAATCTAAGCATCGTTCGTCGATTGTGATTTCGACTGGGCAATACGTGAATGGAAATAATCATGGAACGGGTATGGAGGGAAGCCATTCAGCCCATCGCGGCTATGCCGCTCTACGAAAGAGCAGTCCGTTCCTAGATTCGTAGAAGGTACAGCTCAGAAACAGGCCATTGAGCCCATCGAGTTTGGCTGATCTGACTATGGCACCTACAGGACATTCCATATTATAAAACTCTCTGTCTAAGACATTTCCTCCTACTCTCTCGCTTTGGGAATCATCTTAAATTGATATCCTGTAGCCACTGACTCACCCACCAGTGGAAATCATTTCTTACAAACCTCTAATGAATGTAATAAATAAATAGTTTCTTGAACCCCTTTGCACGATGCAACTGTTTGCTAGTTACTTCCCAACCTTGTTAAGTCTTCATTCTTTGAAGAGTTGGGCATCCTCCTCACACCATTGGGCTAACAGCAATAATTGCCCCTGGTTGCGTCACAACCTATTGGCAATGGGGAGGATGCCCAGAATGAAGAAGAATGCTGGCGTGCAGGCCTTCAGCTCCTCTGCCCTCACCCTCTGGAACTCCATCCCACAGGACCCTCCGCCTCGCCCCCTCCCTCGCCTGCTTCAAGAACCGTCTCAAGACTCTCCTCTTCGACCAAGCCTTTAGCCACCCTCCTACCCCCACCCTCCCTGATCAACCATCAGCTCAAAGACGGACCCCTGGCTGTCCAGAGCCTTGGGGTGTCTTCCTGACGTGAAAGGCACTGTGTAAATGTAATGTGCTGTTGTGGTTGGTTTCAAACTCAACATGATATTCCCTGGTGCACTGAAGGTCATCTGAGAATTTTTTGTCTTTCAAATAGACAGAAAATCTGAAGTTGTTTGCCTTGTTTGACCTGAGCAGCGAGATCCCAGAACCTCTGGGCTGCGTGGCTTACAATGGACGGGATCAGAATCGGTGGCAAATAGCACAGAAACAGGAGGAGGCTATTCAGCCCCTCGAGCCTATTCCTAAATGGCCTGGCTCTAATTTTAAGATGATGCCTTGGTCCCCAAGCAGAGGAAATAGTTTCTCTGTAGCTATCCTATCAAATCCCTTGATTATTGTAAAAACCTAAATCAGATTTCCCCTCAACCTTCTAAACTCAAGGGAACAGAGACCAAGTTTATGCAACCTGTTCTCGTTAAGTTAATCCTTTTAGGTATCATTCTGGTGAATCTGCGCTGCACACCCTTCAGAGCCGATATATCCTTCCTTCCAAAACGGAACGCATTCCTGCAGATGGGGTCTGACCAAGGCTCTATATAGTTGAATCATCCATACAAAGAGAAGATAAAGAGAGTAACTTGCTCCTAATCTCACTAAAGCGAGTGTTCAGTGTGCAGTATAGTCGGGTAGTGTAGCTTAGCAGTGCTGGCTCCACAGCAAGGCAGATGTAAGTTGAGTCTGATACTCAAGCTTGCCTTGTGGGGAGACACTACAGTCTGACCCACTGCAAAGGTTCCTCCTGTTGGATAATCATGGAGCCGTCCCCGCTGGAATGGACTATCCTGCACTCCAGGCTGAAGGAGGTAAAGAAAACGGATAAAAAGCACGAGGGGGGAATGTGCGGCGGGAATTAAGCATCATTGAAAAAAAAAACCCGCTGCTGATAGAAACTGCAACCGTATTCATTCCCACATTTCGCGGCCAGTTCGTTAGGACGAATGAGATTCTCAGGGAGGGGAAGCACAATGTTGTTGCATCCAATTCAACTGAGTTTGTGTAAAGCCACGTGCCAAAGCGAGCCCCTAATCCGGTCCCAGAGAAGCCACTGGGCTCGTGTCAGACAGTGAGGTCTTCTTTTGCTCCAAATCAGGCCAAATCGAAAAGAGACACAGATCATTTTAAACAAAGTGCCAAGTCACTGCTCACTCATATTCCATGATTGTTAACCTGACCTTGAAATATATTCTCCTACCGTATTCGCCAACGTTGGGGTGAAAGGGCGAAGTATTGGGATTAAAACATCTGGCAAAATCTAATAAACAGCTGGCACAGGCTCAGTGAGCTGAATGGCCTCCTCCTGTTCCTGTGCGCCTAAAATTGTCGCATCATTTCACCCAAACTGCACGGATCTCACTGCGGGTGAGTAAAGGAAAAAAAAAAAGTGTGTGGTAACATTGAAAGAGCAAATGTTTTTCACCAGGAATTTCTATCTAAAATCTGACTGGATCGAGTCCGGTGAAGATTAGACTGAAACTGGTTCTGTCTTTCTTTACACCTTTTGGGCGGCTCAGCGGAGCTAACGCAAAAGTCTCTTCCCAAGATTTCTGAACAAGTGACTCGAGGAGAGATTTACGGCCCCAGAATTCACCCGATCTTATCCTTCGTGGTACTATCTTCGAAAGCTAAGTCTGTACGGAATTGTGGGCAATTTTAAAACCCATCTGAAGTCAGTTATGTTTAAGAACCGAGGAAACTGAAATTGAAAATTAATGCCGCAATTCATTTTCTAAAAGTTTTGGCACATTCGTAAATGTCTGGACAACGTTTTTTGACGCTCGGTAAAACTGAGTGATTCGTGTCATCCGGTCTGCAATCTTTCACCTTTAGCTGTTGCGAACCTGACTATCAGCAGCCATTAAAAAATCCACTGATAAGTTCCTTGGCTGGATCGAGCTGAAAATCTTATCAGCAGCGTCAGTCACATCGGCTAAAGATTCTGCAAACACTCAGCTCCTGAAATGGATGCGTAACAAATGAACTTTACCTCCCCTGGGTCTTGTAATGGATACGGAGGACACTTAAATCAATCTGGAGTTAACTGCTTAAATCCAACAGCACTTGAGCGTTTTGATAGGAAGCAAAAACGTTAAGCCTGATGTCCCAGTGTGGAAACAGCGAAACAGAGAGCACCCCAGGAATGTCCATAATGAAAGAGTAAAATGACTGCACATATGGCAAACACTTGGCATGAGATGGCAAACTGCGGTACACAAAGTTCTTACGCTATTTCTGGATCCTCGATTATCAGGCATCTGTCATTTAGCAGAATAAAAACGGGATTTAGACACTTTTTTGTGCGAAATGTAATCGATGCATTCAATTCATCTCGTCGCTTTACAGGTTTGCTTTCCAGCTGCACGGCTCTGGAACTCCATCCCAGTCCTATCTGCCTCGTGCCCTCCCTCCCCCTCCTTCAAGACCCGCTTCAAGACCCTCCTCTTCGACCGCGCCTTCGGTCACCCTCCTACCCCTACCCTCTCGCCCTCCTGATCCCAACCCCCAGCTCAGGTGCGAATCCCTGACTGTTCAGTGCCTTGGGACGTCCTCCCGACGTGAAAGGCGCTGTGTAAATGTCATGTGTTGTTCTTCTTATTAGGTGGGGCTATAAGTAGGTTTGTATACAAGTACTCTGATAAACAGGCTGCCTCCACACATGGTCTGGCACAATCCTACTGAAACATTTCAGTGCCGATCATGCATTAGATAGGGACAATTGAGCCCTGGAAGATTTAAGACTGGATCTTGGAGATTAAAGAAATCCTCAGAAATCCTCGTCACTAGACAGTCTACACAGACAACTTTCATTTTTCCAGCGCCTGCAGTTCCTGCTAAAACTGTTCACATAGAGGCTCACTTGCAGTAATCATGTACTGAAATGCTAAGAGTATTTTACTGAGGTCATTTATGAAATAAAACGCAAATTAAAAATAAAGTTTATAAGTGTTGTTTCTGTCGGTCTTCTCTTCCTCCTGTCTATTCGGAATTTTGGACCTAAATTTAGCAGTTTGTAATTTGACTCTAATTTGACTTTGTCTCTGACGAGGGCGGCTGAATACGTTGAAAGGGCAATTTGTCAGTCAATTGTAGACAGAACACTGAACTGTGACCCATCTTGTTAAAGGAAGGGGAAATCATTTGAAAGCATCTTGTGGAAGATCCAGCAAGCGAAAACAGCCAACGAGGCATCTCTCCGGCAGATCAGGTAATCAGAACAAGTTGACATGTTGGCATCATGCCAGGGGTTGGCACAGGAAACCAAATTCATATTTATTCAACATATGGCCAGCTTTATCCTTAGGTTTTTTGCTAAAAATTCCAGAACTCTCTGAGGCAAACTGTTTTGAGACAAGCCTCGATATCAAAGGCAAGGATTATTATTATATAACTATTTATTATAAAGGTAGAATAATTGTCTTGTGATTATCTTTGTTCTACCTAGAGGTATTATAACTGCCGAAATCACTGCTAAACAATCAGCGTTGAACAGTGATCTGTCTAACACTGGACACCTTCATTTTATAAGGAGTTAATTGACAAATCTGATAAATGCACAAATCTTGAAAGATTGAAAACAGATTCAAATTAATATCGGAGAAAAATTCTTCACCAACTTTGTACTTGAAAACTGTGATGATTAAATATTTCTGGTTAAGAAATACCACAAATTAAGACACAAAATGTGATCATTTTACTCTCCTTAGATTGAAAGAATATTTTCATGTTCGCATTTATTAAACATATTTAATATTTCGCCCAATCAACTAACAACCGGGTGAGTTCCTACTTGCTGCTAGGTATGCAGAGGCGTGTGCGTGGAGTAAGGAAACTTGCCCAATGTTCGGCCCTGCCGGGAATCGAACCCAGTTCCTCTGTCTTGCGAGGCGAGTGCTCTAGATTCACGGTTTGTAAAGGTACAAGCCTTGTATATAATCTTACCTGAGCAAGTTTCATCATCATATGTGCAAAGATATGCAGGAAACCGACAACTGCATCCCATAGTCTGCTATGAGCCAGGCTCTGCTGATTCCCGGTGCAAGGACCCTGCAGGGAAGCACGAATCATCACCATCTGACATTATCCAAACACATCTACTACATTCCACATAATGCCCTGATCAATTCACAAATGTATTTAATCTTTTTCTAGTTTTAAGTCTTTTTAAATCCTCGTCCTTCAGTGTCTCTGCCCCCAACCCTTGGAACTGCACCTCACAGTCCCTCCCGCCTCGCTCCCTCCCTTGCCTCCTTCAAGGCACGTCTCAAGACCATCCTCATCAACCGCCCCTTCAGCCACCCTCCTACCCCCACCCTCCCTTAACCCCAATCCCCACCTCGCCCCTCACCTGCTGAGGTCCAAATCCCTGACTGCCCAGCACCTTGGGACATCCTCCCCAAGTGAAAGGCGCTGTGTAAATGTCATTCTGCATTGTATTGTAATACGCTGGCTGCGGGGAAACAGCTACGGGTTTCTCTACAGTAAATAAGTAGGTAATTCAGACAACTGCTGCACCATTCAGAAGACGACAGCTGGTTCATTACCTGGATATATTCAGTGAGACTGTTGAAGACTTGCTTAGCCACGGCCATAGCCTTGGAAAAGTTTCGTTTTCCTTGTTCGTCAACAACATCTTTGCCAGAGTAATACCAGTAGAAATCGCTGATCGATTCCTAGGACAGACATACACCACACAAACAGGAAGGAAACAGGAAGAGCTTTAAACAGGCCTCAAACTCTGCAAATATACACAATAATCTCCCTTGAGGGCTGGGAACCCCTCCCTGTAGACTGTGTGCCCTTATTACCCCTCTCTATACACTGTAGTGCCCTTATTATGAGATTAGGATCCTTCTATAGGCCGTGACACGATCCCTTTAGACTGCGATCATATTTCCAGTGCCTTGGGATGTCCTCACGATGTGAAAAACGCTATACAAATGTAATTTTGTTGTTGTTGTTGTGACGCCCTCACTACAGACATGAAATAAGAACAGCTGATTCTGTGCTGCCTTTGTACATCTGCACCTGACCTTATACACAGCTGCAGTCGGACACATTTGCTCACGTGTCGAACCTAATGTTAGTCTCTGCCCAATGCGATACGTTCTCGAATACAATTTGCAGATAAGTGACAACGTTTTTACCTGTAGGCGAAGCAGGTAGTCGACGGTGCAGATAATGATGTTGATGGTGGTGGTGTTACCTGTCTGGGTGCGCAGGTAATTCTGGAAATCTTTAATGAGATTAAAATTCACTCATTATTATAATAATAATCCTTGTGTTTGATACAGCTCCTTATCACGTCTTCGAAACGTCTCAAAGCGCTTCACAGAATACGCTGTAAAGTGAATTGACTGTATATTTTGTAGGCGAAAGGCGACAGCCAATTGCGCACAGCAGCGTCCCCACAAACAGTCGTGGATTGAGTGACCAAATTATTATTATTTTTGAAGGAATTATTTCCCCCCGGAAAAGTGATCCGCCAATCGACTAACAACCGGGTACTTACTTACTGCTGAGTAAAGAGAGGTAGATGTGTGTGTGGAGTAAGGAAACTTGCCCAACATTTCGCCCTGCCGGGAATCAAACCCAGGTCTCCCGCTTGCGAGGCGAGTGCTCTAACCACTGAGCTACAGGATTCTGCGCATTATAAAAACCTGAACCAGTTTTGCACAGACAAAGTTACTGACTGAAACTGTAAGAAAACAGAATGTTTGTACCGTTATTGTGTCCTTCACAGAGTAACTGCAGGAACCGGAAAAGATCTTGTGTGAATTCATCATCGGCCATCACCTTCTCACCTACACAGTAAAGGACCTTCATTATTTAGCGCTCATCGAAGCAGTATCAGGAGTTAGTGTTAGTTAGGAAAACTCTCGCAAATCTCAGACATTCAGATCACTTTGGTTCCGTTAGTATTACTCTGATGTAATATTAGTCTCTGATGCACTCGCAAACCAAGTCAGAACTAAAGTAAAACTAAAGTTTAATCTTTAATCATCGCTGAAGGAAGTCTAATTTAGCCATTTGTTTAAAAAAAGAGAGAAATATGGCAATCACAAAACGGCGGGCTTGTTAACGGGCACAATATACAGGCGTTGTGAGCGGATTGTTAACTGTGATCACACCACAGCAGGAATCAAGTCAATCTGTAGTTTTTTTTCAAGAAATAGCAGTAGATGGGATTGCAATGTTTAAAACTTCTAAGGGTGTCTGTGAATGTAGTGGAGACGGTGTTTTAGCCTAGAGACGTGTCACTCTATGATTGTAGGTCACAGCCTGTGATACCCTGTACATATTATCGTGCTCTACGCACCACACCTAGATATTATTGAGCTGTACTCACCACTTGCCTGTGCGTTACCCTCTACATGCTATTGTGCTATACCCACCACTGCCTGTGTTATCCTGTACCCCGTTACTGTGCTTTGCACGGCGAGATCAGATCCGAATAGGGGTGGGAAGGAGTGGGGGAGAATTTGTCACCTTGCCTGATACTGGCTCGACTCGTTACGCGGCGGCCACATTGAAACTATTAGGAGAAGCACTGCGATAGGATGAAGTTACATGGCAAAATTTTGCAAGGCAAGACTCCACCAGTGTCAGGCTCTCCGCACGAAAGGCGCTATATAAATGCAAGTTGTTGTTGTGTCTGTGGTCTGAATGCGCCAGGTCGACAGTGAATTCACGACGAATTCCGCTTCGCTGCCATCTCGAGTCCATTACGAATGCGATAAATGCATTTGCCCAGAACAGGACAGGAAAATGACGGTCCGTTTACCCGCCGTAAACGGCAGCGGTTTTCCTGAAAAGTTAAGGGGCAGAAGGTTTGCTGATCCCTGTTGTAACCAGAGACACAAGCTCACTGTCTGCTTCTTTGCAGGTTGGGGAAACCACCTCCTGAGATAAATGAATAGCAGCGTCCGCAGTTTTCATTCCCTTCACCAGCAATAACTTGCATTAAAGCACCGAGGAAACAGGTGGGCCTTAGAGGCTGATGGATTCACACCAGATTGCCTTGTGATTTTAACAGGGTTGCCCTCGTTGGAGGTTTCTGCTCATTTTCTCCATTTCCAGTTACAGGAAATTACGGCGATGCAATGAAGTGCCAAAAAAATCTGCGTTTGCGTCACTTCCTGATCTGCTGATTTTGGGGCAAAGTGAACCTTTTTTCCCTGAGGGTTGTCGATATTAATTGAAGACAAAGGGGCTCGCGGCGTAAGAACATAAGAAATGCTGGAGGCGAAAAAGACCAAGGTCCACCTTGTTTGCCTTCCACCTTCCTGTTGGTCGCTTCACGTGTCCTGAACTACCTACGTACCATATCCCATCTCATTAATTCCTAAAAGAAAACAATCTAATCTGTGTTTGAAGGAATCAGCATTTTCTGCTTCAACCATCTCCTAGGGAGCCCGTTCCACTGGTTACTATTCACTCACTGAAATAGATTTATAACAATGACCCCCTGCATTTGATATAGCGCCTTATCATGTTGTTGAGACGCCTCAAAGCGCTTCACGGTGAAGTGAATTGACTGTGGATCTTGTGGGCCAAACGCGGCAGACAATTTTTTTTTATTTAGGGGGGAAATTGTTGGCCAGGACACCGAATAGTGCTGTGTGATCTTGTTTCCGTCGAGTCGTTCTGAAGTTCCCCCCACCCACCCTGTCAAGCGCAGGCCGTGTCCTCTGGTTCTACTATTCTGACTGGGATGACTGTATTAATTACACGCGATTAATTGTGAATGTATGAGATCACATCTACACTTATGGAGGATGCATAAGTAGCCGAAAGAGAAGTGCAGAAAAACCCATTGCACACACTGCATCAATCGATTACTGGCAATGCTCTTTAACATACCAGAACTGTTTTGTTTGCCTGCTGAAAAACAGATCAACCAATAGTAGGTAAAAAGACAATGGAGTATTGTACTTTTAGTGCTCAGCAATTCATTTGAATGTTATTTCCGTTTGCAGAAAGGCTTGTCAAAATGGCTACCGCGTTAGTTTAGAAGCTGACCGTGTGGACAGGTTAGATTCACTCTTTCACACAATATATATCTCACCTGGACCGGAACCGGACTTGAGACTGTTCAGCAATGTAAACGTGTGCCAAGCAAAAATCAAACGGGCATCAACTCAAGCAAGCTACGTAACATGCTTCACAGATCTTGATCAACCAAAAAAGCAACAGTCTGATCAAAACAATGTTTGAAAATTGTCCTGGCTTAAATGGTCTTTCCTCCCCTGACTGTTTAGACTGTAACTGGATTTATCTGATGAATTAGTTCCTCTTGGATATGTGCGTTTTTATGTCGCAAAAATTTGGCTGAACTTATGAAATCTGTGCAATTTTTATCTTTTTGGGTCTCTCCGTATCAAATCGGTTTATTTTCTGTAATTACTCTGTGGAAAACTGTGGGAGCGCTTTTAGTATGTGTGAATGTTAACTAACTCGAACATTTACTCTAACCTGTGCGGATATTCTGTAAAATCAGAGGTGACAGGAAAGAGCAATACCCACAGAGCGAGGCAGTCAATTAGATGATGGGTTCTGAACACAAACGTAATATTTATTTAGCAGTTTTGGTGCTTATGCAGTCAATAAGGCTAATTGGAAGCTAGTTATTTATCTTGAATATAAATAAAAGTAAGGAGGTGCTTCGCTTGTTATATAGCACATTGGTGAGACGTCCCGAATCTAATGTTTCCCCAAAAGGTCTCGAGAAATACCAATTATTACTTCACTTGCCTGGGACGTTTCAAAATACTCAAACGGTTGATGAATTATCTACGAAAAATGTTTTTTTTTCCCTAACGATTTTGAAGGATTACAAGCTGCTATTAGTGGAAATGAACACAATCACAGAACTTAGTACTTTATACATTAATTAAGAGTGTAGGATGCGAAGAGGAGAAATATTAAAAGGGTGTGAAGGGGAGTGAGCGGGAGAGTGGGGTTGTATGAGTCGCCGAAATCAATGCAACTGCTGGCACAGGCTCAGGGGGCTGAATGGCCTCCTCCTGTTTCTATTTATGTTCATTAAACGCTTGTACTGAATGCACAATACCATATTATGGAAGATGTTTGCTCTTCCTTCAGGTTAGATAAACATCAAACTACTTGGTTCCCAAGTTTTCCAAAGGCCTGTTACTCCTGTGGGTAGTCTGGAAATTGGCTGTCGTAGCAACCGTGATGTTGGGGGAGAGAGACTTCAAACAGAAGCAAAGCCCATTTGATCTCAACCTCCTCTCTTCCTTCCGCCTTCCCATTACAAGCACCTGGAAGTCCTAGGCTCCAACCCCGACCAACCCTCACCCTAGACTGTACCAGCCGTTAAAAGTCGTTGTAGAAATGCAATCTGTTGTTGTTGTTGTTAATCACCCCCTGTGCAAATAAAATCAGTCTGATTTAAACACGTCTACAACAAAATTTCCTTTGGCATCCGATAAATTAAACTGGGTGTAAGTGACCACACTGATTCATCCTGAGAGGTAGGGCTGGCTGTGTAGGCTTCCTTAGTCTCCAATGGGAGAAGGTTGATCAAAGTGGGTTCACCTCAATGATTAACACTTAATTTTCGCTGGCTTGTTCACTCCCCCACCCCCCACCAGTTCCCCCCGGACTCAACAGCAGCAAAGATTACGTAAAGGGAATGGGTCTTGCAATCTGCCTGTCTACACTGGCCCGCTCCCACAGTGAGGAGGCAGGGATCAGATACTGTTTCCTTCTTTGGTCTAGGTATGTGTAACAGGAAAAACAAACAGTTATTTACCACTTTCACGTTTGATGACTTGCGGATCAAAGGGAACAGTGAGAAAGAAAAAGGAAGGAGGGAAAATGAGGTGAGTAAAAAACAGAAAGTGCAAACAACAATGTGGTCATTCAATAACTAAATAGTATTGAATTAAAATCAACTAAGACAATTAATAATAATTGTAAAGTACCACATCATCGTTGATTGTTTAACCAAGTTAGAAGATAAAACAAAGCAACAAAAAACTTCAACAAGTCAAGTGAGGAGAAGGAGAACGAAACAAATTAGATCGTTAGAGGAAGATGTGTGATGAGAATAATGATTGTTCTCCTCAGACAATCCCTTCATCAAACAGCCATCAATGAATCTTTTCACTGTGGACTTTAGGAATCTCATTCCAATACTTGTTGTGTTTGGTCTTCCAGTCTGGATGTTAGTGCATTCAATCACTTACTTGTTCCCTCTTCAGTGACCATTCCCAGGCCTTCTGCCTTGTTCTGTCTCTCAAAGGCATTCAGATCCAGAACACTGAAACAGAGATGTTGATTCCACGTTAATAAACTTCTTTCTCCTTTCTGCATTTTGTTCAAAGATCATTAATAATAAATGATGATTTTTCTTGTATTTGATACAGCGCCTTATCACGTCTTCTAGACGTCTCAAAGCGCTTCACAGAATATTCAGAGTGAATTGACGTTTTGTGAACGAAATGCGGCAGCCAATTGTGCCCAGCAATGTCCCCACAAAGAGTTGTGGATCAAGTGACCAAATTATTATTTCTTTTGGAGGGATTATTAGCCTGGAAAGCAATCTGACTAATTGGGTACCTACTTACTGCTGGTAAACAGAGGCGTGTGGACTAAGGAAACTTGCCTAACATTTTGCCCTGTCAGGAATTGAACCCAGGTCTCTCGCTTGCGAGGCGAGTGCTCTACCCACTGCGCTACAGTTTCCACAGTGTGAATAATTGCCAAAAACTGGCCCACGATGACCCAATTCCAGAGTGATGGCTTTGGGTGTGATTTGCAAGCTCTGTAACTATGGGTAAGAGAATTAAACAGCACAAATGTTAGAAACTATGGTACAAAAACTCGCTCACCTGCAGGTTTGCATGAGGGACTGCACACTGTGGAAGAAACCAATTTCCTTCTTCTCTTTCAGATAGTCCAGCATTTTCTAGACAGAAAGCAAAGTATTTTTTTAAAAGGTTATGTCTCAAAGTCCTGCACAGGATCTTACTGTGGTGTGGAGTGACTGTAGGTGAACAAAGCAGCTGATTTGTGTTCCCGCAAACAGTCAAGAACTGACCAACCAATTTTATCTGGGGGTTTGTTGGCCAGGACACCAGGAGAAACTTCCTTCTCTTTTTGACTAATGCCTTTAAAGTCCACCTGAACAGGCAAACAGAACCTCGGTTTAATGTCTTATCTGAAGGACAGCACTTCCGACAATCCTAACATTGCGTTAGATTGTTAACGCTGGTGGGTGGGCCTTCAGCCTCTCTACCCCCCACCCTCTGGAACTTCATCGCACAGTCCCTCCGCCTTGCTCCCTCACTCCCTTGCCTCCTCCAAGACCCTCCTCTTCGACTGTCCGTGTCTTCGGTCACTCTCCTACCCCTACCCTCCCCGCCCTCGAGCAATCCTGATCCAACCACCAGCTCGGGAGCGGATCTGTGACTGTCCAGCGCCTTGGGACGTCCTCCTGACGTGAAAGGCGCTGTGTAAATGTCAGTTGTTGTTGAATGCCACACTGGACTGTGAGCTCAAAGTCCCGACATAGGGCTTGAACACAACTTGGTGACACAGAGGCAAGATTGCTAACGCACGTATTCAACGCGTATCAGAGAGCGGCAATATAATCGCTTACCTGCTGAACTTCACAGTTACCCCCATTCAGAATGGAGATGCCAAGTTTCAGGGTTGAAGAAACCATAGCACCTGGTTCACCTGAGGAAAGATTTCAAACACCTCAAAGCGTTTCCCTGGTAAGTACCGCCAAAAGGGGTGTGTTTGAGGGCATAACAGGCCCAGCTGCGTCAGTCAGGTGTCTGACAAACATGGAAACTCATCACCACGCTGAAGAATTCCACATATATATACACTCACACACACCCACACGCCACAGGAGGATTGCGGGGCAGTTATTGGCAAATATTCACACATGGAAACTGTAGCTCAAGAGAAATTTCCTGGTTCTGGAATGGAATGTGCACTCTCTCTCCCCCTCTCTCTCTCTCTCCCTCCCTCTCTGCTACAATGGTGTTTGCTTAATTCCTAAGAGTATTTCACAAGAGTATTCCTAAGAGTTTCAATTCACTTTACAGTCTATTCTATTGTGAAGCGCTTTGAGACGTCGAGAAGACGTGAAAAGCGCTATAATCAAATGCAAGGATTATTATTATTATTAGGCGCAGGTTGGCAAGAGGCAAGGCTTGGGGACCTTAAAAGTATGCGCTGTGGCCACTGCTGGAATCTAACCAGCTATAGCTTGTCTGCCAAGCTTTCCCAGTTAGGCCCACGCTACTCGTTAGGGCTTTGGCTTGCAAATCAAATGGGAAGAATCCCTGCTTCCAAGTCTGTGCAAACCAGTGTAAGAGTAACGCAGCATCTGTCTGCCCAAAGCTCGGACACACATCGCTACCCGCTGAGCGATGGTTCCACACGTTGGGAGGTGCGGAGCTATTTACATTTCCGCATACCGATCAAGATGGATTCCAAGCTGGAGATGTGAGCAGCGGACTCCATGTAAGGCCCTTCCAGCAGCTGTCCTCCCAACAGCCATAAAGTGACCGATTAATCTGGGGCAGAATCTGGACTGAGACAGCTATTGATTCCTCTGGTGTCTACTCGTTCCCTGTTCAACTACTATTGTTTCACCCACAAAATATTGCCGAACGGCACATTGCCGAAACATTCACCTGTAACCTTCAAGGTCTGAAGCAAACGCTTAAGATTGACAAGTACCTTTGCACGCGCTAATCATCTGCAGGACCATCTCAGCTGCCCCACGGCTGTGTAGCCTGGACTGCTGGTAAAGCAATCTCTGCTTTTCCATCTCCTTTTCCTAGAGAAATAGCAAATTAAGACAATTATTTTAATAATAATTTGGTCGCTTCAATCCACGACTGTTTGTGGGGACGCTGCTGAGCGCAATTGGCTGCCGCGTTTCACTCCCAAAATATACAGTCAATTCACTTTCCAGTATATTCTGTGAAGAGCTTTGAGACGTCTCGAAGATGTGATAAAGCGCTCTGTCAAGTACGATTATTATTATTATTAAAAACCTACCTCTTTGACTGTGCCTGTGGTCACCTCCCCTCCCTTATTGCTTGGTATCTGACTCCGCTACCTACTGTGAAGAGCTCCGAGACATTTATATACAATGCAAGTTGTTGTTGCTGAACGACACTGAGATTGCAATCAAACCTGGTACATTTCAGCATCCATAATGGGGGATTTTGCATTGTTTAAAGCAAACAGTTTATTCGAGACTTACTTCAAAGGTAAGCTCTACGCTCTCTTCATCTTCATCACCACCACCCTCCTCTTCGATGTGACAACTCTGAAATGATAAGGATATTGCAGACATCAGCTTCGGATGTTCTAATTTCCAAAGCTTCTCTTTATATTCTGCAAGTTACGAGCCGGGTTCGGTGCTTAAGGATTAATGTGGGCTTAGGACTGTCAGTACATAAAAATAATATATATATATAAATTGGCGACACCATATTTGGAAACAAGGGACTAGATGAACCTGTATCAATTGTGGAGTGGAAAGTGCTCGAGTAACCACTACACCCAGTGTAACATCTCGAGATAAGTAGATAATTGTTATTCTGAAGCACATGATCCTGCTCCTGAAGCTGAAGGACAACTGCTGATGGTGGGGTGGGCTGGGGACACAGAGCTCGCTGAGCGGAGGGAGCGGACAGGTCTGTGTGGAGTTAGCAGATCATAGAGGTAAGGAGGCGCAAGGCTGGGGAGGGTTTTTGAAGGCCTTTGAGGTCTTTGAACCCCATTCTCTGGAGGGGAATGGGGAGCCAGTGGAGCCGTAGAATATCGATCAGAGGGTGAGTTTACTGACCTTGGCCATGATGTCTGCGTATGACATGTACAGATGATCCTCTTCCAGTTTGCTGAGTGATATAAAAATATAAAGTGTTGAAGACAGGTTGAACCTGGATAAACCTCACTAACTGAATAGATTACAACATGTGCCATTCCATCCCGACTAACTCAGGAACTTGTGAAGTGAAGCTCTTATCATTACTACTGAATTTCTGGATGTCCTGGAGTCCTGTAGCTCAGTGGTTAGAGCACGATTGTTAAGTTGATTGGTGGATCGCTTTTCTGGGGGTAATATCGCCTCCCAAAATAAATAATAATTTGGACACTCAATCCACGACTGTTTGTGGGACGCTGCGGTGCGCAATTGGCTGCCGCGTTTCGCCCACAAGTTGTACAGTCACATTATATTCTGCGAAGTGATGTTTTGAAGACGTCTCGAAGACGTGATAAGCTGCTGCATCAACTGCAAAGATTATTATTGTTGTCGTCGTCGTGGCGGTGCTTATTTCAGCATTTGATATAGCGCCTTAGCACGTCGAGACGTCTCAAATCATCGCTTCGCAGAATATTCAGCGCCTTGGGACGTCCTCACGATGTAAAAGGCACTGTACAGATCTAATCTTGTGCTGTATTGTGTTTGCAGACCTACTGTAATATTGTAGGTAAGTCGGTATTGAGCTACATACAGGATAGTACCTTTTCTCAGTGAGAGCTGTGCGGCTGAAGTGCAGGATCAGCTGGTGAAGAGGGTCGGGCTTAGTTTCCTTCGCCTCCTCTTCCTCCTCCTCCTCTTCACCTGATTTCTATTACACACACCAAACCACAAGAGTGTCAGAGTCTCAGTCCACACGTGCACACGTACTGCATACGCCTCAGATGTGATGGCATGAATATCACACATGTTCGGGTTGCGTCTAACATGGTCTGTCTTTTTTTGCGTGCAAGATTGGACCTGTGTAATCTTGCACTGAATCTCACACGGGAACCACACACACACACACACACACACATCACAATGAGTTTGAATCAATTGCTGCTTTTAAATCTGAAGAGACTTGCGGTCACAATTTCCTGGCAGTCTCATGCACAGCTTGATTTGGGTGTGTACATTGCTTAATGTACGTAAGCTTTCATACGTACATATATACATACATACAGCTTGCATGTATGTAAGCTTACATACATGAAGCAAGGCTATATTATTGGCATGCTAGACCAATCACAATATTACTCCCAAAACCGTGACAGCTCAGATCATCTCCTGTTCTTCACCTAATTTTTTTCCTGTCTTTCTTTCCCCGCCCACATCTCTCCACATCTCTACGTCACTCCTCTGATGACTACCCTCTACCTCTTTCCCTTCAGCCAGTGACTAATCCAGGCTCTTATCTATTTGTCCGTCTGTGAAGGTGGTCACTCGAGTGGAACTTTGCTCCAGGCTGGGTTGGAGTTTCTGACATTCAAATCGAGATGGGAGCATTTGCTGCTTCCAAGACTTTTGGAAGGTCCCTAAGGGTGACAATCCACTCCTTACGCTGGTCCACGCTTCACAAATCTCCTCCTAAGTAGTCTCTCGTAAGTAGCCCCATTTATGTTCTTTCACTTATACCTTGATGACTGTGTCAAGCGGGTTTCACAAGATTAGTTCAGGAGATGAACCATCTTCTCATCCCGCTAGAATACCTATCCTATTGTCTCGAAGACATGATAATGCGCTATATCAAATGCAAGGATTATTATTATTATTATTATCATCATCATCAATAAGTCTAGTGTCCTGGCCTCAACTACCATTCCTAGCACTTCCTCTGTTACTACCGCCTTTCCTTTATACCAAAGCCTTTGAGAGGAGCTTAACCAAGGATGGGCGCTATGTGACATATGGGGACATATTTTCCCTCGGCACATTCATTTACATCTAAAAACAGAAGTCGCTAGAAACACGCAGCAGGTCAGGCAGCATCTACGGAGGGAGGAATTCTTTTTTTCCATTTTCCTCTCCATAGATGCTGCCTGACCTGCTGCGTGTTACCAGTGACTCCTGTTTCGATTTCGGATCTCCAGCATCTGCAGTATTTTGCGTTTTGTTCATTGTCATATAGTTTGTTTGAAATCTCCTTTTGATGTTTTGTTGCGCTGTAAATAGTCTGACGTTAACGGTACCTCATTATACATGGATATGAGATTACAGAACAAAGTCAGAATTTTCTACTCCGGAACAGAGAATTACATTTCAACCATTTCCTCTACACTCACAATCGTAGGAGAATGACCTTCACACAGAGAACATAAAGACGAGACAAGGACAAAACACGAACAAGGCCACAAGACAGTGGGTCAGTAACCAGGGCACAAAGACTTAAGATAATTGGCAAAAGAACCAGAGGGGAGCTGAGGAGAAACTTTTTTTTACACACAAGAGTTGTTACGGTCTGGAATGCACAGCCTGAAAGGGTCGGTGGAAACAGTTTGAATAACAACTTTCAAAAGGGAATTGGATAGGTACTTGAAAAGGAAAACCGTGCAGGGGTATGGGGGAAAAGAGCGGGGGGAGCGGGACTAATTGGGTAGCTCTTCCAAAGAGGCACGATGGGCCGAACGGCCTCCTTCTGTGCTGTAAGATTCTATGGTTACGGATTTTTCTTTTAAAACATTCAGACAGGAAACGGCAGCCAGGCTGGGAATGTTCCTACTTTAGAATCATATCGTTTCCAGTACTGTTAGTGCTGTCATTTTTCCAGGCTTTACAACGAAGACATGTGGTACACATAGACGTGCCTGGAACTTGGACCCAGCTGAGGGTTAAGCCTTCCAAACCGTGATTCTTTACTGATTCTCGCTTAATGAAATTGGAAACCAAGCAAAATCATTTCGCCTGCCATCTTCTCAATACGATTCCAATAGATTCTGGCTTATCCTAAATATTCTCCCGTTAATAATAATCATTTGTAAAGTCCGTAGCTCAGTGATTAGAGAACTCGCCTCGCGAGCGAGAGGCCTGGGTTCGATTCCCAGCAGGGTAAAATGTTGGGCAAGTTTCCTTACTCCACACACGTGTCTCTGTTTACCGAGCGGTAAGTAGGGACCCGTTTCTAAGCATAGTTGGCTTCAGTCCAGTTTCCAGACATACAGCGAGAGGGAACAAGTCACACTGGCCACTGGTTCATTACACAAATACACACGGGCTATGGAGCAGAAACGGGGTTGTACGTACTGGTACAGCAAGGCAACAAGCCAGCTCACAGACACCAGTACTTACAGCCAGATCATCTATTAGTTTATCTTCAAACGAGTGCTCCTCGGTCTCAATCCAGGAAGTTCTATAACCTTCGATGAAGAGGTTAGATGCGCGGTGCCTGAAAAAGGGGTGGGGAGGGGGTGGGTGGGTGGTCACAGTGGCAATAGGAAGGGTTGGGAATAAAAACAGGAGTTTAGTGGTTACACTCTCTTATCACACACGTGTTAGGGACATCATTTGTACAATTACACTCTGCTGATTGGTCAGAGAACATGGAGTAGGCGCCCGTATAAGTCTTGCCTGGTCCCTCAAAAGCTATGGACAGTTTTTAGAATGAAGAATCAATGGGGAATCCCAATCAAACTGTGGCCAGAATCTGTGAGACGACACATTCTGACTGTTCATTAACCAGTAGCCAGGTGGCAGCATATATATATATATATATACGTATATATATCAGATGTTTCACAATACAAAAGATTATTTTGTTCCAAAATTAATTCTTGTTGTCAAACATCTCCAGGTATATATATATATGCGATGCCCTCTGCTAACCCTTTAAGGATCTTACTTTCTCTCCTGGCTTTTTCAGACTGAAGAGTGAAACGACCAGATATTTTACTGCAGATTTGCTTTACGGCCACGGTTAGGGGGCTGATGAAAATTGCAAAGAGCTTTAATATTCAAGCCCCAACAGGTAAAAATCCTCAAAAGTGTCCGCTGAAGCAGCCTGTATTACCAGGACTGTGTACGCTGCAATACTTTATTTGGTACCTAATAAACTGTTGTGGCATTTAAGCAGGTTGCTGAATCCAATGGATCCAGGTAGGCAGTAAAAGGTTCTTTTTAAGTAAGATATAGCGAAAGCGAACAAGATTGCAGAATCGTCACGGCTTGTGCATTACGCACGGAGGTGGAAACGAGAGTTTGTTTACTTCGGATGAGTGAACTCCAGGGACATTTCTTTTTTTGAGACGACTTGACAAGGCACTATATCAAACACAAGTATTATTATTATATTTTAAATGTGCCATGTTGTTGCTTTGACCAATCAGTTACTGCTGTAATTCTACACCATGCTTGTCGATAGACCATGTGCATTTGGAAACAGCGTTAGTATCAGTGCTGGACATCCATTTGCACTCTACGTTACCATCAGTAGGTACACAAGACTTGCAAAGTCGGTTTTCTCACACGCCCTGGTAAGCCATTGCCGTCGATAGGTGTTCATGAAGAAATAGCTAATTTTGTTTCTGAGAGAAGAGGATAAAGTTTGTTCATTCAAACCTTTCAGAATAACACACCTGGCGCAGAAATCGTTCAGAAACTCAACACACCCAAGACAGAGCGATGGTCCAACCAACCCACGAGGGTTAGAATGTCCTGCAACGCTTTCCGTTTGCAGCATTGCATTGAAAAGGACATCAGGATGTCAGGGGCCTTGGAGAGGGCGCAGAAGAAATTTACCAGAACGATACCAGGGATGAGGGACTTCAGTTATGTGGAGAGACGAGAGAGGCTGGGATCTTTCTCCTTACAGCAGGGAAGGTTGAGGAGAGAATTAATCGAGGTGTTTAAAATCCTGAGGAGTTTTGATATGAGAGAGTAAATAAGGAGAAACTGTTTCCTCTGGCGGGTGGGTCGGTAACCAGAGGACACAGCTTTAAGATAATGGGCAAAAGAACCAGAGGGGAGATGAGGAGAATTTTTTTTTCTAAACCCAGAGAGTTGCTACGGTCTGGAACGCATGGCCTGAAAGGGTGGTGGAACCCGGTTCGATAGGAGCTTTCAAAAGGGAATCGGATAGGTACTCAAAAAAGAAAAATGTGCAGGGCTGTGGGGTAAGAATGGGGGAGTGGGACTAGTTGGGGTAAGAGCGGGGGGAGTGGGAATAGTTGGTAACGCTTTCAAAGAGCCGGCACAGGCACGATGGGCTGAATGGCCTCCTTCTGTGCTGCAAGATTCTAGGATTCTATGAAAGTCAACAGGGCCACACTGAACCCCACTGTGAGCCTCAGACTCTTTATTCCTGGCTCTGAGTCTTGTCCCATGTAAACCGGTCGGCTGAGCACCAGGGGTGGGCACAGCTCAGCATCACAAGCCCAAGTCCGTGGGCTCAATGTTGACTTGGCGTTGATGGTAGATTCTTCATGTCGTCTCTGGTTCCAAAAAAAAACTTCAAGAAGTCATCAAGTTGTGTTCACTACCGCCTGTGTTCAGTTGTGCCCCTTTCCCCAACGACAAGTGCAAAAAACTACTCTACTGTGAAATGTTTCTCCTTTTCTACTGGCTCCCCTTCTGTTTCTTACTTACCTCTCTGTCTACGATCTTGTATTTAGCCCAATGTATCCTACATGCACTGCGTAATGTTCCTTTAATGTTCCTCATGATTCACCTTTGAGGGAGGGTGGACGAAGGCACGGTCGGAGAGGAAGGTCTCTAGACGCGACTTGAAGGAGGCGAGAGAGGAGGCAGAAGAGATCTGTTCGTACCGAGTTGGTTTGTGTTAATCCACGCTGTGGTGTCGGCAACGACAAGTGCCTCGTGGGAGGGGAACCTGTCTGTCGTATTAATTGACGCAGTATCTTACCTGGGTAAGTTATACAGTGGAGTCATTCTGAAACAGGCAACCACTGCCCGCCTGCGCTGCTTGGATAATAGTTTGTGCCAGGCCATCTTTTTGGACTTGTAAGGGTGCTCAGTCTAGACAACAACAACAACAAATTACACAAATCACACAGCGCCCTTTATGTCAGGACGACGTCCCAAGGCGCTGGATAATCAGGGATCCGCACCCGAGCTGGGGAGCTGGGATCAGGAGGGTAGGAGGAGGATAGAAGGATGACCGACCGAAGGCATGGTCGAGAGGAGGGTCCTGAGATGTGTTTTTTTTTAAAAAAGAATAATGTAATTTTTGGAATAATCCAAACTGCTGTGCAATCACACTCTGGGTGTTTCACACTCTGGGGTTCGTTTGACCGTTTGAAATCCCCACAAACGTCTTTTCGCTCAGAAAACCTCTCGTGGGTGTACCTGCTCCAGGTGGAACAGGACGGCGGAAACCTCTTGTACCCTCTTTACGATTTTCTCAGGGTTGTTGCTGTCTTCAGCTTTGCCAGCCGTGTCCCGGTACAACGCCATTTGCCATCGCATGGACGAGGAATTTTCACACTGCGAAATACAGACACAAGACAAAAGTTGCCTCTGCTCCACGGGCTCCGGCCTACTCCATGTCCCCTACCCGGCCTGCCCCACCATCGGCGGTCGGGCTTTCTTTGCCCCCACCCTCTGGAACTCCATCCCACATTCCCTTCGTCTCGCCCCCTCCCTTGCCTCCTTCAAGGACTTTCTCAAGACCCTCCTCTTCGACCACGCCTTCGGTCACCCTCCTACCCCTGCCCTCCACCCTCCCTGATCCCAACCCCCACAGCTTGAGTCAAAATCCCTGACTGTCCAGGGTCTTGGGACGTCCTCGCAATGTGAAAGGCGCTGTGTAACTGCCATTTTGTACTGTATTGTACATCTCTTTGACCACACTTTGGTCCCCCAGCTCAAGTGTAAACCTTAGACCCGTGGTGACCAACCTGTTTGGTCGGTTCCACAAAATAATAATAATAATAATCCTTGCATTTGATATAGCGCTTTTCACGTCGGAAGGACGTCCCAAAGTGCTTCACAGAACACACTGTAAAGTGAATTGACTGTATATTTGTGGGCGAATGCGGCAGCCAATTGTGCACAGCAATGTCCCACAGACAGTCGTGGGTTGAAAATGACCAATTTATTATTATTTTGGGTTTTGGAGGGATTATTATTAGGCTCTGTGTGGAGTAAGGAAACTTGCCCAAGGTTTCGCCCTCTGCCTGGAATTGAACTCCGGTCTCTCACTTGCAAAGCGAGTGCTCTAACCACTGAGTTACAGGACTCCACAATAAATGTTGATTGAATATTTCTTGATTTACGGCATCAATTGAAAAATATTCAATCAAGAAAAACCTGGAAACCCGCTACCGATCGAGTACAGACTTACCTATACTAGTTCGTATGTCCACTGGTTTGGCCACCACTGCCTTAGACTGTTCAGCGCCTTGAGACGTCTTCCCGACGTCAAAGCCGTGATATAAATGCACATTTGCTGTGTTGTTAAAGCACATATTTAGGAACACCAGCAGGTGGTGCCCTCTCCAGTTAGCACTGAGGTTCGGAGACCAAGCTGTATCACACACAACAAATGATATTTCTATGGCGCCTTTCACGTCAGGAGGACGCCCCAAGGTGCTAATCCTGCACACACAGGCTCGGGACATTCCTGTGTTGCTATGAGAACACAATTGGCTTTTTATGGAGCGAAGCCCTTACCTTTTCTTGCAAGTAGAGATTGCTCTGAAGAAACTCTTGTACCTCTTCATCTGTATCTTTCTGTCGGGGTTGGAGGAGAGAAAGTCACTGACGATGGCTTGCCCCGACCATTTATCAATCTTAAATTTATACTCTCTAGTCACTGATAACAACACATTGCATGTATCTAGGGCCCTTCACGTGGGGCAGCATCCCGGAGCGCTTGTCAATGGCGGAGTCTGAGCCAGGGGAAAAAGGGAGGGAAGTGACCATAAGCACGATCCAAAAGGAAGGTCTTTAGGTGGGATTTGAACGTGGGGAGGGAGGGAGGGAGGGGGCAAGGTGTAGGGATTGAGGGAGAGTTCCAGAGCTTCGGGGCGTAGTGGCTGAAGGCAAGGCCGCCGATGGTGAAGCGGAGAAAGGCGAGGTTTGTGCCCTCTGGTTCAGGACAGTCACTTACCAGACTGTATCTGGTCTTGGCTATGTTAATAAGTTCTTGATCAGCAGGAGAACACATGTTGAGGCCGATAGGAAGCATTTTCTTAAGGGTTGCGACAATCAGCGACGTCTGAACGGAGTAACGGTCCCCTCGCCTCTGCTTTTTCATCCTTTCCTGGTCAGAACCTCCAGACTGAGAACAGTGAGAGCGGTTTACAGACCCACATCCAACACTGTGGGCCCTTCGTACATCCCAAATCAGTACATTGTGGATTCAGGTTCAGGCTAAATCACAATTGCATAAAAGATGCTGCAAGCAGGAAACATCGCTCAGAGACTTTTGCACACAGAGATCATCAGAGAAACATTTCCAACAGGGGTTATGCTTTTTTTTTAAAAAAAAGAAAATCTAAAGCTAGGATATCTCACCAGTCATGGTTTGCGTTTCACTCATCCGAGAGACCCCAAAACAATGATCAGATTGAAAGATTAAGTGAAATTATAAGGGTCTTTCTTGTCAGGGAAAGCACAGCATCGAACCATTACCTGATGCAATATTCTCTTTATTCCGTGGATCTTGTTGGACTTGGGTTTGGAATGGTTGTCAGACCCATACAACCGTTCCACCATTCAGTGAGGTCTATTATAGTTTACTTTGACTTATGTGAGACATCACTTTCGTGAACTGTGCGTATCACCAACAATACCCATAGAATAAACACATTCATTTATATATTCGTTACACAGGGCTTAAGATAAGGGGTACTGGGATTTTACCTGTCAATTTTTAACTTATAAATTTGACCCTACCCTAAAAGGTTAATGGATTGCTCGTTTGCGATCATTCAAATGAAAAGTATTGATGCGGTTTTAAAGTACTGACTTCAAAAATGTCCCGTTTTGTATCATTATCTGAACCCCTGTTCATATGCACAGTGACAACATGCATCCAATCAATCAGTGAGTACGGGTGAAACTTAAGACTACCCGTGAAGGGACCTGTATTAATCAAATAGTTAACAGGTTTTTTTTTTTACCTTGAACACAACCAAGCCCTAGAATGGAAATGTAACTTGATATGAAACATGCTCTTTGGACAGAGGTTGAAGAATCGAGATCACATTAGGGTAAAAGCTCAACAGCAGTGGATGTTTCACTCGTACTGATGAGATAGAGATCATCATCGTGGTCAACTCCTGATGTGTCAAATCCCACTGGAAACCTCTCAGAATTGATGTCAATAAGATGAGAGTCATTTCCAAGTCCGATGAGATCTGCTAGCTGAGAGTTCGATTGCAAATGAGTTCTGTATTTTACGTTCAGAAACAGACAAGAGTTATGTGCAATGCAGCCGAACTGATTCCTCTGCTTGTAATATCTGCCACCCGGCTGTAAAATGAAAGCAGACTTCAGCAACCACGATGCTGTTTGAGATCACACTCATTTGTTTAATTTGCCATGTCATTGTCTGGCTTGTTAGTTGTAGATTAATCAATGAAAAACACTGGCTCTTCTAAAATGACGTTAAACCGTAAAGGCTCTGTTGTTCACCCAGAGAAGGTGTGGAGTCACTGCTTAGAACATCGGTGTATTTGCCATTGGAGGGTTGGCAAAGCAAAGGTGGCAGCTTTAATGGGAGTCAAGTGTCATCTTTTAGGCTTTACTGCCTTCTCAGAATGTCTACATTGGAAAAAGGGTGAAGGGTATTCTACCTTCCTCCAAAGGAGCAAGCACTAACAGGACCCATGGAATCATATAGCACAGGAGGCATTCGGCCCGTTGTGCCTGTGCCGGCTCTTGAAAGTTACCAACTCGTCCCACTCCCCTGCTCTCTCCCCATAGCCTTGCAAATTTGTATTCCCCAAATCTCTATCCACTTCTCTCTTGAAAGTTGTTATTGACTTGCCCAAGTGGCCTTGATTGTAAGGGTGGACTCTAACTAAGGCCCACGTGTAGACTCCCCGGTAAATGTGCTAGGGAGTCGAACTGAGTTTACCCGAGGCCCGTGGAACTTGGTAAGAATTATTAGTCAGTGCACTTAAATTCCTATCCTGGGAAGGTTAAAGAGCCTCTGTGCATCGATGGGGCTACAACAAAGTTGGCCACTGCTTACGTTAGATTGTTGAAGAGAGATGGCTTGTTACAGAGGGACTTTTCAAGGATGGTTGTTGACAGCAGGTGGTTGCTGAATAGAGGTTTGACAGTGTTAACCACTCAGTACGAAAGCAGGAATTTTCACAAAGCATTAATTCCCGACAACGCGTGCCTTTAAGGGTCAGTCATTACACAGCCAGCAACACTTCAGATATGTCTTGCACAGTTCAAGAGACAGTCTTTTGGTGGTTAGTTATTATTAATAATAATAATAGCTTCTCCAGCTCATTTGGTTCAATGTTATTTTGCGGTGAAAGAGTCGGGTCTTTTTTTTTTGGTCAAATGTTCCGACTTCTTTCAAAGAAAACTGATAAACCAGATTTCCTACTGACAGTTGTTGTAAAAGGAAATTAACTGCGTCGACATCGAACGATGTACAGTTTAAAGGTGCAAGTCACATCGAAATTGCTCTCCCGCTCATCAATCATTTCAGGGGATGTCTGGGCTGTAATCGTATTTAGAAGAGCATCACAATATATCAATAACATTCTGGAGGATACGATTAACTCAATTTTAAGTCGTTCTTAAAGCTGACCGCGCGCAATCTGGTCTGCACTCCCTCTTCATGCGTTTTTATGCTGTCACAAGCCTTGGGGTGTCGAGTTCCCTCAATGGGCTGCATTTATTTCAAATATTAACATATTGAAATATTGTGACAACCCCCGGCCAAGCAGAAATCGACCGCACGTAGATTAACTCTGAATCGAGGCAAAACCGTTTAGAAAGTGAGATCGTGCTGCTGGACGTATCGTAGCTGGTCATACTATTGCATCCTCTTCACCGACGGATTCACTGCATTATTTGCATTGCTTTTAACTCTTTGCTCTCATCCCAACAGACATATCGAGGCAATTTACATGAGATGCTGGATTTCTCAGTGATTTACCCAACTGCGAGGAATCATCAACGATAATAATGATAATAATCCTTGCATTTGATTTGCCGCCTTATCACGTCTCGAAGCGCTTCATGGAATATACTGTAAAGTGAATTGACTGTATGTTTGGTGGTGTTGGAAAGCGGCAGCCAATTGCGCACAGCAGTGTCCCACAAACAGTCGTGGATTGAGTGACCAATTTATTATTTTTTTTAACGAAGGAATTATTTACCCCCGAAAAAGCGATCCCGGGGGTAACAACCAGGTTCCTACTTATTGCTAGATAAACAGAGGAGTGTGTGTGTGGAGTAAGGAAACTTGCCCAACATTTCGCCCTGCCGGGAATCGGACCCGGGTCCCCTCACTTGTTAGGCGACTGTTCTAACCACTAAGCTACCAATGAAGAACCGATATGATCTGTCCACTGAGAGTAAACCATTTGAATGATTCTTCAGCATTGTATTAGCACTGAGTAACTAATACATCCCACTGCTCACTTAAACTCACAGTTAAAATCTGATTATAAAAAATATCAAGGACACATTAGAGAAATTCTGGATATTCTGGATCTGCTAAGAGTAACAGACATAAATTTATCCAGCAGCATCATGTAAACCGCTGGTTTGATTCACATGGTGAGAGCTAATGGCTAAGCCATCTCCTTACAAATCGAACACAAAATATCTGACAAGATCACTGTAAGGACAGGCTCCAAGGCTGATGGAATTAGGCCATGGCTGGTATATTAACACTGAACACCCTCTCCACGTACCTCACTGTGGGTTCAGTTATAATAATCCTTGCATTTGATATTCTAGACGTCTCAAAGCGCTTCACAGAATCTACTGTAAAGTGATTTGACTATTGTTTTGTGGGCGAAACACGGCAGCCAAATGCGCACAGCAGTGTCTCACAAACAGTTGCGGATTGAAGTGACCAAATTATTGCTTATTTATTTGAAGGGATTATTAGGCCCAGAAATGCGATCTGCCAATCAACTAATAAGTGGGTTCCTATTTACTGCTGGTAAAGAGAGGCGTGTGTGAGGAGTAAGGAAACTTGGCCAATGTTTCGTTCTGAAACGAGTGTGCGAGTTCAACATTTTATGTGTAATTGGACGTAAAAAGTGTGAATGTGTGTTATAACAGGATTTCCTTTTATAAGGGAATTGGCGTGCACTAGAGTTCGTAGCTTCCAAACAACCCAAAGCAACTTCTACCAGCAAATCCCTGTGGCCTAATTCTGTTTTAAGATTAATAATTAAAAGATATGAATTTTGTTTTTCTTGAAATCAAATTGTGCCTGATTCCATGATCCTGGTGATAGAGAACAAGACAGCACTGGCTACTCAGAGGGCCTTTAGGGGAGGAGTGTGGGAGAATGCGACCAGCAGTGCCAAGCTAACTGCACAGCGGATGCACATTTGTATCATCATGCCCTCTGACCTGTCCATCATCTCCAGACTAGTCAGGCAGAAACGACCGCAGATGTCAATATGCCGGAGAAAAGATATGAAATTAGGAGAGGATTAGACAACTTCACCTGTTTCCAAAGGAGTGAAAGGCGTCAGTCAACACATTAAAGCATCGAATACAATAAATCAATCGGATCGGATTATCACACAAACGTGTTCAGTTCTTTGCCCGAAGGATGTGCCCATTGCTCCAGGTAGCGCTGTTCATCACAGGGGCCATTTTGCCCCCCAGATGTGGCCTCCTCCATCACTTGCGTTTCACGTGGGAAACAGAATACAGACAAAATCACTTGCTTTGTTAGATAGTTAAGAGAAACATCTTCAACAAAGACAACAACTTGAATTTATCTGCCGCCCTTCACGCAGTTTTTACAGTTCTCAGCAGAACTGGTAATCTGCAAGCGTACAGCGTCCCGGGAAAGAAAATTGCTGTGAGCTTTGAAAACTGAAGAGCGTAAATTTGTTAACAGTCGTCCAAATACTCGGGATGAAAGAATGGTATGATGGCCGGGGAATGGGAATGTGTGATGTAGGTGAATGGAGACAGCTTGGTGTGTTCATACTGATCCCGACTCACATTTGCTGACTGATTGCTGACATTTTGAAGGCTTAAAACTTTGAAGGAAAGGTTGCACCTTTTCATACCTCCTGAATGAGACAAGCAATAGGGTCATTGGATTAGACAGGGTGATCCAGTGTGAATGCTTGTAGGTCGATTCGAGAATTGTTTATCAACTAGAAACAACTTAATTCCAAAACAAGGTCACATAGTTTATTGGTAAGTATATTTCTTCATATTCCACTATCTTTCAAACTGAGACTATATTTGTGGAGTTGTTAAGATTGTGTTAAATCCTGTGTCCTATAGCAGAGTCCTCTTTAACAAACAATAGTTCTTTATCACCCTATAAAGCAGCTTTGGAAGGGCCTGAGGGAAAGGAAAGCAGGAATTATCTTCATTCCGATTTCAGATGCTAGGTGATCTCTGTAAATTATTGACATCCTATATAATCTGCACAAGAGAGACAATGTAGGGAGGATTAAGAGAAGTGCAGTCATAATAATAGTCCTTGCATTTGATATAGCACCTTATCACGTCTTCGAGACGTCTCAAAGCGCATCGCAGAATATACTGTAAAGTGAATTGACTGTATGTTTTGTGGGCGAAATGTAGCAGCCATTTGGGATTGACAGTTGTGGATTAAGTGACCAAATCTGTTTTTCTTTTTTGAAGGGACTGTTACTCCCGGAAAAGCGATCCGTCAGTCTACTAACAACCGAGGTAAACAGAGGCATGTGCGCGGAGTTAGGAAACTTGCCCAATGTTTCGCCCTGCCGGGAATCGATCCCAGGTCTCTCGCTTGCAAGGCGAGTGCTCTCGATGAGCCTCGATGAAACCAAGACAGAGCCTTTGGTTTGCTCGATCGTTATCCGAAATGAGATAAGGTTGGTCACCAAGTCTGCGAACTGAAACTAATCTTCCAATCAATCTTCCAAGAGCAAATGATCAACGATTAACAAATGATCCACAATTAATCCATTGTTTTAGGGAAAATAGGGCAATATGATTACAGTCTTTAAGATTCTAAAGGGACGAGATAACGTAATAATAATAATAACGTAGACCACAATACACTGTTATATCTTGTGCTGAGCAGCAGATCCAAAGGACACGGCCTGCGATTGAACCGGGGGGTAAATTCAGAACAAATCTACTTCAGTGAGTGAGTAGTAAACGTATGGAACAGAACAGTCTCCTGAGGGAGAGACAGATGGTGGAAGCAGAAAGGGTCGATTCTTTCAAGAACAAATTAGATAGATTTCTGTTAGGAAATAATATCTGGGGGGGGGGGGGGGGGGGGGCGGGGAATACAGTATATAGTATGGGACACGACATGTCAAATGATGGCCAGGATGGCGGAAGGCAAACTAGATGGACCTTGGTCTTCTTTCGTCCAGCAAATTCTTATGCTCTGCAGCACACTTTTGATGATGCACCAAACAACCTGGCTCATTAGCGGGACTAGGACTACTACTGCGCTCTCAGTAGTTTGGCTTTACTCAAGCTTCGGGAATGGTTTCCGCATGTGTCAGACTAAGAAAAACTAAAACAAAATGCGGACTAAAGGAAAGCATTCACATTGACCATTATACTTGAGTTTCTGCCCACGTGTTGATTGTCGAACAATCTTGGCTAAACTCTGAATAAATAGTTACCTGAATTGTAGGAATACCCACATTCATAAAGCTCTCTTACCTTGGACATCTTGCTTTTGCTGTCTGCAGTTAGGAAGGACATGTTGTTGATTTCATTTTGGACCACAAAGTTCTGTTCTTCCCTTTTGAAATTCTACGGAGGCAGAAATGCATTTCAAAACCCTTCAGTAGTTTTGAGTTGTGTTCTCAACAACAACTTGTATTTATACAGCACCCCTCACACAGGGTAGCTTCCCAGAGCGCTTCTCAAAGCCAATAGGAAACCAGGTAATTAATAATAGTAATCCTTGCATTTGACACAGCGCCTTATCACATCGTCGAGACATCTCACAAAGCGCTTCACAGAATACTGTAAAGTGGAGTGACTGTGCACTGTGACACACCATCTGCAGACTAAATGACAAAGTGACCGGTATAAAAGCGGTAAAACAGCCATCAGGCTGTAACCCATCCCGACGCTCGAGTATCCAAACCAAACCACTGAGAGCACAGCACTGTATAACCTACGTGTGACTTTGACCACAGGATAAAGATGTCTCCAACCATCCTGAAGAGCTCCTCAGCATCGGGGTCTGGTTCAGTCAACCATTTGGCTCTGTTAAACACGAGAGAAATGAAAGTCAGAATCAGAAAGTTCTGCAGAAGTAACTGAAGAAACTCTGACGCATGTAATCAGCGCATAACAAAAACAACAGATTACATTTACGTTAGTGTCTTTCACGTCAGGAGGACGAGCACGATGCTGAGCCAGAGGAAGGAGGGGACGAAAGGCACGGTCGAACTGGAGGTCTTCAGGCGCGACGTGAAGATGGGGAAGGAAGGGGGCAACGCAGAGGCAGGGATAGAGGGAGAGAGTGTGACAGAGTTTCAGGGCATAGTGACTAGAAGCTCACCGATTATTGTCTACATAGCGAATCAGCAGTGGGTACAGAGCGTACAGGTCCCGGCAGAGGACGGAAAACTCATCTCGAATGAGTAGCTCAGACTCCACGTTGTCACCCTTCCCCTCCATGCGAAGCTGGTCCTCCTCAGCCACCACCTTCCCCGATCGCTTCTTCAGCTTCTCCATGGTGGGGATAAAATGGGACTTCAGCAGCTCGGGTTTGGCTTTGCTAATGATGGGCTGTGCAAATACTGTGTGAAGCAAAGCGTGAAAAAACACCAATGACTATTTCAGCTGAGATCCAACCACAACACGGTACATTTGTGCAGCGCCCTTCATGTCAGGAGGACATCCCAAGGACGTCCCACAGTCAGGGATCCGCACACAAACTCTTTGAGATGCCTCAACAATGTGATAAAGCACTAATCAAATGTCAAATCCAACAATTATTATTATTATATATTAATATTATTGGAGGTTATGGTGCTTTGCAAAGGATTCTTATTATTTATGGCTACATTTCTCTCAGCTGAGCGTACCTGCCAGTCTCTTCATCCAGGAAGCCTCGTCGATGCCCAAGTTATTAACCACGATTTTCAAAATGTTTCCCAGCAAGGTGTTCATCTGTTCCGATGTGACGGTGGTGGAGCTCACAGTGATTTCCTCGGAATTGTTCTCTGGTCCTCGATCCCACCATCGGGGCAGGTAGTTACACAACATTGGCAGAGTGATCTCAATGACGTGCGGCATCTCAGTGTAGCGGGCTCCAGATTCCGCCAAGTCACTAATTTCTTTCATGAGGCAGTCCAGGTCGGGAATATCGGAACACATTTCCTCCACAGTGTTCGGCAGACCCAGAACTGTGGAGAGAGAATAAACCTCTTTACATTCAAAACTATGAGAGGCTTTGTTAAGAGTAGAGGGAGAAAAAAACAGAGGGTCAACGAGGAGACCTTTTTTTTATATATACGCAGTGGGTTGTTACGGTCTGGAATGCACTGCCTGAAAGAGGGTGGAAACAGATTCAATAACAACTTTCGAAAGGAAATTAGATAAGTACTTGAAAAGGAAAAATTTGTAGTGGTATGGAGGGGAAAGAGCGGGGGAATGGGACTGATTGGGTGGCTCTTCCAGGCACGATGGGCTGAATGGCCTCCTTCGGTGCTGTAATATTCGATGATTCTATTATCAGCTCAGAGAGAAACGTTACAAAGAATGTTTAGAACATAATCCCAGCTAAAATAGATCCCTTCGTTGCTCTCCCAAACAACACAACTTGCATTTATATCGCGCCCTTCACGCATTGTAGGCACCCTGGAGCGCTTGACAGTGGCAGAGTCTGACACCGAGCCAGGGGGAGCGGGAAGGGGGGAGGTGACCGTAAGCACAATCAAAAAGGATGGTCTTTAAGCGGGATTTGAAAGTGGGGAGGGAGGGGGCAAGGCGGAGGGATTGAGGGAGAGAGTTCCAGAGCTTCGGGTTCCTAAAAGGTATTCCACGTGACATCTTTGTAGCCGAAACACAGAAGAGGCTTTTGCCAAGTCAGTCAACATTGTACAGAAGGCTATTCCCAAAGTTTTTTTAATATATTGATTCAGATCCAGTTTGTCGCCATTGCGCTCCGCAGTTCACCTGTACATTAAAGCTGTAATCGCTGGATTTGACACAGGCGTTTGGCTTCTGTTGTACTTACTGGTGCGTTCACGTGACGATTTCGTATTGTAAACGGAGTAGATATTGTGCTCGTTAAGATGATGTTCAAGAAAGGCCACCGGCATTGCAGCCGCCAGTCTGGCCAGACACTCACCCAGGGAGGGTCGATGTCTAAAACATACATAAAGAAATCTGTTTGTAAGAGTTACTTTGAGTGATACAGCACAGTTTATACGCCACACAAGCTCTCACCCCTCCTGATCCCTTCCCGTATTATGCCCAGTTTATTTTGTTCTGAAAACATTCCAACAACCTTCCACAAACCACACTGGACTCAAAAACATGTCTCTTTGGCGCAGCTCAATTAAAAACAGTGGGAATAACGGGGCTATTGCCTCCTGCTTCCGTGAAGGTCAGATGCACATCAATAACAGCTACAACAGCTTGCATTCATATCACAGCTACTCTACCCGCCGGGTACACTGAGTGACCAAATTATTTTTATTTATTTTGAAGGAATTATTAACCCCGTAAAAGCAATCGGCCAATCGACTAACAACCTGGTTCCTACTTACTCCTAGGAAAACAAAGGAACGTGCGCGGAGTAAGGAAACTTGCCCAATGTTACGCCCTTCCCGGGAATCGAACCCAGGCCCTCTTGCTTGTGAGGTGAGCGCTCTAACCACTGAGCTACGTAATACCTTTCCACGTAAGGATTCTTTGTGGTTCCAAGAGAATAAATACTGGATAGGATTCGGTAACACGAGACTTGCACATCATCCACTGTAAAAATAAGAATGTGTCCATTAAACTCGGGCTTGTAAAGTGCACACACCAAACACAACAACACAGCTCTGATCACCTCACCCTCACCACCTCCTGGCGAGTTTCTGATACAATGACATGGAAGTCAGTAACGATAATGATTATACTGTAAAGATTACTGTCAGCACCTAAACATGATGCTCGACCTTGCATTGTAGCTCTGTTAGACCGAGTTATGGACAACGAGCCAGAGCAGGGCAGGGATTTAAACATGAGGAAGCCCTTCAGACATAGGAATCATTATTTAATAATAATATAGCGTTTTGATATTTGCTCTTAAGCACGGTGATGGGTTTGCACCCGTGTCTGACACACGCCTGGCTGGCCCAAAAAAATCTACCAGGTGCAATGTGACTTGTCACAGATGTGACTCCTGTTCACATCCAAGGTATTGTGGCCGATCATATGCACAGGGTCTACACAAGGGTAAACACCAGCAACAACAACAACAAATTACATTTACGCAGCGCCTTACATCAGGAGGACCTCCCAAGGCGCTGGACAGTCAGGGTTCTGCAGCAAGTTGGTGGTTGGGAACAGAAGGGTTGGTGCGGGAGGGAGGGAGGTAGGGGCAGGAGGGTGATTGAAGGCGTGGTCGAAGAGGAGGGTCTTGAAGGAGGCGAGAGAGGGGCGAGGCAAAGGGACTGTAGGATGCAGTGCCAGACGGTGGGGGTGGAGAGGCTGACGGCTTCTCAGTTACCGTTACTGAATACCTACGGATCACGTCGTCTCCAAACTGATGCTGTGCGATATGCTCAAACAGGGAGGTAAGTACAGGCAAAAGGGCCACAGTGGTGTAGTTGACGTTCTGAGCCACTCCCTTCACTTGTGTTTTCTGAGAGACTTTGCCAAGTTTCAGATTTTCCACGGTTTTCTCAATGTCCTCAGACGCTCCTTCAAAGAATGACCGCAGACCTGCCTTTACAATCTCAGGGCCAGATTTCATCACAGTCCTGTTAACACAATGCGGTTCGAGGTTAAGGCGAAGAGAGAGACAATAGGAATCATTTTATTATAATAATAATCCTCGCATTTGGTAGAACTCCTCACCAGATTCTTGAGACGCCCCAAAGCGCTTCACAAAATACAGTGTAAAGTGAACTGAATGTATTTTGTGGGCGAAACGCAGTAGCCAATTATGCACAGCAGTTTCCCACAAACATTCGTGGAGTGAGTGACCAAATTATTATTTATTTTATTTGGAAGTGATTATTAACCTGGAAAGTGAGGCGCCAATCAACTAACAAGCGGTTTCCTACTTACTGCTAATTAAACGGAGGCGTGTGGAGTAAGGAAACTTGCCTAAGGTTTACCCTGGCCTGGAATTGAACCCAGGTCCTCTCGCTTGCGAGGCAAGTGCTCTAACCAATATGAATAGAAAATGATTCTCACAGCGCTAATTAAAAGTGATGACTCTTGTACTTACCATATTTGATAATGTTTTATAACAAATACTTATAAAGAATGAAATAAATGATTCGTATAATAGTATATTAATAATCCTTGCAGTTAATACGGAGCCTTATCACATCTTCTAGATATCTCAAAGCACTTCACAGAATATACTGGAAAGTGTAGTGACTGTGTATTTTGTGGGCAAAACTTTATGTTTACCTCTCAGTGCAGTATAGATGCCAATGAGCTACTTGAAACCCAGTGAATATTGTTCTGAAAATAAACCCAATCTGTGCCCGGAGCCTCCCACACACAACATTGAGATGAAAGACCAAATGCATTTTCTTTGGGAATTTGGATGAGGAGGAAACATTGGCTGAGCCTCTGAGAAAACTGTTAAACGGCGTTTTATCAAATTTTTCATTGTGACTGTATGTTCAGAATCTGGGTCACCTAACGGTAGTCATTTGTGGAGGACGGAGATACAAAGAGACAGCGATTACATGCTTCTGTAACAGTCTTGTCAGGATAGATCAATGCTGCTGGTCAGAGACCAGCAGATCCTAACATCAACACACGTACAGGGTACGAAATTGCACTCACCTCGCATCCAGAGACCGTGCCAAAATGTGCAAACAGTTTATAATTGTGGGGGCATCAGTACCTGTTCGGTAAATCAGAACATTCGCTCTGTTAATTGCACCACCATTTCGATCAATTCTGTTGCATTAAATTACAACCACGCACAGAGAAACCCAGCCACCTGCCCGCCCTCCCTCTCTCTCTCATTCGGAGGCAACGTCAATCCTGTCCTGACTGCAAACATTGACTGAACAGAAAACCGCTTCTGATAATAATAATCCTTGCATTTGATATAGCGCCTTATCATGTCTTCGAGACGTGTCAAAGCGCTTCACAGAATATACTGGAATAAAGTGGAGTGATTGTGTGTTTTGCAGATCTTTTGAAGAACTGCAAAAAACCAAGCTGCTCGTGTCAATCATAGTTTTCTATATAAACAGGCTGTGATTTCAGGCTTCTTTCAAAAATCTTTTTGACATACATATATATTTATATACCTGGATAAAGCATCTGAACTTTTACCTCACTCCCAGGCCCAGTTTTCTCTCAAGTCTCTTGTGAACCCAATAGAAATGATGTTCAAAAGAGTACACAGCTCCACTCGCTGCATACATTGAAACCACTCTTCTTCTCACCTGTTTCTCTTTGTCAGAGAAAAGGCTTCTACCCTTGTTAGAGTTAACATCATTTCAGTGAGTCGCATCAGAAATCCCGCCTGTTCCTTTCGTCGCCCTCGGCTGCCCATTGCGCTAGATCCTTGAATCCCCTCGTCACATTTAGGGTATTATTAGGCAAGCAAGCAAATGAGAAGCAAATATACTACATATAGGGCATTTGCAGAAAGCCAAGACAGTGAAAACAATCCTTGTAATATTTCACTCACAGCAAAATTAGAACACAACACAAATATAGTTCCTAGAAACTGCTTTCAGAGTGTGTGAATATAATGCACTGCTGAAGGGGATCGGAGATGACGCAAAGTATTCTCAGGCAGAGCAATCAAAATATTCTTTAAGCTCAATCCTAATATTGTGTGACAAGGCAAAAACCAAAATACTGCAGATGCTGGAAATCTGAAATAAAAACAGAAGTCGCTGGGAACACGCAGAAGGTCGGACAGCATCTATGGAGAGAGGCAAGTGAGTTAGCATTTCAGGTCGATGACGAAAAGTCTGACGAAAGAAAGGTCATCAACCTGAAACCTTAACTCACTTTCCTCTCTCTCTCTCTCTGTCTCTCTCCGTAGATGCTGCCTGAACTGCTGCGTGTTCCCAGGGACTACTGTTTTCATTTCTAACCTTGTGTTTTGGAAGAAAATAAAACCTAGCGCGCAGACAAAGAAAATACAGAGAAGACAGAATGGTAGCAAGACAGATCAGATCGCACAGTGCAGGGTTCAAAAGGGCTGCTCTTCTCCAGACACTCCATGCAGCTTACCAAAGAGGGAGACTCTATGCCTGACCAAAGCTGCCATTTTGCAGAAGATACTGAAGCAGAGAAACAATGAGGGAAGAAAAGGAGTGAGACGATGCAAGAATAGACAGTAGCTATCATTACTAAGAGAGGAATTAGTGAGGAGAGAAACTTGAACCAAATTATATTGAACCGATAAAAATGCACCTAAGTCTGGCTGCAGCCTTGTACTTACCGAAGTGTCCAAAAAAAAACAAGCCCATGCCACAATCACATCAACAACAACAACAAATTACATTCGTATAGCGTCTTTCATGTCAAGAGGACGTCCCAAGGTGCTGGACAGTCAGGGATCCGCACCCAAGCTGGTAGATGGGAATCAGAAAGGGTGGAAGGCAGGGAGGGGGATAATAATAATCCTTACATTTTATACAGCGCCTTATCACGTCTTCGAGACGTCTCAAAGCGCTTCACAGGATATACTGTAAAGTGAATTGACTGTATATACTGAAACGCGGCAGCCAATTGCGCACAGCAGCGTCCCACAAACAGTTGTGGATTGAGTGACCAAATTTTTGGTCAAACCCCAGGTCTCTCGCTTGCGAGGCAAGTTCTCTAACCACTGAGCTACAGGACTCCACAGTCCTGGAGGGTGACCGAAGGCACGGGCGAAGAGGAGGATCTTGAGGTGGGTCTTGAGATGGGTCTTGAAGGAGGCGAGGGAGGGGGCGAGGCGGAGGGACTGCGGGATTGGGTTCCAGAGGGCGGGGGCAGAGAGGCTGAAAGCCAGAAAGCAATCTGCAACCGACTAACAGGTAATTGTTAAATTAAAAAGCTCAAAAGCCCTGAACCTGCAACTTAATGACTCAGAGGTGAGAGCGCTGCCCATTCAGACACGTAAGACTTGCACACTGAACACACCTGGCTATCATCTCTTTCTCTTTGTTGGAGGCATGTCCACCGCTGCCCAGCAATTTGGCCGGAGTGGACAGGAAGTACAAGCAGTGGTTCTTGAAAGATTGATTGATCAAAGGGAGCAAAATCTGAGAAAGAAACCAATGAATGAATAATAATAATTCTTGCATATGATAGAGCGCCTTATCACATCTTTGAGAATCTCAAAGCCTCTCACAGAATATACTGTAAAGTGAATTGATATATATTTTGCGGGTGAAACGCGGCAGCCAATTGTCCACAGCAGCGTCCCACAAACAGTTGTGGATTGATGGACCAGATTATTATTTTTTTTTGGAACGAATTATTGCTCCTGGAAAAGCGATCCACCAATCGACTAAACAGAGGTTTGTGGAGTAAGGAAACTTGACTCAGGTTTCACTCTTCTACTGGTTTGCTGCAGATGAGCTGTGCACGAGACACTACAGTCACAACACAACAGAGACACAACAAACCAGGCCAACCTCTAATACTTGCCTTTGCAAAGAACTTGATCTCCTGTTCGTGAGGAGATTTCTCAACTCTTCCACTGCTTACAACTGCCTCTGTGTTGTGGGGGGGAAAGTTGCATTACATGGGAACAAATACAGTGAGTGCTCAGATACCAATTGTATTCAGCCTATCTCAACAGCGCTGGATAAGTAAAGTCACAACTATAATAACAATCCTTTGATATAGCCCCTTATCACGTCTTCGAGACGTCTCAAAGCGCTTCACAGAATATACTGTAAAGTGAATTGACTGTATTTTGTGGCAGAAACGTGCACAGCAGTGTCCCACAAACAGTTGTGGATTGAGTGGCCATTTTTTTTAAAAAAGGAATTATTTCCCTAGGAAGAGCCGGATTCTTTGAAAGATCGAATGGATTGATTGGCAGATTTTTTATCATTTTTTTTAAAGAAAGTATTACTCTCGGAAAAGGTGATCTGCCAATCAACAAACAACCATGTTCCTACTTACTGCCAGGTAAATGGAGGTGTGTGGAGTAACGAAACTTACCCAACGTTTCGCCCTGCCAGGTATCGAACCCAGGTCTCTCGCTTGCGAAGCGAGCGGGTTAACCACTACACTATGGGACACATATTGTTATTACGGTCTGGAATGCACTGCCTGAAACGGTGGTAGAAACAGACTCGATAGTAGCTTTCAAAAGGGAATTGGATAGGTACTCGAAAAGGAAGAATGTGCAGGGCTATGGGGTAAAGCGAGGGAGTGGGACTAGTTGGGAGCTCTTTCGAAGAGCACAGCAGAGACACGATGGCCAAATGGCCTCCTTCTGTTCTGTAAGATTCTATACAATATCTCAAGCGTCTGGTTTCAAGCCATTCAGCTTCTATGCTAATGCGTACCTATATGAGCAACAAACTCCTGAGCTATATCCATCCATTGCAGCAGTTTCTTCAGGAAGCCATAGGCAAATCTCTTCTCAATCGAGGACGTGTCCAGTTCCATATCCTTCATGCCTCTAGAGAGGGAAGAGAAATGGCATTGATTCCTCAGGGAATTGGGAGAAGTTTTCACCCTAACCCTAGTGCTTAATAATATTAATCAGTGCTTAATAATATTAATCCTTGCATTTGATACAACGCCTTATCACGTCTTCGAGACGTCTCAAAGCGCTTCACAGAATATACTGTAAAGCGAATTGACTGTATATTTTGTGGGCGAACGCGGCAGTCAATTGCGCACAGCAGCGTCCCAACAAACAGTTGTGGATTTAGTGACCAATTTATTATTATTTTTGGAAGGGATTATTACCCACAGAAAAGTGATCTGCCAATCGACTAACAACCAAGTTCCTATGTATTGTTAGGTAAACAGAGGCGTGTGGAGAAAGGAAACTTGCCCAACCCTGCGGCCTGATGGGAATCAAACCTATGTCTCGCACTTGTGAGGCGAGTGCTCTAACCAATGAGTTACAGGAGTTCAGGGTAATGGTCAGCACTACTTTACCTGGTCACTGAGTAGCCTTGCATTTGGAGGAATTTGAGCAGCTCCTGAGCTTTCTCCCTGTCCCGGGCTTTCTCTTTGGCGGTCAGTGTATCGTACGGCACCAAAAGTGGATGGCTTCCCCCACCTTGTAAAAGAAACAAAGGGAAGAAATGGAGCCTGAACAGTAGAATAATAATCCTTTTTTGGTGTCAGCCGGGGTCTGACACATAATAATAATAATTATCCTTACGTTTGATACCACGTCGTTGAGTGTGTACGGGTTTGTAGTGAGGACGACGTTCCAAGGCGTTGGACAGTCAAGGATTTGGACCCGAGCTGGTGTTGGGGATCAGGAGGGGTGGGGGGGCAGGGAGTGTGGGCGTAGGAGGGTGTCCAAAGGTGGGATGGAAGAGGAGGGTCTTGAGACAGGATTTGAAGGAGGCAAGGGAGGGGGCGAGTCGAAGGGACTGTGGGGATGGATTCCAAAGGGTGAGGGCGGGTGGGGGCAGAGAAGCTGAAGGCCCGACCGCCGATGGTGGGGTGGGCCAGGAGGAGGATGTGGAGCAGGTTGAAGCCTGCTGAGTGGAGGGAGCGGACAAGTCGATATGGAAACGATGAATTATCTGGTTTCTGGGCAACATAACAACTCACGTCAGGAGAGAAAAATAATACAGTACAGTAAATAAACAGGAGAAATGTCTGACCTTTGGCCTGTAGCTCCAGCTTCTTCTTTCGGCCCCAGGTGTTGTGGTAGTTTTCTGCGAGTTGCTCCGCCATTGCCTAATGATAAAACAAACTCTCGTCTTCAGAAGTCACCTTTGAGTCTTGTTAGCCACACATTATATTTAAATGTAAAAGTATACAGCACACACACACACACACAAAGAGTAAGCCATACGTGTGTTGCATAGTACAATAATAACAGTACTTAAATACATATGACCGACAACATTTGAAGCATACAATATATTTGTATCAGAATATTTATATCGGAGAAGATCGAAGCGATGAGGAGGTGCTCGGGAGAGGATGCTGGAGTGAGGACCTGGAAGTCGATTGCTGGGAAACATTGGAGCCTGACTAGGATTGGGTGATGGGTGCTTGGATTTCTGTGCGGGTGAGGCAGTAAGATGTTAATCGGTAAGACAGAGCACAGTTGGGGTGCGACCAAACTCTTTACCTGCAGTTCTCGGGATAGCGCTGCCACCAGCATTTCAGGGGGCTGCGGAGAGTAGCCTTGACTAGGATCGTACATAACCTGAAAACCACAGCGTTCAGGGAAATTTACTAACAGTCAAATAAACAGCAGATACTTAGATTATAATATAATAACCATTGCATTTAATACAGCGCCTTATCACGTCTTCGAGACCTCCCAAAGCGCATCGCAGAATATATTCTAAAGTGCAGTGACTGTATATTTTGTGGGCGGAACGCGGTAGCCAAATGCGCACAGCAGTGTCCCCACAAACAGCCGTGGATTGAAGTGACCAAATTAATTTTTATTTATTTTGAAGGAATTATTACCCCCGGGAAAGCGATCCGTCAACTAATCGACTAACAACAATCTTCTTACTTACTGCGAGGTAAACAGAGGCGAGTTGTGTGGAGTAAGGAAACTTTTCCAACATTTTGCCCTGACCCGGCCAGGAATCGGACCCAGTTTCTCTCGCTTGCGAGGTGAGCGCACTACGGGACTTTGCAGAACACTGACACGTTATCTTGCTCTCTAGTCCAGTCTAATGTCTCGAACTTGTACAGATCCAGATAAATATGAATAATCCGAATAAGATTAATCGTGATTTGTCACCAAATTCTCCCCTCCCCTCACCTGAGCCGACTGGGAAATCTTGCGGGTCTTTTTCTCCCCCTTATCACTCTTCTCCATTCCTTCTCCCTCTCTCGCCTTTTCCACTGTCCATTCCCAGGCGATCATAGCCTTCAAGGACTCTTTAATTGGCCATCTATAGATTTCTTTGTCCTAAAAATACACACAATCATCTCTTCACTTTAGATTTCTGTCCCAAGGTCCTCTCAAACAGAATACATGTCGACGAAAATTAGTTACATTTGCAAAATTAACTGGTAAAATCTTGTATTTTAAAGCCACTTAGAGCAGTGTAGTGTAATGCCACTGCTCTTCACGCAGGATAGCGTCCCAGAGCGCCTCACTGTGGGGGAGTCTGACCCCAAGCCAGGGGGAGAGGAAGGGGGGAGGCGACCGTAAGCACGATCAAAAAAGCAAGGTCTTTAGGCGAGATTTAAAGGTGGGGAGGGAGGGAGGGGCAAGGCGGAGGGATTGAGGGAGAGAGTTCCAGAGTTCCGGGGTGCAGTGGTTGAAGGCACGGCCGCCAATGGTGCAACAGAGGGCACGAGGGACAAAGAGGAAATTGGCGCTTGTCAGATCAAGGCTGAAGTTTCAATGAATTGTCCGTACCTTCTCAGAGAACGTTTTGTAAGGTCTCAACCATGGGTGAGTCATTGCTTCCTCGTCAATATTTTCACCATAAGTCCAGTTATTTTGTAACTACAAAGAAAATGAGAATGAATTCGTTACACACCGGGCAGATTTTCCACTGGGTTTAAGAACCACCGATTCACTTAGCACTGCAAGTACCCCGTTCTGTTTTAGGTTGTAACTAATGAAGGACAAAATAAACCTACGGCACAACCACAGAAGACATTAAACTGCTTGTAGTCTGTGGATGGGGTGGGGGGAATGGGGGGGGGGGGGCAGACGTGTAATAATCCTTTATTTGATAGAGCACCTTATCACGTTTTCGAGACGTCTCAAAGCATTTCACAGAATATACTGTAGAGTGAATTGACTATATATTTTGTGGGCGAAATGTAGCAGCGAATTGCGCACAGCGAAGTCCCCACAAACAGTCATGGATTGTGTAAACAATTTATTATCACTGTTTTTTAAGGAATTATTATCCCCCGGAAAAGCGATCCACCAATCACCTAACAACCGGGTTCCTACTTACTGCTAGGTAAACAAGAGGCGTGTGGAATAAGGAAATGTTTCCTATGTGAAACTATATAAACCTTTTGAAAACACATTAAAAAAGGCAATTAAAGCAGCAACAATCTGTACCTTCTCAAAAGCCCACTTGTCATGCGTATACTCTGCATACTTGTTAATAAAGCTGTCCAGTTTTTCAGGAATGATGACACTGTAAACAAACATAAGAACTTGGTTGGGGACCATACGGGAGACACGGGGACAGATAGCGACTGAGATGGAGAGATAACCTGCATTGATTGCGTATTTTTGTGGGTGCAACGCGGCAAACATTTGAGATTACCACCCCCAGAAAGCGATCCTCCAATCGGCTAGTAACTGAGGTCCTACTTATTGCTAGGGAAACAGAGGCGTGTGCGCGGAGTAAGGAAACATGCCCAACATTTCACCCTGTATGGGAATCAACCTCGGGTCTCTCGCTCGCGAGACAAGTGCTCTAATCACTACGCTACTGGATTCCACAGAATCAGAAATTCAGCAGAGGAATAATTTAAAACGTATTCATACTTCATAGTTTCCACAGGTTTAGGGTCGAAGTTGCCTTCTGCATCTACTGAGGCTTTTTTCTCCACCTGGGAAGAGTAGCTGGCATCAACGTAATCCGGTGGCAATGCTCCAGCTATCCCGCACAGACATGGCATGACGATCTTGAAAAGTTCTACGTCAAATTTCTGTAAGAGACACGAACACTTATGCTATATCATCTAAAGGACAATGCACAACCTTCTGACTGAGAGGTGAGCATGATACCAACTGAGCCAGAGTGCTATTGATATGTAAGAGACCCAATGTTGGGTAAAATAGAGCGAGCTTTGCTCTGAGCTTAGAAATGCTGAGACTCTGTGACAAAACAATAACAATCTTTGCATTTGATATAGCCTTACCTCGTCTTCGAGACATCTCAAAACGCTTCACAGAATATACTGCAAAGTGATTTGACTGTATATTTTGTGGGTGAAACTTGGCAGCCAATTGCGCACAGTGGTGTCTCACAAACAGCCGTAGATTGAAGTGAGCAATTTATTACTATTATTTTTTTTGAAGGAATTATCACCCCCGGAAAAGCGATCCGCCAATCGACTAACAACTAGGTTCCTACTTACTACTGGGTAAACAGAGGCGTGTGGGTGGAGTAAGTACACTTGCCCAATGTTTCACCCTGCCGGGAGTCGACCCTGGGTCCTCTCGCTTGAGAGGCCAGTGTTCTAACCACTATTCACAGGAATCCACAAATATGTTGCGTTGAGCTGCACACCGGGACCCAACCTTGCCTGGAACTAGTATCTATCTGCCCTTATCTGAACACGTGAAGAGGTGCTAAGCTTATACCTTATGAGACACCGACTCGAAGATTCCCCAGAAGAGTTTCCGAGTCAGATGGAGTTCTTCCTCCGAAGTGACTCCGTAATTAGCCCATCCGGATGGCAGGCAGTAATATTTCCAGCATCTCTCGTAGTGGTTAGTTAGCAACTAGAGTGGGCCAAAAAAGAAACAGGAATATGTACAAGCATTCCCTGACATCCTGAAAAATATATTCAATAAAAACTGAGGAAAGGTACCTTCAGTGGCATCTTGGCGTACTCATTCAATATTGGTACATCAAAGACCAAGCGACGCAGTAAATGCTGCAGCATGGAAGGTCGGAGATACCTACAAGACCAGGAGAAAAGGTCTGTCTTAACAACAGCAGCAAATTACATTTATATAGTGCCCTTCACGCAGGGTATAGCGTCCCAGAGCGCTTCATAGCGGCAGAGTCTGACAACAAGCCAGGGGGAGAGGTGAACCAAAGGATGATCAAAAAGGAAGGTCTTTATGTGGGGAGGGAGGGGGCAAGGCAGAGGGAGAGAGTTCCAGAGCGGAGTGGCTGAGACACGGCCACCGATGGTGGAACGGAGGGCACCACAAGCTCCAAGGAGCTACTTGCGTTCAGGACTCTGGATAAATAAATGCAAGTTGTTGTCACGTCCGAGGTAACAGGATCCCGCCTACAAGGCAAAGCATCGTCTGACAGAATTATTAGCATGAGATCCCACCTGCACAGTGCCATGAGGCACTCCTCAATAACGTCTCGCTGTGCCTTGGTCAGAGAGCGGCCCCTGGAGAGACGGTAGATTGTGTGCAGCATGGAGTCGATCATAATTGCTCGGTGCTCTGTTCCCGCAAACAGTGGAGCACATTTAGTGATAAGAGGCAGCACTGCAGAACAGAGGTACCGGTTTAAAGCCAGTGCCATCTCGGTGGTACTGAAAGCAACCTGAGAGAGTTAGAAAATAAGCCAAGTTAATAATATTAATAATAATCATAATAATATTCCTTGCATTTGATATGGTGCCTTATCACTTTTTGGAGAGTCTCAAAGCGCTTCACAGAATATTCTGTAAAGTGACTGCATTTTATGAGCGAAACGCTGATTAAATATGTGCGGCTGAAATGTACAGTACTGTAGTGTGTACCGCCGTACTCGAGTGCAAACCCTCGCTGGACAGCGCCTTAGGATGTCCTCCCGATGTGAAAGGCGCTCTACAAAGGCAAGTTGTTGTTAGAAGTATAAGTTTTTAATCAAAATGAATGTGTAAAATCACTTCACTTACAGTATCTAAGGAGGCACCAGCCCTCATATCAGGCAGGAATCCGACCTCCAGTACGTGAAGAAGGAAATCCTGATTTTCTATCCCATAGACACGATCCAGGAACAGAACCATGGAGGCTTTGTGATCAGGAACAAAGCTGGCCGCCATTTTAGGCTCAACAATGTGACCATCTGGAAATCCACATAACCAAAATGAAACAGTCGCAAAGCAGAATTAAACCAGAATTAAACCAGAGTTGAGTTTCAATAAACAACGCGCCCAGCGACGTCCCACAAACAGTCGTGGATTGAGTGACCAATTTTTATTATCTTTTAGTTATTTATTTTTGAAGAGATTATTATGCCCGGAAACGTGATCCGCTAATCGACTAACAACCAGGTTCCTACTTACTGCGAGGTAAACAGAGACGCGCGTGTGTGTGTGTGTGTGTGTGTGGAGTAAGGAAACTTGCCAAACATTTTGCCCCGACTTGCCCGGGAATCGAACCCAGGTCCTCTCGCTTGTGAGGCGAGCGCTCTAACCACTGAGCTACAGGATTCCACAGAAATAGGGTCTTGGGATTGAATGATGGCATCGCAAATAACTTGGCTTGAGCGTACTCACTGCAGGTCGAGCTCAAGCTATTTGCTGGCTCTGACCCACGAATGTAACTGTAACTTTGACCTTACCTTTCCCAAAGGCAGGCATCTGCACTGGGAGGCTGATTACACCGACCAGGTCATCAATGGGCACCAGGGAGCGCAGGATCGCTCGGATTCTCAATGCTTCACCTTTTCCAGCTTGGATCAGCTGTTTACCGGATAAAGAAATGGTAAATGAGACTCATTAGAAGTGGAGTGGACAAGTGCAGGAGCCCTGTGCCAGCCGAGTGAAGGCAGCAGGGTGCGAGCAGGTAAGGAGGTGCCAGGGCGGGTGAAGCGATTTGCAAGTGAGAGTGAGGATCCTGCTCCATGTCTCCCAGAGGATGGGGTTTCAGCCTCTCCGCCTCACCATTGGAACTCCATCCCACAATCCCTTCGCCTCGCTCCCTCCCCTCGCCTCCTTCAAGGCACGACTCAAGACCCTCCTTTTCGACCGTGCCCTCAGAACCCACTTACATGCATCTCCGGAGCACAGCGTCCCAGTAGGTCAATCAATGCAGCGTAGAAAGACATGATGGCATTGCCCAGATGGACACGATTGTCCTCGTGGCCTTCCTCGGTAAACCTGATGAAGAGGAAGATACCTGGATAAACAACACTTATCAACCCTTATCAGTAGACTCTGACCTGCTTCACGTCCCCCGTCCCGGAGAGCCCCACCATCAGCAGTCAGGCCTTCAGCCTCTCTGCCCCCATTCTCTGGAACTCCATCCAACATTCCTTTCACCTCGTTCCCTTCCTTGCCTCCGTCAAGACCTTCCTCTTCAACCATGCATGTGGCCACCCTCTTACACTCCTTGCCCCCCCACCCTCCCTCATCCCCAGCCTCTCCCCCTCCCCACCCACCCTTGCTGCGGTCCAAATCCCTGACTGTCCAGCAGCTTGGGACATCCTCCCGACGTGAAAGGCGCTGTACAAATGTAATTGCCTGGTTCTGTAAATCATAACTACTTTCTTTTAATAAAAATAACCCTTGCATTTGATCTAGCGCCTTATCACCTCGTTGAGACGTCTCAAAGCGCTTCGCGGGGCATATTTTAAAGTGGATTTGACTGGGTATTTTGTGAGCGAAACGCGGTTGCCAATTGTGCACGGCAGTGGCCCACAAACAGTTGTGGATTGGCTGTCACAGTTCGCTCGCAAATTATACAGTCAATCTATTTTACAGTATATCCTGTGAAGAGCTTTGAGACGTCTTAAAGTCGTGATAAGGTGCTATATCAAATGCAATGATTATTATTATTATTATTATTATTAAGTGAAGCATGTTGACTTACATTTCTCGACGACGGTCTTTTTTGACTGTTGGTCCATCACGGGCCGGGTCCTCTGAGATCTTGATGGCTTCCTCAATGGCCCCCAGCAACCCGCTGCCACCTTCACCCCGCAGAGCTGGCCCAAAGCACTCAGGGCGACGGATCAGCAAACGGACAACAACATTGGCATTTTCCTCAACACTTTCCCCTGTAGCGCAGAGAGTGGGATTGAGAAGCAAAGTAAACAAACCCACACAGGGCGTGTAGCTAACAGTGAAGAAGATCGTAAGCGACGTCAAGGGGACTTGGACGGATAATAATAATAATAAAAACCAGCGCCTCACCATTCACAAATACTGCAAACCGCAGGAAATCCAGGTAACGCTCTCCTCCTACAGGGTTCCACCCTATGTCTGGGTAGCCTTTCGCCAGTAGCATCGGGCAGCTCTGTAGCCCACGCCCGGCGAGGTAGGTGACGACCTAACAATAGAAACAGAAGGTTCAAAATCTAAAGTTAGAACTTCTTGGCCTGATTTCCGGGTTACATCGTGTACATAATCCCCACAAGGGTGTTGTGTTATCAATGTGATGTTTTTATCATTACATTAAAAGCAGCAATTAGAGTTTCCCTGCACATGACACAGTCACAACACTTTACAGTACATCTTGTGGAGTCCTGTAGCTCAGCGGTTAGAGCAGTCGCTTTGCAAGCGAAAGACCTGGGTTCGATTCCCGGCCGGGTGAAACCTTGGGCGAGTTTCCTAACTCCACAACAATAATCCCTCAAAAAAAAATTGGTCAGTTTCAATCCACGACTGTTTGTGGGACACTGCTGTGCCCAATTGGCTGCCGCGTTTCGCCTACAAATATACAGTCAATTCACTTTACAGTCTATTCTGTGAAGCGCTTTGAAATGTCGAGAAGACGTGAAAAGCGCTATATCAAATGCAAGGATTATTATTATTAAGCCCTTTAAGATAACTTTCCAATGTGAAAGGTGCTATTCCAGTGCTCCGAGATGCTGCCCAGTGCTATAAAAATGCAATTTGTATATATTTTTAAAAAATCCTTGCATTTGATACAGCGCCTTATCACATCTTCGAAACGACTCACAGCGCTTAACAGAATATACTGTTAAGTGAATTGACTGTGTTTTTTTGTGGGCCAAACGCGGCAGCGAATTGCGCACAGCAGCGTCCCACAAACAGTCGTAGATTGAGTGCCGATTTTTTTAAAACATTTTTGTTGAGGAATTATGACCGCGAATTATAAAGCGATCGGCCAAAAAACTAACAAGTGGGTTCCTACTTACTGCTAGTTAAACGGAGGCGTGTGGAATAAGGAAACTTGCCCAACGTTTGCCAGGTCTCTCAAAGGATTCTTATTGCTATTATTATAATGAAATATTTTCCTTTACCTTCTCTAGATCTGGTTCCTGCAGAGCCAATGCAAGCTCATTGTTGTCAATGACCGAAGCAGCTGCCACATCCAGCGGTGTGGAACCGCGCATACCTTGAAGGCAAATCACGAACATAATCAGCAACAGCTTCAAAACAACAGACTCACCTCTGGGCACAATTGTCAGTCGCTGTCATAGCATTTTTGCATCAAAGTTAAAATCTAATAGAACCACAGGATAGCTTCACAGCAGATTCCAAGAACAGCAATTCTTATTAATTATCAATTGGCTGCCGTGTTTCGCCCACAAAATACAGTCACTACACTTTACCGCGTATCATGTGAAGCGCATTTGAAGTCTCAAAAACGTGATAAAGCGCTATATCAAATGCAAGGACTATTATCATTTATTATTATTATTATTATTGAAGAGGAGGCTATTGAATTTAAAAGGTACAAGCGCTTGCAGAGGAAGAGTTTGCGAGGGTATGGGAAAGAGCAGGGAATTAGGATGGGTTGTTTCTTGGGGCAATTGGGCTCCTATCATGCCACACATTCCTGTGGTTCTAGGAAGTAATTATTATGCATACTTTTGAAAAGTAAACAGAGCTAATTTCCATCTTACAATAACAGCAAGAATTGTAATAGGTTTAAACGAACAATGGTTATTGGTGAGGAAACTTTATTTAGTAAAATGTCAATTTTGCACGGTATATTCATACATTTCATATCCCTTTTTAGGATAAAGAAGAACCATCGTGTTTTCAGTAGGAAAACATTAGGATCTAAGCAAGCCTTCCCTCTCAAATCACAGTATTTTTCTGTCGTCAATGACTGAGAGTCAGAATAATGTGGCAGTCAAATGGAACAAATGCAGTTCAGATTTTTCATTCGTAATTACACTAATCGTCTGCCAGATGGCTGTACTTCAAAAGGTTTCAAGTCAAAGCTTTTAGAATTAAAGAGCATTCTGCAGACACGAAGAGAACCAATTAAAAGCTTTTAAGCAAGGTAACGTCATCGGTTAGGCCGCACTACAGACATAATGTTTCCTTGACAACAGACACTTTACTGCAAGAACAAACAGACCCAGTTCCAACAGCTTTAAGTATTTAAATGCATTAGGAAAATGGCAAACTCCAGCACACACACCCCCTTACAGATAGTGCTGGCTAAAAGCTTTCATCCAATAGCTTCGACTTGAAAGAACCCGCATTAGTCATCTGTCAGCAACCCTTTTATCTGGAAGCTTTTGAATGTGAGCTAAAAGGGTTTTAGACAGCCTTGCCAGTATCTGAAAGCTTTTCAATTAGTCAACAGTCATGAACTCTCCCAGATAAGATATTTAAACCTCACTCTCACGATATGATGATGCATTTCCAAAATGGCAGCTGGTAACAGTGGTAGTAGCAGTTCAGCTGCTTTTCTAGACAAAGCAAAGAGATCCAGTAACTGGACCGAGGTTGAAACGAGAGCACTCATACGGATCTGGGAAGAATATCTGTCGGATCTTCGAACAGCCAAGAGAAATGCGAAAGTGTACGAGAGAATTGCTGAAGAATTCTTCGAAGCTACCGGGAAAAATCGTGATAAGGATCAAATACGAACCAAAGTTACCAATTTAACCTTTCAGTACAGGTAAGCACTACATGTGGGGGTTATGATAGCACTGATATCTCCAGTGCAGACTTCTTTCCTATCGTATTTTCTTTCAACAGATTTCTTTCAAAAATAATAATAATTTCAGATACACTTCATCACGTCTTCGTGACGTCTCGACGCGCTTCACAGTATATACTGTAAAGTATAGCGACTGTGCGTTTTGTGGGCGAAGCGTGGCACCAATTGCGCCCAGCGACGTCCCACAAATATGTTTTGGTCCAAGAAGTGAGAAAAGGGAATTCTGATGCAGATTCTAACGATTCTACTGCAGATCGTTGTTCAATTCAGTGTGCTTAAGGACATAGGTCGTCTTTGACAAGTTCTCCAGTAGTCAATGGTTTTAATGGCTGCGTTAAGTGGTTTTCTCAATTGATCGTTTTAAGGTGATCACCATCTGACTTCCTGTCCGAGTCCCACCGTCTCATCTTCCAAGGTCTGTCTCACCCAACCTCCTGGAGGTCAGATGATTAGTTCTGACTGCCTGCTTTATCCCAGTCCAATTTGCTGTCCAGCCCACATTCCTGAAGCCACCTCTGCAATTTGGTCGTCATGGAGAAGGAAGTGCGGAAAGTCAGCACACAGAATCATAAAATAGTACTGCACAGAAAGAGGCCATTCGGCCCATCATGCCTGTGCCGGCTCTTTGGAAGAGCCACCCAATCAGTCCCACTCCCCCTGCTCTTTCCCCATACCCTCCCCTGCAAATTTGTCCCTTTCAAGTATCTATCTAATTCTCTTTTGAAGTTGTTATTGAATCTGTTTCCATCGACCCTTCCAGGCAGTGCATTCCAGACATCACTTCACATCAGCAAGGCCAGAGCCAGTTCTACACGTTTACTGAGGCAGACTTGTGTTTTCTTGCTTTGTTCTACTGAAAAGCTAGGGAGAACAAGCGGAGTTGAATCTTGTGGAGCTGCCACAAGACAAGTACAGAAGGGTTTGTACAATCAATAGCTTTTCACTCTCAATCGGAGCCGGTTGCAGATGTTTGGCCTACAAAATACACACTTTATAGTATATTCTGTGAAACACTTTGGGACGTCTCGAAGACATGATAAAGCGCTAGATCAAATGCAATTATTATTATTATTGTGAATGATTTGATGGGGTGTTTGATGCAGGAACCACATAACCATAAAGCCAGGGGATCAGAACCAGTATCGATAACAGGGATGGGACACAGCAAAAGGCCTTGTGGAGTCAGAGTGGAGACAGGACCCGATTTTGTCAAAATAAGTGGAATTTACTGCAGGAAGGTTCTTTATTTTGCCACTTAAAGTATGATACAAAAACATTTCAAAGTGTAACTGTTTTTCATTAGGAAACTCAAAGCTACGTGTGCAACCTCAACCTCCTACTGGCCATATTATGAGGCTCTCCACAGAATGCTCTCCCAATTCCCTGGACATGATGAAACCAACACAACTGAAGACCTGCCGGAATTGCTTTCAACCACCAGATCAGAAGCTCCCTCACCTTCACCCCCACCCCCACTGGAGCAACCAACGTTTTCCAGTACGTCTGATATCTTGCTGTCTGAAGCAAGTTCTTACGAATCGAACCTGATGGAAAATTCATCCAGTTTTCATTGTTCACAAGTCAGGTGAGTGCAATACAACCCCTCTTTGACATCCCAGGTCTACTCTGAATTCCTTTTCCGATTGACCAGTCACAAGGCAATCACTGGCAAAAAGAAAGCCAGGACTCGCTTGACTGGCCTGTTGTTGCTAATATGAACTTTATTAACTGTGCCACCTAGTTGGGGTTGGGATCAGGAGGGTTTGAGGGTGGGGAGGGTAGGGGTAGGAGGGTGACCAAAAGGCACGGTCGAAGAGGAAGATCTTCACACGGGTCTTGAAGGAGACAAGGGAGGGAGCGAGGCAGAGGGACTGGGATGGAGTTCCAGAGAGTGGGGGCAGAGAGGCTGAAGGTCCCTCCGACAAATGGTGGGGCCAGGCGGGAGACGTGAAGCAGGCCTGAGCCCGCTGAGGGGAGGGAGCGGACAGGTTGGTAATAGACTTCAATGTGTTGAATGTATGGACTGAGCTGTCATTTTGTGCAGAACAGCACAGGTAATCACTCTTACTACACATTATTATTATTAATAATTGTTATTATCCACAGGCTGCAGATAATCCAGAACTCTGCAGCCCGTATCCTCTCCTGCACCAAACTCCGTGACCCCATCTTCTCCACTCTCGCCCGACTCCACTGGCTCCCTATCCTTCAGAGGATCCAGTTCAAGATCCTGGTCCTCGCCCCACCCTACCTCTGTGATCTCCTAACCCCCTACCAACCCGCCCGTTCCCTCTGCTCAGCCGGTTCTGGCCTACTCCACGTCCCCCGACCCACCCGCCCCACCATTGGCGGGAGAGCCTTCAGCCACTCTGTCCCTAATCTCTGGAACTCCATCACTCCGCCTCGCCCTCTCCTTAGCCTCCCTTAAGACCCTCCTCTTCTACCATGCCATCGGCCACCCCCCCCTCCCTTACCCCCCCAACCCCAGCTCGGGTCTGAAATGCTGTACTCTGCCCAGCGCCTTGGGACGTCCTCCCGACGGGAAAGGCGCTATACACATGTAATCTTGTTGTTGTTGTTATTATTGCAGGTGTAAGGCACAACCGAGGAAAAGGAAGAAAGTATCCAAAGTGGACTTGGATAAGAAGCGTTTAAGATTAATGGAGACGATGCTGGAGGAACAGAAGAAAATCAGTGCAGCGGTGGAGGAAACAAAGCGGGAGGTCCGGCGAATTCTCAACCAACAAACCTTCTTACAAAACCAGAGCGTGCAGCTACAGAGGCACATGGTACACTTGTTGGAAACCCTGGTTTCCCAGCACACTCCCAAAAGAGCAGCTACTCTCTGATTCATGAAACAAAAGGGTAGGAATAGTAACAACAACAACAAGCATTTATGTACACCCCACCCCCCACACCCCGTCATGCGGGGTAGCTTCTCGGAGCGCTTGACACAAACAAGTAACTGATCAGACACCAAGAGGAGTCCATAGATTATTTTAAATGAGAATTAAAACACTTTTTTTTTAAAAAAAGGTACTTCATAGGTACTTAAAAAGGAAAAATTTGCAAGGCTATGGGGTAAGAGCTGGGGAGTCCGACTGGTTGGATAGTTCTTTCAAAGAGCTGGCACGATGGGCTGAATGGCCTCCTTCTGTGCCTGTAAGGTTCTATGATTCTATTCTATGAAATTGAGAGGTATGTGGATCACGCAGGAGAGTGAGAATAGATTAGGTGGATAACCTGGAGAAAAAGATCAGCAGACAACAACAACTTGCGGCTATATAGCGCCCTTCACGTGGGGTAGCGTCCTGGAGGCGCTTCACTGTGACCGAGTCTGACAACGAGTCAGGGGGAGAGGGAGGAGGGAATTGACCGTAAGTCCGATCGAAAAGGTCTTTGGAGGGAGGGGGTGGATGGATTGAGGGAGAGGGTTCCAGAGTTGTGGCTGAAAAGGGAGGCCAAGTGACTTGTTTCTTTGCTGTAACTTTCTATCATTCTGAGAAGAAACACTGGTGAACTAGGAGCAAGGAATCCTCCGGCAGGTTAGTGTGGCAACATTGCAAAATTCCACTATAATTGCACATTATCAAAGTCACTACACTGAGTGGCAACGGGGACTGACTCATGAGAAGCACCGATTTATGCCAACGCTTGGAAGCTTCCAACACTGCTGATATTAGGATTAATAGGAATACACGATTGATAATAAAAGTGTAGATGAAATCTGACCTATCTCCAATGTATGTGTCAGTGAAAGAAGAAGTACTGAACATTAGCCGCCTACGCTGTGTGACTCAGTCATTTCAAGGCACACATCAACCAGGCACGAACAGACAGACAAACAATGAGTTTAAAAAGCACACTTGCAGGCTGACGTCATGTTAAAAGAGTTGGTAAAAGCACCTTCAACATGGAAGCGTTTTGTGCAGGATTCATTCACAGTCTCGATGATTCAGTCTTTGGCCGAGCTCTCATAACATACTGCGGGTTCTCTTGTGTGGTTACTTCTTTTAGACGTTAAAAGTCTCACTCATGAACACAATCTCGACTAGTTTTTATTTACATAGCAACAGAGGACAAGATCAGCAGCATCAAGGCTGTACTACTACAACAACTTGCATTTATATAGCGCCCCCTCAAGCAGGGTAGCGTTCAGAGAGCTGCTACTTTCCAAAGGGGGCACATTGGTAGAATAAAGCTACTCATTCACTGCACATTTTATTGACCTATGCCATCAGCATCACTGTTACCTACCAATCAGACTTTTGTTATTTACATCAAAGCGTTCAATTGCTTTCCATTTTTCTTTCACCAACTGTGTACCATTCCTCTTCACTGTGTTCTGAAGACACCTGAATTGTTTTTCCTTCAGGATCTTTTAATATAGAAAACAATCTAAACCGGCCAACAATATCAAATACATAACGTAGAAAAACCCAGATTAAAATTAAGGTAACGTTCTGACTGCCAAGAAAAGCAGTTTAGTATGTGAAGAAACAATTCTGTTTACTAACTGTTCAGGGGAAACGACTTCTCAAGATCCAAAGCTCTACCTGAGAATAAATTAGGGACATGAGGAAACAATGTTGTGCAGCCTTAAACCCATTCCTTACCCAGTCCAATGCCACTGTTATCCAGCAAGTAGCTTAAGTGATCAAACATGGACCTCTGATTTTGACGGCTGATACGACAGAAGTAGCACAAGAATCGACAGCAGTTGGTCACCATTCTGGGGAAGCGAATCTCCTGTGAATCAGAGAATGTGTTTGAGTGAAAACACTGATAGAAAATTGGAACTAAGATATGTAAACATTGCTGCCACATTGGTAAAGCCTTCGGTAAAGCCTTGTGTCGCCTCACAAGCGAGAGGTCCTGGGTTTGATTGCCGGGCAGGGTGAAACTTTGGGTAAGTTTCCTTACTCCACACACACACACACACACACACCTGTTTACCCAGCAGCAAGTAGGAACACGGTTGTTAATCGATTGGCAGATTGCTTTTCCGGGGATAAAATTCCTTCAAAAAAAATAATTTAGTCAGTCAATCCACGACTGGTTGTGGGACACTGCTGTGTGCAATTGGCTGCCACGTTTTGCCCACAAAATACACAGTCAATTCACTTTACAATGTATTCTGTGAAGCACTTTGAGACGTCTCGAAGATGTGATAAAGCACTATATCAAATGCAAGGATTATTATTATTATTAACTTAGATTATACAAGTCCCAACCTTCAGTCTCAGAGGCAGGCAGGCTGACACACAAATTAATCATAAAACGGACCATCTGCTGTGTAAAATTCACATTGAAAGTTTAATACCTTGGAATCTCTACCTCCCAACACATTCACCATGACTTCCATAACAGTTTCATGCATTCCCAAGGCACGCATCAGGTTTGGATGCTGATAGAAGACTTTGTTGTTCATGATGTTTCTGGAAAGTAATGAAAAAATAGGATAATCACCATCTGGCTGCTGTGTACAGTGATCAGGCTTGTCTTGCTACATTAATAATAAAAAGCAGAAGTCGCTGGGAACACTCAGCAAGTCAGGCAGCATTTATGGAGAGAGGACAGTGAGTCGATGACCTTTCGCTGACGGCTTCGTCGACAAGGAGGGAAGGGCGAGGTGACCGTAGGAAAGGTCAAAGAGGAAGGTCTTCAGGTGCGACCTGAAGATGAGGAAAGACAGGGCAAGGCGAAGGGAGGGATACAGGAAGAGCATTTCAGGGTTTTGGGGTGTAGTGGCTGAAAGCGCGGCCACCGATGGTGGAACGGAGAGCACGAGGGACATGCAGGAGGCAGTCGAGCACGAGGCAGCGATTTAAGTAAATTAGTTTATTAATTTATTAATCATTAATAAACCACTAATTCAACATACCCGATGCTTTGGATCATGAGCCTCTCTTCTTCTGGGCCCATTTGGACAATGAGCAATGAGCGGATCTGCCCTAGGCATTCCAGCAAATTCATAGTGTCCTCCACAGAGGTGCCGTTGATGATGTAAGCCTTGGGCATAGCACGGATAAGCTCTCCGACACCATCATACTGCCTATGCAGCAAACTGAACATCAGTCGGACCAGTTCAGGGTTCTGGATAAAAGCCTCCTGAGCCCAGTGCACCACTGTGTGAGAGATCAGCTCCTGGAGTGTACCTTTATCAGGAAGTAACACACTCATTATTTGTATGTCCATGTTCAAAAAAATAATACTAATATAGTCACTCAATCCATGATTGTTTGTGGGATGCTGCCCACATAATATACAGGCAATTCACTTTACAGTATATTCTGTGAAGCGCTTTGAACGTCTTGAAGTTGTGATAAGGCGCTGTATCAAATGCAAGGATTATTATTATTAAAGATTAGTTTGACTTGCTTGTTCTTTTACAAATTGCATATGCAATTCATGCTTTGGACATACAGTGGCACCAGACCTCACAAATATATTGATTCCATTTGCTAAATGGTCGGTCAGTAACCTCTCTCGAGTCACTTCAAGTTTAAAATATTATTCTGCAAATTATATTATGATTCTTTCAAATGTATTATATCTGAACACAATGGAGGGGGAAGTGAATTGCTTCGGTCAGTTAGATGTCTGAACTCATTGCAGTATGTATCCAAACCAGACCCAATTTTACCTACAATAATAATCCTCGCATTTGATATAGCATCATGTCTCCGAGACGTGACTCCACATAATGTATGCCACTAGACATGGAAATTTCCCTGGGTCACAAATGGAACATACTCCTTCCCTGGAGGGCTACACGCTCCATACCCAATTCCAGAAAGCATGAAGGGCAAGTGACAAGAGCCAAGCCTTAGGAACCCCAGAGTGCGCTTTAAATTAATTGCTGGAATCTAATCAGCTAAAACCGCACTGAGACTTGGTTTGGGTACGTGTTGCAATGAGTTTCCACATTGATGTTAGTGAGAGCACTGTCTGAGAGGATAGTGCTGCTTTGTCCAGCTGGAATGATTGTTAGGGCTTTGGCTTGCAGGGCTAACAGGAGCTGAGTGGGAAGAATCCCAGCTCCCAACACAGCCCTCCAATCCCTGCCAACAAACGAGGCTGGTTCGAATGTCATCGGCAATGCCTTTGAAGTACTGGGAGAGGTGGCAATAGACGCAAAGCAACAGCTGTTATGTACGGATATCAATAAGGAAGTAATACACAAGTTTTATCAACTTAATACGGTGAGGAAGGTTAAAGACCAAATCGTGGGAGCTCTGACTGATCCATTTAGCAGCCGATGAAAAGTGCAAATATTCCAATTGGGGTCAGGATGGCAAATATCACACCGGTGTTCAAAGATGGGGAAAGGAGTGGAACCTTGGTCTCACGTCGAAGGAGGGAAAAATGTTGGGAGTCGATTATCAGGGGAAACAACAATGGAAAAATCTGGATTAGAATAAATTGATCATTGATCAATCAACTTTGCATGGATCAAGCACTATTTTGTACATCCCTCTCTCTGGGTTTGTTTCCGTCTGCCGTCTTGGCCCTGAGAGGCAGGTGGAGGTGAGTTTTTTGGCGGATCTTCAGGCCCGCGCTGGTATTCCCCCCCCCCCCACCCCGTCCAACCCCACACACACACACACCGCTCCAAATGGACCATCCACTTTTTGTTAAGAAATTAATAATTTTTCTTTAGCCACAATCTAATATGTGGTATTTCCTTCTATTTAATATTTATCAATAAAGTGAAAAAAAATGTAGGTTGGCAGTAAGATGTACCTCAACAGCACCAGCCAACTCCCCGCAATTTCACGCAGATCCCGACTAATTTCCCCGCAATTTGGGGGAAATATTTCCACACTTCTCTATTGGCCTACACAATTATTAACATGGACTTACAAGACTCTACATTGCTGCGCTAGTGTGTTGCTCTGCCCTGTTGCCTTACATAAATATTTTTTTTAGCAGTGTTAACTCTCGATTAATGTAGACTTGTGCAGTGAATAAAAACTAAGAAAACTGCATGGAAATCCATGATTGGTGCTAAGTTGGATGCCGTCAAACTGACCCAGTGGTGTTTGTGACGACATGTGATCTTCAAGAAGAATTTGCTTGCGTATACCTGCTTTAGAATTAAATATCAGCAGAAAATGGCTTAGATTCCCAGTGATTTTGTGTTTTTCTCATCTGGAAAAATCTCATCTTTTCTTACACAATCCCACCTGGGTGTTTATACTGGCCCCTGTTTATACCCTCTGTTACTTTGATATTTTGCACTCACCATAGAAAGGGATGATACTGATAGCTGTACCACTGTCTCTGCTTTCTGATGTCCGCTAGTTAACATGCAAACCATGTTGGATTACCATAGATGGGAGTCCTGAAATAAACTGGGCCACAGCCTTCAAACGACCAGAACTATTTTTTACTACTGGAATGTCCTAAGCAACTGCAATTTGACCTCTGGTGAGAGTGTTTTCATACCTTCTGTTTGCTGAGAGCTAGGTTTTATGTCCTAGGCCTGCGGTTCAAGCATATCAGCTGCCAGCATTAATCATCTACACAACAACTGGAACAACAGTCAACTTACAGTGAGTGAGACCCGCAAAATACTTCACGTTCTCAGATGTACATTGGATATGTTACTGCATTTTACCAAGCAGCCAATTCCAACCATAAGAATATATGAATTTGCTAGGCGAAAGAAGACCAAGCTCCACCGAGTTCACCTTCCACCATCCTGGCAGTCGCTTGCATGTGTCGTGTCCCAAACTCTATACTGTGTCCTGAAATATTATTTTCTAACAGAAATACATCTCATTTGTTCTTGTGACATTTTCTGTTCCCACCATCTGTCTCCCTAGAGAGCCTGTTCCAAAGATTACTACTCGCTCACCGAAGTAGTGTTTCTGTGGAATTGTTCTGAATTTAATCCCCTTCAATCACAGGCCGTGTTTTCTGGTTCTATTGTTCAGTACAAGTTAAAACAATTTATAATCCTTGCATTTAATATCTTCGAGACATCTCAAAGCGCTTCACAAAATGTACTGTAAAGTGAATTGACTGTATATTTTGTGGGTGAAATATTATGGCCTTATCATGGTCTACATTATTTTATATTTTATTATATAATATATTGTATTATACAGACTGTATTTTGTGAGCAAAATGCGACAGTCAATTGCCCACAGCGGTGTCCCTTTTTTTTGAAGCAATTATTCCCCCGCCAGAAAAGTGATCCGTCAATCAACTAACACCGGGTTCCTACTTACTGTTAAACTTGCCTAACGTTTCACCCTGTCCAGGAATCAAACCCAGGTCCTCTCGCTTGCAAATATATTCTGTGAAATGCTTTGAGACGTCTCAACAATGTGATAAGGTGTTATATCAAATGCAAGCATTATGATTATTATTACATAAAATGAGTGATGTATCTATAATCTCACATCAAAATAATACTCACTGGGCTTCGTTTCTTCCTCTTCGCCCTGCAAGTCCTCAGTGTCCTCCTTCTTTCTTAAACTTTTAACCTTCTCAACGAGACTCAGCAAGCGGCCTTTCAGAGACGTGTCCTTCTCCTCTTCTTCCTCTTCCTCCTCAATCTGAATGCCTGACAGACAAGAACTCCTCTTGAGCAGAGAAAACAAACCACCACAATCACGTAGCCTCACAATTTCAATCGCATTTTCTCAGGACTTTAAAAGCCTCTCGACTCGCATTCACCATTCCTGGTAGCTCTATGCTGTTAAATGTTGAAACCGTGCAGATCCGGCCTCCAGCTTGTCCCTTGTGCCACCATCAGTAATGCATGACTGGGACAGGTTGCCAGGATGATGGTTGAGGCCAGGGCACTGAGACAGTAGGGTGGGTATTCTAGAAGGATGAGATCAGATGGCCCATCTTCTCCAAACCAATCTTGAACTCAAAGGATACAGTTCAAGATCCTGGTCCTCACATTCAAAGCACCCCACAGCCTTGCTCCTCCCTATATCTGTGACCTCCTAACCCCCTACGTTGGTTCACTCCCTCCGCTCAGCGGGCTCTGGCCAGATTCACGTCCCCTGCCTTGCCCGCCCCACCATCAGCCTCTCTGCCCCACCCTCCGGAACTCCATCCCACATGATCTTGTGATAGCCGTAGCCGGAGAGAAATATTGTGCATCAGGATATCAAAGCTAATAAAACCTCGCAAACTACTGTGGTTATAGAGAGATTGAAAGTCATAGAATCATACAGCACAGAAAGAGGCCATTCGGCCCATGGGCTCCTAAAAGAGCAATCCAACTCAATCCCACCGGCCCGCTTTCTCCCCACAGCGCTGCAATCCTGTCCTCCCCAAATACCCATCTACTTCTCTCTTAAAAGTTGTTATTGGATCGGCTTCCACTACCCTTTCAGGTAAATTCCAGTAGTTCTCTTGAAGGATAGCCGGTTCTTACCACAATGCAAGAGAAGTTCAGCATGGAAGTCAATCAACACGTTCCTCACTTTATCTGGCATTGGGTTAACTTCTTTACTTGGATCCATTTTGAAATGCATCAACATGTTGATCTAAAAGGAAGAATTGCAACCAGACATGGGCTAGCAAAATGTTTTTTTAAGAATCCTACAATCCTAGCATGCTGAAGCTAGAGCAACCTGGAACGCTTTGCCAAAGAGCGTACTAAAGCTACAATCAAACTATTGAACAGGGAACCGAATAAGTAATGAAAGATGAATCAAAGTGGAGTCCTGTTGCGCAGTGGCTATGTTATGGTTATGTCCAGCGCCTTGGGACGTCCTCCCGACGTGGAAGGCGCTATACAAATGTAATCTTGCTGTTGTTATTGTTGGTGGTTACAGCACTCGCTTTGCAAGCGAGAGGACCTGGGTTCGATTCCCGGGCAGGGCACAAAGTTGGGCAAGTTTCCTTCCTCCACACACGGCCTGTTTACCTAGCAGTAAGTAGGAACCCGGTTGTTAGTCGATTGGCGGATCACTTTTCCGGGGGTAGTAATCCCTTAAAAAAAATAATAATTTGGTCAATCAATCCACGACTGTTTGCGGGTCACTGCACTTTAATAGTATATGCTGTGAAGTGCTTTGAGATGTCTGATAAGGCGCTAAATCAAATGCAAGGACTATTATTATTGTATTATAATGAACTAGATGTTCTTCCCCTGCACTTTGTAAGGTATTTCTTCACCCTCTTTCCCACCTGCTCCTGTGGCGGAGAGCGAAACTCTCGTGTCTTCCTGGCGGTCTCTGCTGCAGACATGCTGAAGTTCAGCATCAGTTCCCGGTAGCGTTGCTTCTGATCCACTTGCATGTTGTCAACAAATTTATCAGCGAACGAAGTGATTGCTTCGACGCGGTGACGGAGCTCACAGTCGCAGAAGAATTGCAGCAGTTTGCACATCTGGGTGGGGGTGGTGGGGGGAGGGGAAGAAAAGGAAAGGTCTATCAGGAAATTGAAGAATATTTCACTTGCTTAAAGGTAATTGGCAGATCGCTTTTCCGGGTGTAATCATTTTTAAAAAAATAATAATTTGGTCACTTCAATCCACAGCTGTTTGTGGGACGCTGCTGTGCGCAATTGGCTGCCATGTTTCGCCCACAAAAGTACACTCAATTCACTTTACGGTGTATTCTGTGAAATGCTTTGAGACGTCTCGAACAACAATTTACATTTGCAAAGCACTTTTCACATCAGGAAGACATCCCAAGGCGCTGGACGTGATATCATGTACGAAGACGTGATAAGGCGCTATATCAAATGCAAGGATTATTATTATGTTAAAACATAATATATCTGTAATGGCAATCCTACTATCAGGACATAGTTCCGTACTCCTAAATAAGTTACTTTACTACCTGTAATTTGACAGACTCTGGCAGTTTCATTTGCAGAAGTCCATCCTCCATTTCTTCCTCTTTCACTTCTTCTGCTTCTTCCACTCCCTGCTCATCCTCCTCGGCCTTTTCTTCTTCTTCTTCCTGTTCTTCATCTGCTTTCGTGGCTTCTTCCGTCTTTGCCTTCTCATCTTCATTCTTCTCACTGCTCTCCTCTTTGGCCTCGGCAAACACTTCTGGCTCGATCATCTTCAACACGTGCTTCACATCTTCATCACCAAACACACCCATGATGAGGAGGGTGCTTACAAGTTTTAGCACGGGTACGAACTGGAATTCTACACTCCCCCCCACAGGGTCCCTTGTGTGCTGCCCACCGTCTTTGACTCCCTCGGTCAACATGTTGATGGCTTTGGTCTTGAGAATGTCCAGGGGGATTTCGGGACTGAACTGAAAGCGGTCATCACTTGTGCCGATAAAACACAAGGAAGCAAAATGGAGTGGGGGTCTCAAGCAAGAGCTGAGACCGACACCTGGCAGCCCATGAATTTTGCGCCTGTCTGGAAATAATGTGATCTGTCTGGTTTCTTCAGTCATCGGGACAATGAACTCATTGTTCATCATGAGTCTGTTGCGTTTGGCTGACTCCAGGTGAATGCTGATCAGTAGATCATAATAGCCACTGCGTAGGAGGCCCGGCAGGTATGTGTTCTCGATAGTGTAGAGCAACTGGGATTCATCAACATGACTACACAGGGCATGGGCGACCCGATTGTTGCCCAATGCACACACAGCGCAGTACAGCTTTAACGTGTGATAGTGGAATTTCTGCAGATCTTTGCACTCGGTGAGCTCCAAAATGTCGATACATCTGTAAACAATCCAAATATACAGTCAATTCACTTTACAGTGTATCCTGTGAAGCGCTTTGAGACCTCTTGAAGACGTGATAGGGCGCTAATATCAAATGTAAGGATTAATATAATAATCCCTATAATATTAAAGTGATTTATCAACGAAAATGACACAACATAAAAATCAGCATCTCCCTCCATTAACGAACTTTGGAAGGACTATTTCTAACCTGTTCTCCTCTGGAATGTGCAGTGCCATCATGATAAGTGGGTCCACGCATTCTAACATCCAGCCGTGACGCTCACTCACACGTGCCATCTCGATCTGCAAGAACTCGTTGGGCATTCGGCTCCACACGACTGGGGTGATTATTTGGACATTGAGCCGTGGAGGACACTGGGGAATGTTGTTCTTCCGTTCACTCCGAAACATGGCGGCTGAAATTGGCATGATATTCTGCAAGAGAAACAAGAAGGTTTTATAATAATAATAACAACAACAATACCTGCATTTGAAATGGAATGCACTGCCTGAAAGGGTGGTGGAAGCAGATTCAATACTAGTTTTCAAAAGGGAACTGGATTATGTACTTGAAAAGAAAATTTGCGGAGTTATGAGTAACAACGGGGAAGTAGGACTAGTTGGTAGCTCTTTCAAAGAGCTGGCACAATGATAGGCTGAATGGCCTCCTTCTGTGCTGTGAGATTCTATCATTCAATAAATTTTGTTCTTTTTCTATGACAACTTGGCTTACAGTTCTCCAATAGGTTTTATTATTCCGAGGTCGCATTTTTCTGAATTTTTCAAAATACTTTAGAGTTGACGTTGATCTAAACTGGATGATGGAAACGAGAGTAGGTTATGGAATGAATTGCCATGCTACATCCACTAAGTAGGGACAACATGCACAATACCACACAGTGACTCAATACCACATAGGTCACACATACCTTCAGCTTGCCAAGCTCAAACTGGAACATATTCTGACTAAAAGGCTGCACGAAGACTGCAGGGAATAGCTTAGTATTCGGTTCAACCTTTACATAAAGGGGAAAGGAACACATTTAAACCAGGTAGAATATGAGATTTGACAAAATAGAACAGATTTGTTTGTGCACACCATTTTTGTTTCACGTACTGAATGCATAACCCGCGCACACCCCAATTATTGGGTCGAAGAATTTCCCCTTCGGCCACCGTCCCAACCCCACCCCTCCTGACCCCAACTCCAAGCTCGGGTCCAAAACCCGATTGTCCAGTGTCCTGGGACCTTTCCGATGTGAAGGGTGCTGTACAACTGTATTTAGTTGTTGTTGTTATCCACATCAGGTAAGTGGCCAAAAACAATTCGGTTGTACACATACGGGAGGGAACTTGCACGTGTAATCACGTGCTTACTTTTTAGCCTGTAATTTGCCTGCTTAGCGCAAGGGAATCAGGGGAACAGTAATCTCACGTACGAGTGGGCACTTTGTGCATGGTGCAATTGGATTTTTTTTCTAGTGTCAAACTGAAGAGACAGAGAGTAAGCGAGATACACAAACACACATACAACTCACAAAACAGGCAGAGAGCGCGAGCGAGAGAGAGTGACTACATTTTCTGGAAATGAATTACGATTACCTGGAAATAGGTATTGATGTCCTTTCCGTTGGCGGTAAAAGTCATGAGACCTGTTGCCAAATCAACAAGGCAGCCAATATCCAAATCCACATTACTGCGGCTTGCCTGCTGGGAGCTGTTACTGAACTCGCCTCCCCAGACCATGTAACAATTGCTGCGCTTCATACTGTAGAGAAAAGTCGTGTTTAGAGCCAAAAAAGCATCTTTCTGTTTCTTGGATCGGAATATGCAAACAAAAGAGTGACTGACGACATGTGTGTCAGCCTGGTCTCTGACAAATGAGGAAACCCATCACCGTGCTTGAGAGCATCCAGACCAACCCCGACCCTCATAGCGCAGAGCCTTGGCACGTTTAACAAAAGCACAGTTTTACACTGAGACAAGGAGGCAAGTTATTCACCCACGAGTGCATCACACAGGAGTCCTTCCCTCACAAATGGCCCCTAAATTGTCTAGATCACAATTTTTATACACATTGAGATGAAAAGGAAAAAACACAAGTGGGCTTAGGTTAATTTACAATTGCTCTAATACCTGTCATGAACTTTTCCTCGATCGTCTCCTACTGTGACAGTGACCGTGCGAACTTTGAACAGATCAAAGCTTTTGTCATACTGATGGAAGTCTGGGGTAACCCAGCCAACCCACACACCTCCTGGATCCTGTCCAGCAAATATCTTCACTGAATAGTAATACTGCCATAGAGAAAAAAAAATGTTAGAAATCTTACACAACACACATATCCACACTTCATACGTAATATTCTTTGCATTTTGGAACAGCAACTTTGAAACGTCTATAATAATCTTTTCCTTTCAGTTGAATATTTACCGTTGTTGTATTCAAAATAATCTCTGGATCATCCCGATCATCTGGTACCACATCCTGGATCAGGCGGGGCACGGTGGGAATCACTGGCGGAGGAGCAATGAAGGCTGGCTTCTTTTTGAACAAGAACCTAAAATGCAGCAAATATAAATTGATGAAACACAAAAGATTTTTCGCCCTGTCTAATTGAACCCAGGTCCTCTCGTTTGCTTGAACCACTAAGCTACAGAACTCCGCAAACTTATGGTAAAACCTAACAAGATACTAACCTAGATTTGGGTTTACTTTTCTCAGAGGAAACATCCTTTTCATTCTCCGTCTTCACGACTTCCTTATGACCCTCTTTGTCATTTGTTGTTTCGGTTTGAGTCCGGCTGGCTGACTTCTTCAGGACTTCAAACTCTGAATCTACGTCTATATCTTCTACTTCTTCTTCGGGTCTAGACATCCTAATCAGGGGTGTTGTGCCCGGGGTACATTTGAACGTGTCATGAAACTCGACAGGCATGCTGAGTCGGAAGAATAGCATATCAGTGTTGCTGTTCTGAGATCCAAAGGTTTTATGAGACAACTTAATGCAAGGTGGGCTGTCAACAGTTCCATCGATCCTTGTCACCTGTACACATGAGAACATAAGAACATAAGAATTTGCTGGCAAAAGAAGACCAAAGTCCATCTCGTTCGCCTTCCACCATCCTAGCTCTATACTACATTCCCAGATATTATTTTCTATCACATCTTCAAGATGTCTCAAAGCGCTTCACAGAATATACTGCAAAGTGAATTGACTGTATATTTTGTGGGCAAAACGCAGGACCCAAATGCACACAGCAGTGTCCCACAAACAATTGTGGATTGAGTGACCAATGTATTATTTTTTTTTGGAGGAATTATTAACCCCAGAAAAGCGAATCGACAATTGACTAACAACCGGATTGCTACTTACTGCTAGGTAACTAGAGGCATGTGCAGTAAGGAAACTTGCCCAATGGGAACCCAGATCCTCTCGCTTGTGAGGCGAGTGTTCAAACCACTAAGCTACAGGATTCCACTTAATGTCTTAAAAGTCTCAACAGAAGTGCGTGCTGCAGAGAAATGCACCACTCTTTAAGATTGGATCATGACAAAAATCAATGTTTTCAATGACATCAGTAGGCTCAACCTTACCTCAATATGGCTATGGTCCAAAGGAGTAGGAACGAATTGAGGCAAACTTTTGCTGAACCACATTGTGATGTCCCGCTTCATGTTTACAGCGAAAGGCTCAAAGCCTTCCTGCAAACCACAGATGGTGAAGTATCTCAGACTGCTAACGTCCTGCCCAAGATTAATACGCCCAACCTGGGAAAGGCCCAAGCTGCACACAGGGAGAAAGCCTGAAAAATACATGATGCCACAAATGAATGAGAAAGCAAAGGACAAAATAATCCTACGGCACATTCACAGAAGACATTAAACTGCTTATAGCCTGTGGATGAGGTGGGGCGAATGGGTGGGGGGGGCAGACGTGTTACTATCCTCTTTTGGGGGTAATAAATAATCCTTGCATTTGATAGAGCACCTTATCACGTCTTCGAGACATCTCAAAGCACTTCACAGAATATACTGTAGAGTGAATAAACTATATATTTTGTGGGCGAAATACGGCAGCCAAATGCGCACAGCGACGTCCCCACAAACAGTCGTGGATTGAGTGACCAATTTATTATTATTATTTTTTGGGAGGAGTTATTACTCCTGGAAAAGCGATCTGCCAATCGACTAACAACCGGGTTCCTACTTACTGCTAGGTGAACAGAGGTACGTGGCGTAAGGAAACTCGCCCAACATTTCGCCCTGCTGGGAATCGGGTCCTCTTGCTTGCAAAGCGAGTGCTCTAACCACTGAGCCACAGGACTCCCCATCACCTGGTGGGATGGGTGGGGGTATTGCATTGTACGGCCAATTCTGGAGCCTGCTTGTGACAGGACCAGTGCCACACTCCACTTAGCCACTAAGCCACTTAGTAATTTGGTACTGAAGTGTTACTCCAATACTCCTCAAATGGTTCGTATTAATAGATTATGTTCTTTAAGGTGAACAGGTCACAAGTTTGTTTTATAGTCTCATCGTGTGAGTGAATCTATTAAACATTCTGTGAACTGAACCTTTTTGGTGTCTTCCGCAGAAAGAACTCACCATCACCCACTTCAATGTCTTTAAAAGCCAGCTCAGAACCAGAGTCGCTGATGAGCATCTCTCCGTTCAATGTGAACATGATGCTCATTTCACTTAAGTCGATCATACAACCAACCACATCACCAGGCAGCCAGGTCCGGCCAAATGGCTCACTGCCTATGTGCCACCGCTGACCCTGTGAACACACACACCGAAACCATGAAAATATGCATTTAATAATAATAATAATAATCCTTGCATTTGATATAGCGCCTCACCACACCTTCAAGATATCTCAAAGCGCTACACAGGAATAATTGCACACAGCAGTATCCCACAAACAGTCGTGATTGAGTGACCCAATTTTTTGGTCGGAAAGCGATCTGCCAATTGATTAACAACTGGTTTCCTACTTACTGCTAGTTAAACAGAGGCATGCGTGTGGAGTAAGGAAATTTGCTTAAATCGAACTCAGGTCATCTCGCTAGGTGTTCTAACCACTAAGCTACAGGACTCCACCATAAATCATTTACACCATGAATGACAACCGGCAGTTTAATATTAATCCCAACAATAAATATCACGCATTTTGCCTTGGGAGGATATCTCAAAGTGCTTCACAGGATATACTGTAAAGTGCAGTGACTATATTTTGTGGGTGAACACAGTAGCCAATGTGTGCACACTGATGTCCATCAAACAGTCAAGAGATGAACGGAGGCCGGAGCTAGTCAAATGGAGGCAGCGGGAATGAGTTGGGGAGTAAGCAGGTCAGAGGGTAGGGCGGTGCATAAGCAACCTTTTGCAAAAACAATCTCATTTAGGAGAGATCTGGAGCAAGTAATATTTTGGATTGATGTCATAAACATCCAACCTCTAATCCTACTTCTCACTGGAATTGCCTTGATATGGGCTTTTACCAGAAATTTAATTTATTGCAGTTATGTGCTCTGAGGCAGAACATGCTAAAAATATAGGGCAACAGAATCTAAAGCCTGGTGATTTCTAACAGGATTTCTTAACAAATGGGGACACCTTGCAATCAGAAGTAGGTCACGCCAATCCACAACAACTCTGCTCTAGAAACAGATTGCACAGAATTAATTTCCCACAGAAAGAGGCCATGTACTTCTGCTTACTGCCCCCATTTGTAACTTGTCCTTGTTAAAACAAAAACGGTCTGTTAGAACCAGACGAGAGAAGCTGGGATTTTTTCTCCTTGGAGCAGAGAAGGTTGAGGGGAGATTTAATCGAGTTGTTCAAGACTATGAGGGGTTTTGATAGAGTAGAAAGGGGCAAACTGTTTACTCTGGCGGGTGGATCGTTAACCAGAGGACACAGATTTAAAATAATTGAGGGGAGATGGAGACATTTTTTCACCCAGAGTTGTTACGGTCTGGAACGCACTGCCTGAAAGGGTGGTGGAAGCAGATTCGATAGTAGTTTTTAAAAGAGAATTGGATAGGGACTTGAAAAGGAAAAGGGTTATGGGGTAAGAGCGAGGGAGTGGGACTAGTTAGTTGCTTTTTCAGAGAGCCAGCACAGGCACGATGGGCTGAATGGCCTCCTTCAGCCCACCACGAACCCATAACCTTCTGACTCAGAGGCAAGAGTGCTATCGAATGCATTAAGCTGTTTACGGCAGAACTGTTAATTCTAGCCAGAAGGTAGATAAAAATAGAACTGAAACAAACCAACCTTGAATCCATTGAAAACGAAAGCCAGGTCATCGCCACCCAATTCAATATCAGGCCTGCACTCGGGTAGGGCCCACCCTACTCGCATTTCTCCTACAGTCACGGCTTCAAATTCAAAATACCATTTCCCGGTCTTCACTGCGTACGACTTCTCTGCACGGAATAGGCGCACTTTATCAATGGAACCCTTGCCTGTGTGGGCAGCTGGTAGGAGAAAACAAAGCAAGGAGTCAACTCCAGCCAACTTGATAATGGATTTTATATTGATGATGAGTTTGAAGTTAGCGAAGAGAACATGACTTATGGCACCGTATCATGTTAAAACATTGATTTGATAACATTTAAGCAAGAAGTAAATAATTATTTGGGGAGAACAAGTTTGCAGGGCTATGGGAAGAGCGCGGGGAAGTGGGATTGATTTGAATAGTTCTTTTCAATGAACCGGCACAGATACAATGGGCTGAATGGTCTCCTTCTGTGCTGTATAATTCTATGGTTCTATGATCCCCACGTGGATCACAAGCTAATGGTATCATATTTCACCCACAAAATACAGTCAATTAACTTTACTGTACATGCTGTGAAGCGCTTTGAGATGCCTCAAAGTGATAAGGCGCCATGTCCAATGTAAGGATTATTATTATTATTATAAAGTTACATACTAGCTTCCTGATCCGGGGGCTCGATGTTGTAGCCATAACCAATCAGGGTGCGGACAGCCTCACACAGGCTGTCTCGGTTTGTTTTCTTGGTGCGCTCATCCAGCAGGTTGTAAGGTACGAGCCGCGGATTTCTCTTGTTCATAATGTCCTGCAGGAAAAAAATACAATACAAAATTACATTTGTACAGCACCTTTCACATCAAGAGGACATCCCAAATGTCAGGGATCTGAGCGGGGGGTGTGGGGGGGTGGGTGTGGAGGGTGGCCGAAGTCAAGGTCGAAGAGGAGGGTCTTGAGACATGCCTTGAAGGAGGCAAGGGAGGGATCAAGGCGAAGGGGATGTGGGATGGAGTTCCAGAAACATCGCTGAAACAGGAAAGCTTACCTGAACTTTAGATTCTTTTGAAAAACATTACAACAGCTGCTGAACTGAAGGGATAATGTTTTTTGAGCGGAGTGGTTAGGATGTGGAATGCTCTGCCAATTTTTGTATTGACTAATCCCTAGAAAATCTAGTAAATCTACACTGTACTCTCTCCAATCCTACAATATCCTTCCTGTAGCTTGGCAACCAGAATTGCATACGACACCCCAAATATGGTCTAACCAACATTATAAATGTACTGTACTGGACATAAAGCCAAAGAAATACTCTATTTGCATTCTTTATGGACTTGTCCACCTGTGCTGCTAGTTTCAGAGTCCTGTGAATCAGAATCTTCTTGACATAATCAGTCTCTTTATGCCTTCGATCAAAGTCACATTTGTGTATATTATATTTTCTCTACCACCTTCTTTGAAATTCCAAATAATTGGACACAGTTCCACATTACAACAGCAACTTGCATTTATATAGCGCCCTCTGTGCGGGATAGAGTCCCGGAAAACGCTTAAACTTAGAGGACTACATTTATAGAAGAAGCAATGAGTCGTTGGGCCTGAATGCTGATCGTGAACAGTTAAATCGAGAGAATGTGCAGTGCTGACTTGTACAGAGGCAGCTCAAATTCTGAATGTGTTAAATTATTCAGTAAACAAAGTGAGTAAAAATAGCAGAGTGCCACAGAAAACAAGTAGGAAAACCAAGACAAACTGATCAGCTGAGCAAGAAAAAATCTATATACATATTTCGTCCACAAAATATACAGTCAATTCACTTCACAGTATATTCTGTGAAGCACTGGGAGATGTCTCGAAGACGTGATAAGGGGTATATTCAAATGCAAGGATTATTATTATAGAACTAGGAAAAACTCACGAAGAATTTTGTAAAAGGTCTGTTAACATGAGGGAAGCTAAGATCTGACAGTGCATAAGATAATAATACTGCACTCTTTGCAACTGCCTACCTGCAAAATACTGTATGTCCAGCCCTGCCGAACACGATCCCTTGCCCATACGTTGTGTCCGTTTTCAGCCAATTTATCCACCAGAGTGTTCTGGGCTGGGGTCAGTTTGACGTGGGAAAGGTCAAGGGGAGCAGGTTTATATCCACTAGACATTAGGTACCTGTGAAAAATTTACAGCGATTAAAGTATATCAATACGCCTTGCCGCTGATGTAGCGCCTTACCACACTGCTGCGATGTCTCAAAGCACTTCACAAGATGTTACTGAGCTGTGTAGTGACTGCGTATTTTCACAAAGCACGGTCACCATTGTTGGGTCGGAGGGCAAGAGGGACAAGCAGGAGTCAGTCAAGTGGAGGCAACGGGTTGTGGGTTGGGGAGTAAGTAGGTCGGAGAGAGAAGTGTCAGGGAATGAAGGGATTTGAAAATGAGGACAGAAACCAAGTAGTATTTCTTTCCTCAGAGAACGACAGCAGCACTTTGCCAGGAAGGATGGCTGAGGCTGGCATAGTGGATTCATTTAGGATGTGTATTATGGAAGGATGAAATCAGATGGGCCAAAGGGTTTTCTTTATCCAAACTATTCGTGCCATCTTACAAACAAGTTTCAGATTTTACTCCGCGTCAGATAAACCTACGATTTGGCCATTTTGATTTTCTTCAGATTTTCCTCTGCTTTTTCATCGGCCATTCCGACGTGACACCCCAACGCCAGCAAAGTCCTAGCGAAAGACATTTCAAAAAGTCGATTATAAAAGGTTTTCTTTCCAAATGAAAGTGAAGTGCAGAATCCCTAATTGTACTTAACTTACTTCAGCGTTTCGCCAGACATCTGTAAATTGTAATTTCTCTCTGGTTCTGGTAGTCTATTAAATTCCACAAGACACGGATGTAGTTTCTTATTGTCATCTCGAATCTACAAATAAAATGTAGAAAATATAATAATATTTGCATGTGATGTCTCAAAGCGCTTCACAGAATACACTGTTAAGCATAGTGACTGGTTAATAGTTCAAAGCTATGATAGCTGACTCTGGTTAACTCCTAAACACCAGTGTACAGTCAGGATTCAGAGGTGGAGAGCTTGAACTGGAGAACAGAGAGGAGGAAGGAAGATATCTCAAGGGAGGATTACATAGGATTCTGCGCGGGCTATTATTACAAACAAATTAAAACAAAGACAAATATCACTGGTGGTCTCAAACAAAATAAACTTATTCGGGCGGTTATTAACCAGAAAATTGATCACTATTTTCAACAACATTTGTATAGCGCCTTTCACATCAGGAGAATATCCCACAGCGCTGGACAGGTAGGGATCTTCACCCGAGCTGGTGGTTGACATCAGCAAGAGTTGAGGGCAGACAGGGTAAAGGTAGGAGGGTGCCGGAAGGCACGGTCGAAGTGGCGGGTCTTGAGACGGATCGTGAAGGATGGAAGGGAGGGGGCGAGGCGGAGGGACTGTGGGATGTTCCAGAGGGTGAGGGCAGAGAGGCTGAAGGCCTGCCCGACAATCAATACATTGAAAGTCCTGTGGAAGTGAGAACACAGATGCTGCTAACTAAAGCGTCATTGTTGTTGTTGAAACTGCCATCATTTAACAAAAAAAACCTTCTTACTGTTCCATATGTCCAGCTTGTCTCAATCTTTGTCAAAGCCCAAAGCTCATGGATGTTTTCCGCCAATTTCTCCCGTATCCGTTCCAAATGAGGTGGAAGCACAATCTGGGTCATAAAAAGATGGTTCACTCAACATTAACTTCAAATCTGGGTAAAATTATTTTCAAACTTTAGTTTCCAAACCTAGAGATTTCCATGTGTTTGGGTCTTCTCCAGTATTGAGTCTCCCGAACCTTCATTAATTGAAAAATACCCTCCGAAGCAGGCGTTACAAAACAAGAGCTAGACTTTCTTGCAGATTTGTTTCCGTTGAAACAACTTGCATTCATATCGCGCCCCTCACACAGGGTAGCGTCCCAGAGCGCTTCCTGTTATATACAAATATACCACAACCATCACAAAAAAATTTGGTCTGAGTCAGATGACGACTTCTCAAAAACTTGCACATCAACATCACGGTTGCAAATTCAGTGTTGTAGCTAATTTAACATTATCAACAACAACTTGCATTTATACAGTGTCCTTCACGTAGGGTAGAGTCGTGGAGCGCTAGACGGTGGCGGAGTCTGACCCTGAACCAGCGGGAGAGGGAGGTGGCTGTAAGCACGATAAATAAAGGAAGGTCTTTAGGCAGGGTTTGAAAGTGGGGAGGGAGGGAGGAAGGGAGAGGGCAAGGGATTGAGGGAGCGGTGTGAAAGAATGTTGTCCTTTTACCTGAGCTGTATCCACAGGGCATGGAGCAAATTCAGAATGGGACAAGCATTGTGTCGGGCCCAGGAGATTTCGCACCCCACCAAAATCAAACTTGTATTCCTTGATGGGTTCCAGTCTCATCCTTTCCTTTGGTAGCAGAGCTTCGTAACAGGGAGCGTAACCCGGGGGAGGCAGGAACTTGAAATCACCATGCCTGCCACCAAGTAAGAATCGAGCCCTAGAAGCAAAATTAAACTCACGTGAAGTCAAGTACAACCTCCAGGAGACACTTTCAATAATAATCCTTGCATTTGATATAGCGCCTTATCACGTCTTCGAGATGTCTCAAAGCGCTTCACAGAATATCCTATAAAGTAGTGACTGTACATTTTGTGTACAGCAGTTGCGCACAGCAGCGTCCCACAAGCAGTCGTGGATTGAGTGACCAATTTTTAAAAATCAGAGTCAAATAAACCACAATTAATGGGCAAGCTGGCAATCAACCAGATGTGGCATCAGGCCCATTAATACAGCTAGGTGTATGTTTTCTCTACCTTTCTATAGATATGCTCCTAGTTCCCATATGTCTTGGAAGATGTGATCAGCTTGCCATGCATCAAAGACCAACCTGACTCCTGCAGAGAAGCTGATAACAGGAAAGAAGAGACCATCAAGGTTAAAGTTCTCGAACATGCCTTGAACGGGATGGCCATTTACCCGGAAGGAGATACTTGGCACACTCAAATCAAGGCAACAGCTGACAACATCATCCGCTGCCAGAATGTGTGGGTCAGGTGAGGCAACGACCTTAGCCACACGCCCTGTCAAACAAAGGAAAAAAAAAGGTTACGTTCCTGTATTCAAAACATAGAACCATAATAATAATAATCTTTGCAATCGAACCCAGGTCCTCTCGCTTGCAAGGCAAGTGGTTCAACCACTGAGCTATGGGACTCCATGAGTTAATCAGAAGTTGGTGGAGACCTTGTCTTATTTCTATTCTCTCTCGGATAAGACCAATTAGAGCACCTTTATTACTACTTTAACTGAGAACAGACAGTTCAGCACAGCACAGACCAGACCTCGAATCTGGGACCTTCCTCGTATGTTCACAATCTGTGAACTTGCCAACCAAGGCATTGGAGGATTCTTAACAGGTATAAACATCAGATATTGTAGAATGATGCAACATAGGAGTCCTCAACTGCATTAAGATACATCACCAAAACATAGTTACATCACCAAGATCAGGATCACTTACCCGACCACAGATGAATACCATCAAAACCATACGAGTACAAATCATCTCCCACTCCATTGCTTCCCCAGCCTTCACCTCCTCCTGGGTAAGGGCTATAGCCTTCTGTCAATGCCCAGCCCACTCGCAAATGAGTGACTTGGGGTGTAACGAATGAATCAACGTAATCCACCATCATCTCAAAGTACCACTTCTTGTATTGAGTAGAACCTTCGTACGAGCCCACAAAGATGTTTGGCCTGATGCTGCAATACAAACATAACGGTAGGCTTGAGGAGTTCACCACTGGCAACAAGACTTACACAATAACTATCAAATGTCAGTAAATCAGCTGAAACAGTTACATGAATCTGAATCTTAATTTACTTTTACGAACCAATTATGTTGGTTATTTCTACGTGACTGGGTAGGACAGTACTGTCTGCTTTCGGACAGTAATTCAGCAGTCACACTTGATAAGTTTCATTAACCAATGAATTAACTGGGAGAACATCCCAAAGTGCTGGACAGTCAGGGATTTGAACCTGAGCTGGGGGTTGGGATCAGGAGCGGTGGAGGGTAGGAGGGTGACCAAAGGCACGGTTGAAGAGGAGGAATTTGAAGTGGGCAAGGGTGGGAGTGAGGCGACGGGACTGTGAGATGGATATAGGGTGAAAAGTTGAAATGTGAAAGAGTAACCTGGCTTGTGAGCTTGTTACCTGGTGACATAGTTGATCAGGTTGGTCTGTAGCAGCAGATCACGGCCTGGAAGTAGATTCTCAGTTATCAGATTCTGATTGGATCTGACAGCGACACCGTTACACACACACAGAGAACGTAGCACATCCAGCACCTGAAAAACACACAATCTTGAGTTTGCTGGAGACCTGACCACAGGTCCTAAATATCTCCTCGCAATAATTTGGTCACTCAATGATTGTGGGACGCTGCTGTACACAATTGGCTGCCGCGTTTCTCCCACAAAACATACAGTCAATTCACTTTACAGTCTATTTCGTGAAGCGATTTTAGACGTCTTGAAGACAGGCCCTATGCCCACCTTCAAGGCTCACAAAGAGAAAAGATTCTGGATTTTATGCCAAACTATTGTAAGTACCTTGTGATTTCGCCCGTGCTTGTCCAGCAGAGAAATAATCGATTTGATGTGGCTTTCTGTTATGATATTCAGGACCTCTGGGCTTTCTATCAAAACACAGTACAGCACTTCCAGAATACCTGTGGAGCCACAAAATAAGTGTGGATCAGACAAACTAAAACAGTAAAGTTTGGGCTAACCAAAAATAATTTTCCTGTGAGTGGAAAATTGAGGGTTCACATGCCTAACTGCCAAACAAAACTGACAAATTACTGCAAAACAATATTTATAATTGTATTCTGAAACAATATCGGTTAACATAGGAATAGGAATAAGCCCCTTGAGTCTGTTCCCCATTCTATTAGATCATGGCTGATCTGTACCTCAACTCCAATTACTAGCCTTTTCCTCGTATCCCTTGACACCCTGACTTGATACGAGTGAATAGAGAGAAATTATTTCCACTGGTCCGTGAGTTAGCGTCTAGAGGATAGCAATTTAAGGTGTGTTGGAGGGAGGAACTTTCAAGAGGAAGCTACGTAGATATTTAAGAAGGAGCAATTTGCAGGGACATGGGAACTGAATGGACTATAAAAAGAGCCAGTACAGAAATGATAGATGACCTTTTTCTGTGCTATAAATTTCAATGGCGTTTCAACTTGGATACCTCTATTTTAACAAGCGGGAAAAAAAATCAATAGGAAAAATCTACATAAATAGCCTTTCTGGAGAGACAAGGTTTATAATTCAAGAGAACATACCTGAGGAAGCTTCCAGTCGGTCCAGTTTACTGACCAGCCAATCCAAATTGTCAGAGAATAGTGCACATATCCTGCGATTACCTCGGATGAGGGAGGCTATGTGTTGAAGAGAAGAACATTAGTATTCTGAAACTAGAGCAAGCTGATAGTTGATGATAAAACAACAGTATTGAGTTAACAACAACGACAATAAATTACATTTGTATAGCGCCTTTCATGTCAGGAGTACGTCCCTAGGCCTAGGGAACTTCTTAAACTGCTACCAAACAGATGTAAGACCAAGGTAAACAAATTGATTGTATGGAATTCTGCTCCACAGGAATCTGACAGTACTTGAGTACTTCAATTAATTACCCCTTTTCTCTTCAGGTGGGCATTAAATAAGCAACTTTGTCTTGGTACCTCGGCAACAATCATAATATTGCATGGTTTGGTTGCAGTACATTTGGTTGCATGGACTAGTTGGTCCAAATGGCTTGTTTCTGTGCCATATCATTCAATGTATGGACTCGCAAAGTGGAGTCCTGTCGCTCAGTGGTTAGAGCACTCAACTCACAAGCAAGAGACCTGGGATTGATTCCCAGCAGGGCGAAACATTGGGCAAGTTTCCTTACTTCACACGCCTCTGTTTACCTAGCAGTAAGTAGGAAGCCGGTTGTTAGTCGTTTGGCGGATCGCTTTCCCAAGGTATTAATAATCCCTTCAAAAGAAAAGTAATAATAATTTGGTCATCCAATCTACGACTGTTTGTGGGACACTGCTGTGGTGCAATTGGCTGCTGCGTTTCGTCCATAGAATGTACAATCGATTCACTGTACAGTATATTGTGTGAAGCGCTTTGGGACGTCTTGACGACATGATAAGGGCTTTGCAATTTCAAATGCAAGGATTATTATCATTAATATCATTATTATTAATAAATTCCATACCCAGCAGCTCGTAAAGCAGGTTCACAATTTCCTTCCAGGATTCAGCGGCCTCCTCTCCTGCAATCTCTGCAAAGTGAGCGGCACTGTTGTATACATTGAGCCTGTCAATGCAGTTCAGCACTAGCTGGATCTTCCCCTGAAGGAGAAAAAAAACTCATTTTACTTTCTGTTCACTTTTTCTACACAGAGTTACACAGAGTGATGTGGCATGGAAATAGGCCATTAAGCACAACTAGTCCATGGCGCTGTTTATACTTTCAGGGCATTTGGAACTCCTCAAAGCCTTTTGCCTCCCTTCCTTCTAGACCGCCTCAATTTTGACTAATGCAATGATGAGTTGTGTCAAGTGCTCTGGGACTCTACCCTGCATGAGGGCCACTATATAAACGCAACTTGTTTTAGTTGTTGATGAGAGTGCTGCTATTTCCTCTGGTAGGGGAATCCAGAACAAGGGGGCACAGACTGGTGGTGAGAACGTGGAACTCGCCGCCAGAAGCAGAAAGTGTTAAAAAGTATTTAGAAGAAAACATGATGCATTCCTGAGGGAGAAGGGAATAGAGGGGTACGACAGAGGAGATTTAGGAGCATGGACAAGTCAGACTGAATGGCCTGTTTCTGTGCTATAACCGTCGATGTAATTCTATGTGAAAGTTGTTGTTGATAAGAACTACTACCAAAATGAGACACACTCTCTTATCCCATTCCACGATTGTAGCCACTCACTTCTTCTTGGAATAGATTCTGTCGGTTTTTGAGTGAGCGCAGTTTGGTTTGTTTCTCTTCGTGTTCAAGTTCTTCATCTGGATGCTGGAAGTAGCTGATCAGATCCTGGAGACTGAGAACCACTGTATCAATAGGTAAACTGTTCTGATGCGATGAAGCTTTGTTCTTTCCAGTAAGATGATCAAGACAGCTGCATGAACCAGAACAAATGGAAAAAATGTGATGGAATAAGAAATAGTTTTCTATACAACATTTCAATGGCATTCTGGATGCATTAGTACTTCAGTTATTTATAATAAAAAAACAATTTAACTAGATGGTTCTCATTTGCTTTCAATAAACTAGATCATATTGCTAAAATCAATAATTATAATAAGGATAATACTTGCATTTAATATAGCATCTTCCACATCAGATGGAAATCACAGGATTCACTGTAAAGTGTAGTGACTTTAATAATAATCCTTGCATTTGATATAGCGCCTTATCACATCTTTAGAGACGTCTCAAAACGCTTCACTGTAAAGTGAATTGACTGTATATTTTGTGGGTGAAATACATCAGCCAATATGCACACTGTAATGCCCCATAAGCTGCCATGAAATGAATGACCAAATTTATCCTGGCAATTGTTGGCCATGACACTGGGAGAAATTCCCTTCTCTTTTTGAACAGCCAAGAGATCTTTCACATCCACCCAAATACGCAGAGATGTAAGGGACCTCATGTTGAACATCTCATCCGAGAGAAAGCTCCTTGAATTGAAGTCGTCAGCCTAGACTATGCAAGTTCCCTACGTAGGTTTTACCAAAATATACGGCCACTGCGTTTTACAGGATATCCTGTGAAGCACTTTGAGACGTCGTGACAACACGAAAGGCACTACATCAAATGCAAGGATTATTATTATTTCACTCTTGATGTTAGGGAGCCAAATGCTCATCACTGAAAGGTTTTACACCTTACAACTATTCCCCTTGATTTTTCTGCACATTCAAGGCTCGTAATTTCTCTAGTCTTAGCCTGCAAGATAATTTTCTCTCTCCATTTAAGATACATAGAATTGTGGACAATTCATAAATCTGGCCTAAATTTGGAAAGCGGTTCATCACAATTCTTCACAACTGGCTTCTAAGTGAAGACGGAATTCTAGAATTCGCCAAAATCTTGCATTTTAAGACAAAACATAAAGTATGACAAGATAAGAACATAAGAATTTGCTGGCAAAAGAAGACCAAGGTCCATCTAGTTAGCCTTCCACCATCCTGGCAGCCGCTTGACATGTCGTGTATATACTGTATCGCCAGATATTATTTTCTAGCAGAAATCTATGTCATTTGTTCTCGAAACAGATGCCACTTTCTGCTTCCACTGTCTGTCTCCCTAGGAAGCCTGTTCCATAAATTTACTACTGCTCACTGAAGTAGTAATCTCAAGATATCCACACGACGATAACATAAACAATTCATACCTGATGAATTGGTTGAAGAGACCAACTGTGCTGTAGATCATTCGAGAGGCCTGGGATTCCTCTTGTTGGGAGCGTGACAGTGGAAGAGCATCATCCATGTGTCCCTCTTGGTGCAGTATAGCCTAAAACAGTTTGTAGAAATTGATGAAATTAAAAAATAGCAATTCTTGCATTTGATATAGCGCCTTATCCCGGCTTCGAGACGTCTCAAAACCCTTCACAGAATACACTGTAAAGGGAATGGATTGGATATTTTGTGGGCGAGCTTGGCAGGCAATTGCACATAGCAGTGTCCAACAAACAGTTGTGGATTGAAGTGACCGATTTATTATTGTTACTTTTTTTTGAAGGGATTATTATCCCCAGAAAAGCGATCCGCCAATCATCCAACAAACAGGTTCCTCCTTACTGCTGGTTAAACCTAGACGTGTTTGTGGAGGAAACTTGCCCAAAGTTTTGCCCTGTCGGGAATCAAACTCAGGTCTCTCACTTGCGAGGCGAACGCTCTAACCACTGAGCTACAGGACTCCACAAAAGAACTTTGCGAGCAAACTTTATGAGTTAAATCCGTTTTTCATAAAGTACATTATAAAATGATATTATGCTTGCTCTAAAATCATGCTGCAGATCATAATGAGGCCAATCTTTAAAGCATGGATTACATAAATTACACTATTTGTGACCCGTAGCTCCGGGAGCTAGGAGACAGATTTATGAAGATATTAAAACAAAAGAAGTCCCAAAACAGACCCTGTGGAATTCCACTGGTAACATTCTCCTATCCTGACGCTATTCCCTAAATGAGACAGAAAAGAGACAGTTGAATCGACAGATGTATGTACTTACTTTTCTCTTTAAAGGTCCGAGCCGAGCAGTTTTACTCTCGAGTGCTGCGTATGTCAACCAGAGTCCACTGTTGACGTGCTGCACGAAACACATGGACTCCCCATACTTGATTTCTGGGGTTCCCATCCCCTCTACATCTCGTTTATGAGGCATATCAATCTTATCCTGAGAAACCAAATATCTGTGTTCAAGATCGATCCACGGTGAGGCACAAATTTATTGCACAGCAATCTGAATATCCACTTCAAAGGTGATTCTTCGTTACATTAACTACTTTTAATTGGAGTTGAGGTAGACCAGCCATGATCTATATCGAATGGCGAGCTGAATGGCCTACTTCTGTTCCTGTGTTCCTATATTTGATATAATAATAATCCTTTTCATAATAATCCATTTGAAGTAGCACCTTATCAAGTTTTAAGAAGTTTCGGAGTCCTGCGCTTGACAGCAAGTCTAGTGACTGTATTTGCACACAGCAACATCCCACAAAAACAGCCATGAAATGAGTGACCGATTTTATGTGAGGGACCCCAGGAGAAACTCGCTTTCAGTGCGTTTGCTTAGACTGAATTCAAAGTCCCCAAATGGGTCTTGAACTCACCAACTTCTGACTTTTTCATGTTTCCTTCTTTTCATTGCCAACAAAACCTTTATCTCCACAGTTTCTGTGGATGAAACCGTGGGGCTTCTCACAAGGTCTAACAGTGGCTACTTTATAGGAAGGGCAAAGAACACAAATAAGTCAATTGTAAGTTGCTGGACGGTATGAGAAATACAAACATGACATCGCGGTCTGAAACATAGAGGGGGAATGTTCAGGCTAAATACTTGCAGTGGCAACGATGGAATTTGGAGCAAAATAATGCAACATACGATAAATTCCTAGCAAAATTCTGTTGGTCTTTTTTCCAGCATTCGCAATTTCCTGTTATCACTATAAAACCCTTAATTTTACTTTAATACGTGACCCACAGATCATCTTACTTTACTCTGTGAATTCAGTCTTTCAGAATGCTTTAAAACCACTACTGATTTATAATAATACATCTTGCATTTGATATAGCGCCTTATCTCATCTTCGAGATATCTCAAAAGCACTTCACAGAATATTCTGTAAAGTAAATTGACTGGATTTTTTTGTGGGAGAAACGGCTAAATGTTATGATCTACAGCATCTAGTCATGTAATATGCCAGAATTATTAAAAGCATGAGCACCACTTTAAGTATATTTTGAGGAATCTGTTCAGTAGTCTCAAAATAGGGTAGCACAAGCTCCCCTGGGTTGCAGGTAGCACAAAGTCAAGGATGTTTAGTTTTCTCTCACCTTTGAGATTCGGAAACAAAAGGCAGTAGCTTTGGTGTTCGATTTCTCTTGATCAAAAAGAAGCAGCCCTTTCTCCTCATCTAGGGCCAAGTATTTACCGGTTGTTACGTGACGGATACGAAAGGGCTGGCCCCATTTCATGTGGCTACCACTCCAACTGGTGGGAAAAGAAAAATAATAATAATCCTTGCATTTGATATAGCGCCTTATCCCGTCAGGTGGGATAAGAGAAATCGCATTTGGAAGTGACAAAGGCATGGATGAGGATTTCAGATGCATTGGGGGCAAAAGTGAGGCTGGTCATTGTAAAATGTTTATTCTCTAGAATTGCATAAATCTATAGTAACACGTCTATAAATCAGGCAGAGTGAAGCCATTACCTGATGCGCAGAGGTTCCAGTCTCCACAGAGATCTTGCATGGCTGCACACTGCTCCTCCTTCAAAGTGAACCAACCTGAAGGATAAGCAACAGGTCACATATTTACAATCCAATACAAAATGTCATTTACACAGCACCTTCACGATGGGAGGACATCCCACAGTCAGGAATTTGGACCCGAGCGCGGTGGGGGGGGTGGGCGTTGAGATCAGGGAAGGAAGAAGGGCAGGGATAGGAGGGTGGCACAGTTGAAGACGAAGATCTTTAGATGGGTCTTGAAGGAGGCAAGAGAGAGGGGTGAGGAGGAAGGATTGCGGGATACAGTTCCAGAGTGTGGGGGCAGAGATGCTGAATAGATCTGAAGTATAAACCCATGCCATGGTGGCATGTCAGACTGCCAGATATGATTCAATATAAAAACCTTTTCAGATACGTGACTGGAGTCAGGTAACACAATTACTGAAAACTGCCATTTTCATCCACATTCCTTTCTCACCAGTCACATGTTTGATCGAACAGCATCCACCATTAACATCAACTTAAACTTATCCCGGGGGGCGGTAGTTAATCCCAATGACAACAGGTGTATGAGTTCTGGCTTCCTGTGAGTAGCAAGTCTTAGATAAGCAGTCAAATCAAATTTCTGCTGAGTGAGCTCTAATTATTTCTGTAGCCTACATGGTAAGGCTATTAGTTTCAATTTTAAAGGTAATGGCTATGACAGCTGCACTTCTTAATTTGAGGAGAATGCCAAGACTGGGCGATAAACAAGGGAAAGGCTGACTGATATGGTTTTATTTTCAATTCCCTCTTTGACCTATTAGACTCTTCCAATTTCTTAGCTGAATGTCTCATGGCTCGCTCAGATGGTACTCTCGCCTCTGACTCAGAATGGTTGTGGATTTAGCTCACATCACACACTAAAACTCCTATGCACCCTCTCCAAGACCCTGACATACTGTCTAAACTGCGGTGCCCAGAATTGGACATAATACCCCAGATGAGGCCTAACCAGCGATTTGTAAATGTTCAACTTCTTTGTTCTTATACTCTATACCTCTATTTATAAAGCCAAGGATCCCATATGCTTTTTCCAACCGCTTTCTACAGTACATGAGCGAGCACTATGACAAATTATTTTATCTTGTACTTAATAGTGGAACCAGGGGACATGGCCTGCGATTGAAAGGGGAAAATTCAGAACAGATCTACAGAAACACTACTTCAGTGAACGAGTAGTAAACTTATTGAACAGGCTCCCTAGGGAGACAGTGGAAGCAGAAAATATAATTTGTTTCAAGAACAAATTAGATAGATTTAGAAGCATAGAATATTATAGCACAGAAATCGTGCCTGTGCTGGCTCTTTGGAAAAGCTACCCAATCAGTCCCACTCCCCGGCTCTTTCCCCAAACCCCTGCAAATTTTCCTTTTCAAATACCTATCTAATTCTCTTGATCGTGCTTATGGTCACCTTCTCCCTCCCTCTCCCCCTGGCTCGGGGTCAGACTCCGCCAATGTCAAGTGCTCCGGGAAACTACCCTACGCTATATAAATGCAAGTTGTTGTTGTCTAACAATTAAAAACTTCCCCAGCACAGCACTGAAGTGTCAGCCTAGACTATATTTTCATAGTCCTGACATGGGCTTAAACCCACAACCTTAAGAGGTGATTTAGTGCTGCCGATAAGAGAGCCAGGCTGTACGCAGGGAGCTTCTTATTATACACACCATTCACCAACTATTCTTATGGCTTCTCCATGTCAAATTTTTGATGACCTCCGAGCAGTTTTGTGCAGTGGTCAAAACTAAATTGAGACTCATTAGAATCGCTTCTCTTAGGGCATCACTTCTATTCCAGTCTACAAACACAAGGCTGGCTACTGGTTCTAAAACTGGCACGATCCAATCTTATTTAAGACTGCTCACACGATTGAGCGAGCTTGACTCATTCCTAACAATATTACAAGATCACGTTTTTCAGACTGGCAAAGAGAAATCCCTGGGTAAGTGTTGGGAACTCTCTCGTTCTCGACTTATAGAAAAAAAAGATGCAAACACAGCAGTAGAATAAATATACAAATAAGTGGATGATACTAAATTAAGAGGACCCAGCATGTAGAACACCTGATGGATAACTGACCTGCGCTGGTCTTCTCCTTGGTCAAATGCTACTATCGTGAGGCACTCGTCCATATGACCATGAAAGAGACGCAGAACATGGCCACCGGTCACATATCCTAGAGATATAAAGGACGTGTAAATGCTGAAGAGAGTCAGGAACTATTGGATTATAATAATAATACTTTCATTTGATATAGTGCCTTATCACATCTTCGAGACATCTCAAAGCGCTTCCCAGATTATACTATAAGTGAAATGACTGTGTTTTGTGGGCAAAACACTGCGCCGACAAACAGTTGTGGATTGAGTGACCGCATTTTTTTTTAAAAGGAATTATTACCCCGGAAAAGCGATCCGTCAATCAACTAACAACCGGGCTCCTACTTACTGCTAGGTAAACTGCTAGAGGTGTGTGGAATAAGGAAATTGCCTAACATTTTGCCGTGCCAGGAATTGAACCCAGGTCCTCGCGCTTGCGAGGCTCAACCTAACGTATACTAATATCTTGCAGTTCTCCAATTACAGCCCAAAACCTTTTGTTAGTAAAACTGTTCCATCAAATGTAAATTACAATATGCAGCAGTCACCGAAATCTGGTTCCCCGTATCAATGGGAGTCACTGATTTGAAACAAGAAGCTTAAGACCATTGTTACATTCCTTAAGCAATCAGTTCATCGTTATACTTATGACAGTTTGTACTTTGGAACTTAGGAACAGGAGGAGGCCATTCAGCTCCTCGAGCCTGTTCCGCCATTCTGTAAGATCATAAATGATCTGTACCTCAACTCCAATTACCCGCATTTTCCCTGTATCCCTCGATACACTGACCTAACAAATATCTAACCACCTCAGTCTTGATAATGTGAATGGATCCAGCATCCACAGCCTTTTTGGGGAGAAAGAGTTCCAGATTTCCACTATCCTTTTGGTGCATGAAAATATGCTTCCTGGTTTCATTCCTAAATGGCCTAGCTCTAATTTTAAGATAATGCCCACTTGTTCTGGATTCCCCCCACCAGAGGAACTAGTTTCTCTGAGGCTACCCTATCTTTTTACCACTTCATTACTAACCTTCAGCCAGTTCACAGCCTGAACAGATGGGATTCATATTCCAGAGCGTCTGCATAAAGGAGGCATCCACTTGTAAATCTCCACTGGCGTAAGATAAATGCTGCGAAAGATTGAGGACAGATTTAGAGAAACTGACAACCTGCAAAGGACGTTTTATTTGGGACAAGGTAACAAGTAAACCTAGAATAAGAAATTAACCTGTTTTGCTATTTGAGGCAAGCTCTACGATGATAATAATCCGTATAATAATAATCCTCGGGTTTGATATAGCGCTTTATCAAGTCTTCGAGGTAATAATAATCGTTGCATTTGATAGAGCACCTTATCACGTCTTTGAGATGTCTCAAAGCGCTTCACAGGATCCACTGTACAGTGTAGTGACTGTGTGTTTTGTGGGCCAAACACAGCAGCCAATTGCACACAGCAGTGTCCCAGTCATGGACTGAGTGACCACATTATTAAAAAATTTTGGAGGGATTATTACATCCGGAAAGCAATCCACCAATTAACTAACAACCGGGTTCCTACTTACTGCCAGGCGGGTGGAGTAACTTGCCTGACATTTCACCCTGCCAGGAATTGAACCCAGGTCTCAAGTGCTCTAACCACTGAGCTACAGGACTGTAAGGTGTAGTGACTGTGTATTTTGTGTGCACTCACCAGATATCGCTCTGAGGAAACACTGACAAGGATGAGGTCATCACCCACACGCACTTTCTCACCCTCAGACCTTTGTTTAGAGGCTGGGTGAATGGTCCACCAACATGCTTCCCCTGCACACGACATTGATTACAAGCTGAACAATGAAATCGCCCTGGATATTCACAATGTGTTGCTTAGACATTTTCAAATAGATAGAAACATTCAAACATTCCTTTTCATTTTCAAACCATAATCCTCAACTCTTTCTTCAAGGCTTCAAACAGAAATATTAACTTTCTTACTCTTGTCCATTTTCCCTCACCGATGAAGCTTGTTATAATATAATAATCCTTGCATTTGATATAGCACCTTATCACGTCTTCAAGACGTCTCAAAGCGCTTCACAGAATATACTGTAATATGAAATGACTGTATATTTTGGGGGCGAAATGCAGCAGCCAATTGCGCACAGCAGTGTCCCGCAAACAGTCATGGATTCAGTGACCAAATAATTATTATCATTATTATTATTTTTCTTTGAAAGGAGTATTACCCCCAGAAAAATGATCCGCCAATCGACTAATAACCAGGATACTACTTACTGCTAACTGGATTTAAGTGGGAAGAATCTACCAACCCCAGCCCATGACTCGTGTGCTGAGCAAGCTGAAGTACTACACTGTTAAACATCAACCAGCAAACATCACTATACTTTAATATACCTGTTGCATCTTCCTGCAGTCCAACATCAAAGGCTAATTTGTCCGTCATAGACCTCGATGTCGTCAAACAGCATAAATACTGTGAATAAAAGGAAGAGGAGCATTATGTCTACTCAAATGCCAACAAGTCATTCTCTTCACAGCTGTTTGTGGAACATTGTTGGGCACAAATTGGCTGCCATGTTCTCCCACAAAATACACACAATCACACACACCATTTTACAATATATCTTTTGAGACAGATTGCTCTGAGACATGTCAAATAATACAGCAGTGTCCCACAAACAGGCGTAGATTGGGTAACCAATTTTTTTTGAAGGAATATTACCCGAGGAATAGCGATCAGCCAATCAACTAACAACTAGGTTCCTACTTACTGCAAGGAAAACAGAGTCGTGTGTGGGGAGTAAGGAAACTTGCCTTTACATCAATGCTCTAGATGAGGACATTGAATGTAACGTATCTAAATTCGCGGATGACACTAAACTAGGTGGGAGAGTGAGCTCTGAGGATGATGCAAAAAGATTGCAACGGGATACAGATAGGCGAGGGGAGTGGGCGAGGAGGTGGCAGATGGAATTTAATGTGGGGAAGTGTGAAGTTATTCACCTAGATAGCAAAAATAGAAAAAAGATTATTTTCTAGAGGGGGAGAGATTAGATAGTGTTAGTATTCAGAGGGATTTGGTGAGACCGCACCGAGAGTATTGTGTGCAGTTTTGGTCTCTTATTTAAAAAAGGACATACTTGCCCTAGAGTGGGTGCAACGTAGATTCACTCGGTTAGTGCCTGGGAATTTATGGAATTCACTCCCCCAAGGCTGTAAATGCTCAGTCCGTGAACATTTTCAAGGCTGAGACTGAGAGATTTTTAAAAGCGAGGGATTAGGGGATATGAGGATAGGGCAGGTAATTAGAGTTAGGTCTGAAGATCAGCCATGATCTTATCGAATGGCGGGGCAGGGCTCGAGGGGCCGAATGGTCTACTCCTGCTCCTAATTCTTGTGTTCTAAGGTTTCACTCTGCCCGGGAATCGAACCCAGCTTGCGAGGCAAGTGCTCTAACCACTAAGGTACGTTATGAATAGATTTAAAGAGAGAAAATTCAAATATGAAAATCAAGGTCAAAATGTGAATTAAAGAGCGAGAATCAGCCTTGATGTTCAAACTTACCATACCACTGTGGGAATGTTGGAGTAGAATTGCATGACCATACAAGAGGGTTCGATGACCTCCTCCCTGAGATGACTATATACAACAGAAACAGAAAGCTCATCAATCTCAGACGATGTAGAAGACTGCACCATCCCAATCCCAATCAACCAATTTGAATTTTGCTGTTATGATGAACAAAAAACGACTTCATACTTCACTAATTCATGTGTTATACACAATACCAAATTGATACCCAAATCCTACACAGAAAACAACAGTCATGTTTATTTAAAATATCTTTTAAATAGCTATTTTGTTAATCTTAAAAGTTAGAATGACAACAATGCAGTTCTCTTCTTACTCGATTTGCTGATCATGTGTATATTAGCTTGTTCATAACATTAAGTTAAAAAAAACAAAAGAAACATGCAACAAGAAAAGGTTATTGGCCCATCAAGCCCAGACCACACATAACCTACCCTATTATCCATAATTTAACCCCATATTTTCCTCCACATTCTCACCCAGCAGCACATGAACCACTGTGCATGTCCTATGAAACTTATGTTCCTCTCAGTCTCCACCCATCCTATTACCTCCAACACTGTTCCCCACCAGATACCCATCAGTTTATTTTTGAAGGCATCAATTGACACAGCTTTTGTGTGGAGTCTCCATTTTATTGTTTCTAAATTGATCGATCGATGTGAGTCAGACGCAAAGCTATTCTTAAGCAAATACAGAATATCAGATATACTGCAATCACAAATTAAGCCACAAAAAGCACTAGTGGTGTGACGTTGGCTAGATTTGTAAACATCAGCTAGCCAAGCCCCTAAAGCGAGGACCCGCATTAAACAGCTGATGCTGAGTAAACTTGGCACAGATTTGGTTTGGATCTATAGATCATCAAGGTGACTGTCCAGAAAAGGCCCTCCCACCAGGCTGAAGGCAGATGTCCATCAAATGGGAAACTCTTGAGACTTGGGATGACATTTGCGTTATCTGGAGTCTGGCTTTGTGAACACACTTTTGTGTATTCAAAGCTTGGTATCCACTTTGATTGGTATAAAGAGAGGTAAGAAGCTGCTGCTCAAACTCTACACCCTGAGTTGGTGGCACCATCGCTCAATGGTGAGGGGTGTGTGTCCAAGCTGTGGGCAGGAGGATGGTGATAATGCTCTCACACATTTCATGCTGAGCTACAGTACTCCAGGGACTGAAGATGACAGACCAGCCAGCCTGGCTCATCAGTAATGGTTGAAGGCACAGACCAGTCTCTGGGAGCAGGGATTGTTTCCACTAAACTTCTATTAACCCTAAGCCAAAGCACTAACAGGTGGGGTGGTACTAGCTGGATAAGGAGCAGGAAGCTTGCGAGTCAGGGCTTTCAAATAAAAGCTGATTAAACTTCAGCAATATATCCACGCACACTCTGGGGATCCCCCCCACCCAAGCTTTGGTTCTTATCAACTTGTTCCGATTCCTCTCCAGCATTAAGGTAAGCAAGGTGTGCCCCTCTAGGGATAGAGGTACGCGTTTCATTCCAAACGCAGGAATTTCCGTGCATGATCTTAAGCATGGTGATGAGATTCCACATGTGTCAGACACCCAGCTGACCAAATTCAAAGGCTATCTCAACGCCTCGTCACTGTTACTCATGTTAACACCAAAACCTTGACTTAGAGAACGTGCCTGATCTTCATGTCTAGCTTTGTATAAACTAGTGATCTGTTACACATTCTTTTGAACCTCCCCATTTGCTCATTTACTATCTCAAATTGCCAGATAAGTGTAAAATAATTTCTCAAAAAGTTATCACGACAATGTATTTTTCTGAAGTAAGAAAAGTTTACAGATGACTCAATAGAGAAATGATTGATAATCCAGTCTGCCATTAGTAGACATATTTGACAAGGCAAAGAAAATGCTTAAATCCTTCAAAACAGTACTGCTGTGATCAGATAAATATTGTGCTTTCCCATATTAGGATTTCAAAGAATCTATGAAAAACATCACTTGCTAAAAATAACCTTATAAACAAAAGATGCAATAAAATCTACTATAATGGTTTTAATGGTTCACTGCACTGCAAAAAAAAGTAAATGACTTACCTGATTAACACTGGTATCCCCATTATATGTCTCCATTTTAGAATAATTATTTTATCAGAATGTAATAACAATCATTTCACACTTAGAATAGTGTTATATTAACCTTAGTAAATTGTATTAGCTGAAGTAACCCTTTCGTTACAGGTAGAAGGTTATGCTATCACTGCAACACACAACCACTTGTGAGGGAGAATATACAATACACACCGAGTAAAATCTGACAGTACTTTCACATTTTATATCACATAGCACACCTATTCCCCAGCATCACCTCTTCTAACCTGTACACTGCTAACCCGGTAAATTGTGTACAGTATTCATATCAGGAACAGCGAGCAAAAAAGGCATACACCCCTCCTTGCAAGAGGTACAATGCTCCAGTAAAATTCATACTAATGTCTTTTTACATGGTGTGTACTGTACCTTTAATTTGCTAAAGGACTAACACTGGGGGGTGGGGGGGAAGAGTGGCCCTGTTCAGCCAAATAATGTTACCTGAACTGTGGCAGTCATTGTCATGTTTGATGGGAAACTTTTTCAAAAGGTAGTAAAATAATTGTTGTTGCAGAAACCCCTGAGCAAAAGTGCTACCAACTGAGCCGTCTAAATCCTCACCTCAAGTCATTTTCCATGATCCAGTATCCAAATTTCAGGAGTCTCCACATCTCAGAAATAAATTGAGGACACACGGGATGATGGCAGATGACAGGGTTTAGTTTATGTAAGGCACTTACTCTTGTATTAAGTGCCTGAGATCGTATGTGAAAGGCCTATTCTTGCTATTATTTTCCTATCCAAACTTGGGGAGCTGAGGTTCCTCCTGCTGCTTTCATATTTATGGTAAATGTATTAAAAGGGAATGTCAGAGGTAGAGAAGAAACATTTTCAATGTAAAATACAAACAGAAAATGCTGCAAATACATGAGGAAAACTAGGCACTAAACATTGAGCAGGAACTGCTTAAAAAGTGAATGGACAGTTACTAGCAAAGTAGCTTCGATTTCTAAACAATATGATTATGAGAAACCTGGGCATGTGGTTTTGCAAATAAAGCGAAAATTTTCTCTGCATTAGGAAAATCATACCCTGCGTGAAGGGCACTATATAAATGCAAGTTGTTGTTGAAGAGGGGTCAGAATATGTCTACTATTAGACTCCAGTTACACGAAGACTATTAACGGCCATCCTCAATGGGTGATTGCAATAAGCCATAGAAACCAAAAGTGCATCAGGTTCAATCTGTGGTCTAACGTATCTAAGATAAGCATCCTGAATAGACCATTAGCTCTACAGCAACCTGGGATTAATTGTGTGGAGAAATTGTTTTGTACTGTTTGTGTGTTGTACATTGATATTTTACTTCTTACCTTCTTGAATAAAAGCACACAGAACACTTCAAGCTGAATTAGCTTTCCCAATAAATGCATTAACCCATAAATCGTTTAACACAATTCTGAGTCGTGTGTCAAGTGAAACTGAATTAACATGTGGTAAAAATCAATGCATGAAATTAATATTTTAATGAAGGTATGAACAGGGCCTCAGGGAGGGAAGGGAGATGCGTTAGAGCTCATGCACTGACTGACAACACCTATAAAAGGATTCAAATTGGTTTAACAATGGACCACAGCAACAAACACCAGAGCAGGACAGACACACAAACATACCCATTTGTCCAGATCAAGAGGCTTGCATAGTGGATAAAATGAAAAGCAAAAAAAGCACATTATTTTCAAGTTGGACCACTTTCTGGACTGTCCTTCCATAATTCCAGTCGCCAATAGCAATACAATATGCATGCAACACAACAAAGTAGGTATTTGGACATGTCTAAATCCACCTATACATGATTACATTATGACCATATGGTGACAAGGTGCATTGAAGTTTTTATTTCTTGACTAGCTATTCTAAATCTGTAAATTGGACAAAACGCATTTAACGTTACGACTTCAATATCTTAACCTTAATAATTACATTTACACAAGTTACAAACTGCAAATTTTTCTAATACTGTCAAACAGGTTTACTCGAAAAAACACTGTGAATACATAGAATCAAAGATTCGCTTCTCTGATCAGAATCCGAAGCGTGTAAACATTGTGCTTAAAGACAACAGTTAAAATCAAATCGACTACATTTAACTATTCACTTAGATCACAATGTAATATATACAAACTTTTTTTAAACAGTGAAATCGATATACTCACTTAATTTGACCCAATTTATTGGTCAGTGTATTGGATCAGTCTGAGATTGGTTTACTGATAGGTGATATGAGCTAATCAAACATTTTACTCCTGTAATTGACACAAAACAACAACAACAACAACAAGATTCCATTTATAAAGCGCCTTTCACGTCAGGAGGACGTCCCAAGGCGCTGCACAGTTGGGTCATGACCCGAGCAGGGGGGAAATGGTGAGGGGAGGGAGCAAGGAGGGTGGAAATGGTCAGGGGGAGGGATGGGAGGGAGCTGGAAGGGGGAAGAGAGTCGAGAGGGGAGCTGAAGGCTCGGTCAAAGAGAAAGGTTTTGAGACCGGTCTTGAAGGAGGAAAGGGAGGAGGCGGCGAAGGCACTGGGGGATAGAGTTCCAGAGCCTCGGGGCTGAGAGGCTGAAGGCCCGACCACCAATGGTAGGGCGATTGGGGCGGGGGACGTGGAGCGGACCGGAGCCAGAGGAACGGAGGGTACGGGCAGGTAGGTAGGGGGATAGTAGGTTGGAGAGGTAGGAGGGAGCAAGGCCGTGAATGGCCTTGTAGGTGAGGATGAGGATCTTGAAATCAATCCTCTGGGGGATGGGGAGCCAGTGGAGGCGAGCGAGGGTGGGAGTGATGTGGTCCCGAAGCCTGGTGCGGGACAGTACACGAGCTGCAGAGTTCTGAATGACAAATTGCAATTGAAATTGGATTTATGTGGTGGTAGACATCCACGGCTTCTTCTAGGAGGTGGAAATGGGACACATCGGGTAAGAAAGGTGAATCCGATGGAAGACCCACTAGATCAGAAGGCCACAAAAGTAACAGCTGATCAACATCAAAATTCTGCTATCTCAAAGGCCTAAGAGTAAGGTTGCAGATAATGAGATCTTCAATTTCAGATCACAAAAGAGGTTCAACCAGAAACATGTCATGGAGGAACTAATAATAGATGGGGAGGTTTGAGCTTTCAGGCTTCAGAAAATATGAGATATTTGGGATCTTATCATGGAAAATCACAATTCTTACAATGTGCACAACAATAAAATTGGACTCAAGTGTTGCAGATATTCTAAGCTAACTCAACAGATCCCATGTTGTGAGGCCATGTTGTGCCAATATGGGATTACAAAGATTACCGTTATTATTCACTGCCTAAAGTGTCTAGAGATTTGAGGAAAATCATAATAACAATCTCTGCCTTCCCTCACCCCTACACCACCCCTCCCCACCCCATGCTCGTGCCCCGACACCTGACTGTTCAGCTCTTTGGGATGTCCTCCCGACGTGAAAGGCGCTCTATAAATGTAATTTTGTTGTTGTTGTACTAAGTCAGAAGGTGTGAATTCAAGCCCGATGTCAGGACTTTGAACTCACAGTCTACATTGACACTCCAATGAAGCATTTTTCGAGATTCCATCCTTTGGATGAGACATTAAATCAAGGTCCAGTCTGGCTCTTTAGGTGGACATTAAAGATCCCATCCCATTTAGGTGGACATTAAAGATCCCATCCCATTTAGGTGGACATTAAAGATCCCATGGACATTAAAGATTCCCCAAATAAAATTGGTCACTCACTTCAAAGTTGTCTGTAGACATTGTTGGTGCACAAATTTACTGCCCCATTAGCCTACAAAATACAGTCACTACACTTCACAGTAAAATGCTGTGAAGCACTTTGGAATGTTTTGATTACCCTTTGGAACTCCAGCCCTCACCTCCTTCAAGAACCATCTCAAGATCCTTCTCTTCAACCACGCTTTCGGCCACACTCCTACCCCTACCCTCCCTGCCCTTCACCCCTCCTGATCCAAAACCCCAGCCTGGGTCCAAATCTGACTGTCCAGTGCCTTGGGACATCTGCCCCATGTGAACGGCACTGTGTAAATGTCATTTGTTGTCGCTGATGATGAAGCAAAGTCTTTAAAATGTATTAATTACAACAAATAGCAGTCGAGAATGTTTGTTCACACCAACCAATCATCTAAATGATTCTAGACATGCAAGGAGAGAGCTCAATGTGTTACAATGAAAAGGCATGTCTCGAATATCCTGGAAACAGTTTAACATATTGATTTAGACAGATTGAGAGACGCCGAGAGACCTGTGAGCCAGCACCTCACCATTTCCCCTCCCTCCTGTGGCACCAGATCCTGCCATTATCCAGCAGTTTGTGGAGGATCCCTAGAAGTCGATGTTCACTGAAAACAGTAACTAGCCGAAAAATTGTTCCGGGAGATAACTTGGAGTGCAGTCAATTATTATCAGCATATTATGTCAGGCAGTCCTGAGAACAACAACTGTTAGAAAATAGCTCTATGTGGACAACATCACCCAGTACACCCAATTTTCTTCTTCAATAGCTCCACTGTGAATTTGAATTTGCTGTAAGCATCATGCAATATCTGGAAGATTTTCACCCTTTACATGAAACGGCATGATTAAAATGAAAGCTCTGGGTGGCAGTGATTTACACATTTGTAAGCATGAATCGATGACGATGAATACATTTAGCATGCTCAATGAAAAGCTGAAACAAAGTCTTGAATGACATTTTAGTTCGTAGAACAAAATAATAAAATCTGCTGGGTACAAAGTCGAAATGTTGTGGATATATCTCCTGACTTTATAAACCCACCAAATGTATTAAACCAAATCCTGATGGTTTAAACACATTGACTGATATTCCCTATATTTAGTCAAATATTTGCAGTTTAAGGCAGGGCTGTCCAATGTGTGAACCACTAGCACAGAAGGAGATCATTCTATTCTATTGAGAAACGCCATGAATCAAGAAATGTTCTAAATTACCTCTATGGTTTCATCTGCAATGGGCAACCAAGCATTTGAAGAACTGTGGCTAACCACTATTTTAGTATGTGAGCAGTTGTCTTAGTACTTTCATTGACTGGCAGATAGAGCAGTGAGTAAGAACAACACAAACTAACTGGAATAGAACCTCAAACATCCAGTAGCACAATTAACTAAAAGATTTCAGTTTGACACAAAAAAAAAGCATGAGAAATACTGACAGTGATTCAGTCAAAGGTTTGCTGCCCATAAAAAATCACCAAAAGATTTATTAATAAATTTTGAGATTTATCAAATAAATCATTTTTTAAAATATTTTATAATTTATAATAATATTTTTTACAACAACACATGTATGCAGAAAGTTTGGTTCAACTTTTAAGAATTAAGAGGCACATTGATTAAAATGCAGGTAATGCTCATGCCCTCCTCACCAGTCTCCCTAGCTCCACTATCCACAAAATCCAACAAATCCCAAACTCTCCCACCATATACTCACCCGCTCTAAACTCTGCACCACCAAGACATCAGTCTTTGCCAGGCTCCACTGGCTCCCTATTGCAGAATGGATCAACTTCAAGAACCTCACACTCGTCTTCAAATCCCTTCATAACTTGGCACCTCCCTACCTCTCTGACCTGCTTACTAACCCCACTCCACCACCCTCCGCTTCCGCTTGGCTGCCTCCAGCCTTCTGCTTGTTCTCTCGTTCTCTCTGTGTACTATTCGCTTCTCAATGAGCCATTTTATAGTCTTACCTCATTGCCTTGGACAGTGTTTGCCAGCATCTCTTGCAAGGCTCGCACAGAGAGAGATTGCTGAAGCACGAAGCTGCAAATTGCAAGGTCTGGAGGAACATTCTAAATTCGGGAAGAACATGAAATGTTATTAACGTACTGATAGATTTGAAGTAATCAACAACAACGAAAAACAAATTTCAGTCAAAAAGTTGAAGAATTCATCTATTCAGATTTCTTACTGAATTCACTAAAGAATTAAGGCTGAAATGTTACAGTCTGTTAGGGTCTGGAATGCATTGCCTGAAAGGACAGTGGAAACAGATTCAACATCAACTTTCAAAAGGGAATTAGATAGGTACTTGAAAAGGAAACATTTACAAGCATATGGGGAAAGAGCAGGGGAGTGGGTTTGATTGGGTAGCTCTTCCGACATAGGCACGATGGGCCGAATGGCCTCCTTCTGTGCTGTAATATTCTCTGATTCTAATATTAAAGGAGGTAAAATACTTGTTTACTAAACTCATCTATTCCAATCTGCTATTTCAGATCACTCTCTAGAATAAGGAAACATGAATTTTGTTATTGATAGCATGTCTAAGCTTCTACTCTTAAAGAGTTTAAGTTTCCAGTTTGTAATCCTATTTTGAATTTATTACCCAGTTAATAAACAATCCTAGTTAATCTATCACAATTATTTGTGATAGTAGTTTCAACAATTGGTTAGTGTTGTATAAATTCAGATGTGATTGTTCTTAGGAGGTAAATCATGCGATCAGGAAGATCCAACAGAAAATACTTGGAGGGTTAAAAAGCTCCTTTGGCCCATTTGACCTCATCCCTCCAGAATACCCACCTTACCATCCTCCCATCAGAGTCAAGCTGCTTTTTAAATGAGTCCAGTGTCCAGGTTACAACCAGCCTTCCTGACAATCTTTTCCAGCCGTTCTTTATACTCTGGGTAAAGAAGAACTTTCTGGTGTCTGGGCTGAAATTGTCTTTTGTAACTGCGAACCTATATCCTCTTGTTCTGTCTTGGTGCATCTTAAAGGTTCCAGGTTTACTTTCTTAATCCCATTTATATTTTTATGCACCTCTATGACACACAAATATCCTACTAAAATCAAATGTTATGTTGAATAAAGCCCAGTAAAGTGTTGGCTGATTAAAAGAGAACAGTGGAATGACATTTCTTCTGCTTCACACATTTCTAAAGATTCTATTCTTAGCAGGACTGTGCCGCTTCCACCCCCTCATCAATTATCCACCCAAAGACTTGTCAAACCTGACCCGAGCTGGAACAGGAATAGCAAAAGGATAGACTGCGATTTTTTTTTAGTCACCAAAATTACGGAGTATAAAATATTTACTGCATTCTAACGTGAAAAATAATGTGTTTTTAAGGAAAAGTGAGAAAACCCATTGTGTAATAATAGTTAAATGTCAGTAAGGAGGCAAGAATCACTGTCAGATTCCTTTGGGAAGCAGTCGATTTTACTGCTGTGATAGCAGCTGACTATCCAGTGCTATCAATGTTGTTCTTGTGTTCTACTTTTCAGCCATGAGTGTCCCATATTCGTCTGCCGATTTGGGTTTCCTTGACAACCAGCAAGAGATTGAACCATCTACTTCCAGGTGTTGCAAACACGTTAGAAATGTACACCATTCTTCTGGTCCCGCCACAGGTCACACATCCATTTGAATTCCAAATTACACCATCAGTTTTCAGTTAAAATAAATGAATGAATGTTGCAGAAACTGAAGCAATAAGGAGCCATCTAGTGCTTTTACAATTTTAGTTAAATTTAAAAGAGGACATTCCGTTTTTTTCCTAATACGTTAAACAAATTATGTTAAGTCCATAAGTAGACACCTCAAAGGAAACAAATAAAGAATAGTACAGGGGCTAATATTAGATAAATAATTATTGAATGACATCTCTCATTCAGAAAGTAATAATAATAATCCTTGCATTTGATATAGCGTCCTATCAGGTCTTCAAGACGTCTCAAAGCGCTTCACAGAATATACTGTAAAGTGAATTAACTGTATATTTTGTGGGCGAACCAAGGCAGCCAATTGTACACTGCAGTCTCCCACAAACAATCGTGGATTGAGTCGCAAATTTATTATTATTATTATTAAAAGAAAAAAGAACCCAGTTATTCAGCAATTACCCATTTCCATAGGATACTTCCTTCAAGTATCCCTTACAGTGCATTTATTTAGCAGAGTGGAAATACCTTTGCGTTTGATGTAGATTCAAGGAAGCAGAGTCGATTACCAAATCCTTCAGCGGCAAGGCAGAGTTTTATTTGCTGTTTGACAACAGTTGCAGTGCATTGTAGAACCACTTCATCACCCTATTGAAGAAAGGTAAAGACTATTAGTAAATCCAGAATATTGCCATTTTTTACTATTCTACAAAAGTTTCACAAAAAAGTCTTACTTTTTACCTCTTCCCTATCAAACTTTCTCTCTAAGATTTGAGCTGCCTCTTCCAATTCCACAGCATCCCTAACAAGCCCTAACTTGATGCCATCTGCTACCTTGTATTGAGCTTACAAATTCAAGCCATTTCTATATATACAAGGAGATACCAGCATGGATCCACAATAATGTGGATTTGATCCCCTTAATGCTCAGTGCTAACAGTCCCTCGTTAGATATTAAGGTATTACAATAACTTGACCTAGGTACAGCTTTTCATGCCAGAAGCGCTTTTAAATAAGCAATGTGGGACATGGAACAAAGTAGGAAGAGAGAAAAGGTGACTTCAAAGCACTTCTCAAGACTCTTCTTCCTTGACCACGCATTCGGCCACCCTCCTACCCACGCATTCGGCCACCATCCTACCCTTGTGCCCCCACCCCCCTCCAAACCCAACCCCCTACTCGGGTCCAAATTCCTGACTGTCCAGCACCTTGGGACATCCTCTGGATGTGAAAGGCACTGAAAACAATGTAATTTGTTGTTGAATCCCACTCAAATTGGAATGTCAAAAAAAAATCCATGGTTGTTCAGAGAAGATACAAGGCTTCTAAAGCCACAATGGATGTCATTATTTGATTATAGCATTTTTTTTATTTGATCCAGTGCTCCTACTCTACCCAAAGTTGTTGTTTTTTTGTGTACAGTTGCAGTTTAAATTGGTCTGGATGATACAAGTTCACCCATGTGCGAAGAAGACAGTAGCATAATATCTATATGAATCAGCAGTGGAAAGCCTTGTAGTATTTCAGGAATGTGATATTTGATGCTCATATGGAGTATTGCCATTTTAACTCTTTCAGCCTCCAGATCATAATGCAGCTCAGCAGGTGAAAGACTATTTTGATGCATATTTTCCTAGCAGACAGCTGGGCCTCAAATGTTTTGTAGTTCTTGGTGAGCTTGTAGTGAGGAGCTGAGCAAAGCACTAGCCAACTCCTAAAATAACATCTATTAAGTCTAACGGCAGATTATTACTGTAAATATTTTAGTAAAGAAAGCTAATTTAATTTTGTGCTTAATTTGATTTCTACCTGATGTATCAAATATTAAATGGGAACATACTTCAGGAGTGTTTGCCAGCATGAAATAGTTGAAGGAAAATTCAAGTAAGCTGCCTGGGCACTCCCAGTGTAGAAGGTAGTGTCATTGAGGGTAATTTGCTTATATTAACATAGGCACTCACTCTGAAGAGAAAGGGACATCGCTGTGATGCAGGGAAACTGGTTGACTTTGAAATTTAGCAAAGAAATTGTGCCTGGCTAATTTAAAGAGTTAACCAAAATTGTGGATTATTATTGTATGAGGCAATTGGAATAGATGTTCATTTGGATTTGAGGAAGGCATTCAAATAGTTGTGGCATTTTATAGAGAGTTGTGGCTAAAATTAAAGTACGTGGAGGAGACTGAACAGTGGAGGGTGGTAGGATAAATGGTAGCATTCAAGCATTGTTCATTCAAAGTGGGATTGCGGATAGCAAAGGGCAAACAGAATTCTAATAATAATCCTTGCATATGACTTAGTTCCTTTCACATTGAGAGGGCATTTCACTGGATTCATTGTAAAATGCAGGACCTATATGGAGGTGGTTCTACGGCAATTTGCCCCACAAATAACAATATCTGGGTTTTATATGGAAGCTATTAAATACAAAACTTTTTTTGCCCCAGAGTTGTCAGGGCGTGGAATAATTTGCCAGTAGTAGGTGTTGAGGCAGAGTCAACTGGAAACACAAGAAAAATGGACCAACTGTGTCACATGATTCAATGGTTGAAGGAGGGAGAGAGAAAGTGAGACAACATTAAGAATGAGTATCAGTCTTACAAGGTTGATGCAAGTTTGTGATGATCAAATAGACTGTAACATTTGGATGATAATCTCCTTAGTCAAAGCAGTAAGGAGCCAACACACAAATGTACCCAATAATGTACAAGTCCGTCCCAAAATAACCCTTACATTCTCTGTGGCTGATCCCATTGCCAAAATACAATTGTGCGCTGGAGCTCACATCCCCCAAGCTCCAACATCAACGTATACTGATCTAATTCCTCTTGAAAATGTCAACACTATCCACCTCCTCCTTGATGTATAGAATTGTGCAGGTGAATAATGTCAAGTCTCACTTATTTCTATTGATTGTTACTGTTTTATGCACTCCTCTCAAGGTTAAAAATATCCTACGTTTCCATTCATTTCAATGATGTTTTTCCCTCAAACAAATCTCAGAGGTTTCAGCAGGCTTGGCAAATATTAATATAGTATCACCTTATGTTGAGCATGTCAGTGAAGACAACCCTGGGGGCTGAGATTTATTGCCAGTTCTGTTGCCTTGGTTGCTAATATCAGAGTTGTTACATAGAATAGTTTGTGTGAATGTTATGTGAATGAAGACTCGCATAAAATTTGTGGCAGCAAAACTACTTTAGATATCTTAACTCCTAAATTCACCTTTATAAGTCAATGATGATAAGCCTTGCAATTGATATACAGTAAATTCCGAAGAACTCATTACTCGGTGGGAAAATGGGTTACTGACGAGTTATCAGATATGGCAAGTTAGATATAGTTTCTCCCTCTGGCCACAGTGAGCACGAATACACCAACATAACTGACTGCCGCTGGGCAGAGCGAGCAGCTGTCAGCGTGACAGAGTGGCCTCAGCCCATGCGATTGTCAGTTTATTTGTTAAAACCCATTTAAGTTAAGTATAAGTTTGCTGAAGCTTATGCTCGTGGGCCCCTTGTGCTACACTCGTTCACTTAGTCAGCACCCAGACGCTGCATCTGAATAAGCGCCCAACCTCCGCCGAGCGCCCGCACCAGTCACAACATAAGGTGGGAGACCACGGAGTGGCCCTCTAACAGCCCACGGCTTCCACAATGATCTAAGCATGTACACCTAACCTCTGCCAAACACCGCACCAGCCATAAGACGCCATCTTACAGGACGCGTTATCAAATCAATTCTATGTTGTAAATAGTTGAGAGAATTTCTAGAATTCGACGAACTACATGTTAAGCAGAATGACAAGTAAAGCAATGTCCAATGTTTTGTGTGCAAGTCATAAACCAGTGAATAAAAATGACATCAGAATGAGGGCAGCTCCAGAAAGCCTGGGCTCTGTGCCTGACAAGGGAGCAGGCACAACCTCCCCGGTGGATTCATTTACACCAACTAAATATAAGACAGAATGTGTATTCTCAGCACATGTAACACATCAACTCGCAACGGTTAATGCGAGAGCAACAACGTGCCACGTTAGTGGTGCAAAAAATCATCCTCCCAAAAAAGTTGCACAGAAAAGAAAGCATGGTCTTGCCCTAGATAAACTCTTTCCATTCGCAAAGTATTGCCCTGAAAATGACAACCTTGTTTTTTTGGATGTTCAGAGGAATCACTGGGAAGGTCATTAAAAGTCTCAATTTACATACAGCAACTTAAATCACATGTTTGGATGATTCGGTCATATGAAACTCACAAGTTGAAACTCATTTTTTAGAAGATGTTGTTAAAGACTTTTGTCAGCGTTCCCTCTGGTCTGGAAATGGTAACCCAAATTTATCTACATTTCCTACTCTCTCTGCTAAAGTGGTGCAGCAGTTTCTGTAATTGAGCCAAAATTACACTTAGAAAAAACTACATAAGCACACATATGTAGACTTAATAATAATAACAATAACAATGCATTATGTAGACTTAATACGGGTCAAACTCCCACTCTTCATTTATTTCAAATAGTAATTCTTAACATGCACTGTAAGATGCGAGTCAGAATTTGTATTCCTGAGCTATATATAGACAGAGAGATTAGATAGATAGATAGATAGATAGATAGATAGATAGATAGATAGATAGATAGATAGATAGATAGATAGATAGATAGATAGATAGATAGATAGATAGATAGAAGATAGATAGATAGATAGATAGATAGATAGATAGATAGATAGATAGATAGATAGATAGATAGATAGATAGATAGATAGATAGATAGATAGATAGATAGATAGATAGATAGATAGATAGATAGATAGATAGATAGATAGATAGATAGATAGATAGATAGATAGATAGATAGATAGATAGATAGATAGATAGATAGATAGATAGATAGATAGATAGATAGATAGATAGATAGATAGATAGATAGATAGATAGATAGATAGATAGATAGATAGATAGATAGATAGATAGATAGATAGATAGATAGATAGATAGATAGATAGATAGATAGATAGATAGATAGATAGATAGATAGATAGATAGATAGATAGATAGATAGATAGATAGATAGATAGATAGATAGATAGATAGATAGATAGATAGATAGATAGATAGAGAGATAGAGAGATAGAGAGATAGAGAGATAGAGAGATAGAGAGATAGAGAGAGAGATGCATCTTGCTGCAGTTTGTTTCTCCACGTTGAGTCACTGGGAAAGTCCAGGGGAATCATTCCCAGAGACAACCCATTTTTCTTCAGAAGCTTTCCCTACCAGGCGCGCAAGAAATAATCTAAAATTTTTTTAAAAAAGCATATCCAGCCATAAAGGCTGTGCGTGTGCATATACATATATATATACACACACATACCTATAAAAAAATAACAACAACAATTCTCCTCAGTGCTTATTCACACCATCCTTTTACAAGGTCCCCCCCCCCTGTATTTGACAGGCGGATGGCGCAGAAGCTGTCGGCGATTAATAAGTGACTGACTCACAGTTCTGAGGAACTGAATCTCCTCTTCTCCTTCTGCCCCTTCAGCCATGGCTGGCTCACTCCTTCCTCCCTCACTCCCTCACTCACTCCCCTCACGCTCCGCTCGCAGCTGACTGACTGCCTGACTGACTGACTCGACTGACTGCCTCTCTGCCGCTCGCCCCGGACTGAGCGCCAAACCCCCCACGCGCGCGCGCGCGCACGCACGCACACACGCACACGCAGACCGACCCCGCCCCACAGACGCCGAACGCCCCGCCCTCTTCCACCCATTGGACGACTCGCGGGGGGGAGGCGCCGGCAGACGATTGGCGGGGTGGCTGCCCGGCGCGCGCGGCGGCGCGTGGGGGGGTGGGGCCGCGTGCCCCGGACTTGGCGGTTGGGCGCGAGGCTCCGGGTGGGCGGAGGGGGCGAGGTCACGTGCCCCGGAGTGGCAGTTGGTCGCGAGGCTCCGGGTGAGGTCACGTGCCCCGGAGTGGCAGTTGGTCGCGAGGCGTGGGGGGGGGGGTTGACATCGACGACGACGACAACTTGCATTCACACAGCAACCCCTCACGTGGGGGCAACGTCCCAGAGCGCCTGACGGGGGGAGCACGGACCCGTAGCCGGGGGGGCGGGCGGGCGTGGGGCGGGTGGGGGAGAGAAGAGGGGGTGAGCGGGCGGGTGGGGTGAGGGGTGAGGGGTGGGAGGTGATTGGGCACTGTCGAAGAGGAAGGTCTTGAAGAAGGAAGGAAGGAAGGAACGAAGGCAGGGAATAGAGAGGGAGAGCTTTGACGGAGTCTCGGGGCGTCGCGGTTGAAAGCGTAGCGGCCGCCGATGGTGGAGCGGAGGGCAGGAGGGAGCCGGTCGAGTGGAGGCAATGGGTTGGGGGAAGGGTAAGCGGGTCGGAGAGGTAGGGAGGTAGGTGCCGGGGCGTGAGGAGACTCGTAATCAGGGGCCAGGGGCAAGGATGATGGGGTGATGGGGGTGCGAAGTTTGGTGAGGGTGGCCTTACTGGAAGGGAAAGGAGGGATGGAGGGAGGAGAGAGAAGTGGGAGGGAGATTAAATGATGGTGGTGGGGTCAAGCAGGACTCAAACCAAGAGAGTGCAGCCTTCTCCCTGAGCGGAGGACGAGGCGAGGTGGTGAATCCCTCCGCCTCGCTCCCTCTCTTGCCTCCTTCCTTCAAGGCACGGCTCAAGACCCTCCTTTTTGACCGTGCCTTCAGCCGTCTTCCTACCCCCCTCTCTGCCCTCCCTCATCCCAACCCTGTCCCCCCCCCCACCCCCCACACTTGGGGTCCTGATCCCAGACTGTTCAGCGCCTTGGGACGTCCTCCTGACATGAAAGGTGCTTTACAAATGTAATTTTGTTGGTGGTGTTAAGGAGGATGCGTATACCAACTATGTTGAAGGCAGCAGAGAGGGACAGGAGGACAAGGTGTCAGAGGGTACCCTGGCCACAGATAGAGAGGTGTAATTTGTGACGTGTCCAAGTAAAACGTTGGTGTCCACCACAACCTCCAGATACTTACGCGAATCAACAGTTGGGACAGAAGTTGTGTCTTCCGATTGATGCTTTCAAGGATCCCTCTCGAGCCGTGTGGAGCCATGGTACCACACTTTGCGGCACCCTCTATCACATCCCAGTGAGTAGCTCGGTACTCAAGATGGTGAGTGAACCGTAGAAGTTCTCCAGGTGAGTCTGTTAGTTGTACAATATCATCTGCAAACAGAAGCACTGCAAATAATCGGCCAGAAACGGCAGGAACAGATGCAATTTTTTTGCATATACCAATTCAAGCATTCCGCTATCCCGCTTGAAGGGCACTATATAAATGCAAGTTGTTGTTGTTTAATAAGGGGTGACAGAGGACAACCTTTCCTCCCCTCACTTTTGTGAGGGATAGGCTTGATGAGATTCCTATCACCCTTACGCAGATCTTGAAGCTGGAATACACATCTTGGATAAAATCCAAGATTTTACCATGTACACCCATATTAGGAAACAATAAATAATAATAATCCTTGCATTTGATATAGCACCTTATCACAAATTCTAGACGTCTCAAAGCACTTTACAGAATATCAAGTGTATTGACTATATTTTTTGGGGGGAAATGCTGCAGCCAATTGCGGACAGCATGGTCTCACAAACAGTGCGGATTCAGAGACCAAATTATTTTTATTTATTTTTGAAGGAATTATATGGTAAAGGGGAGTGAGCATGGGTTTTGTCGCAGATCTGACTGCCAATTTGCACACAGCAGTGTACCGCGAACCACCATCCGTAAAATTAATCAGATTATTCATCCTATAATAACAACAAGATTACATTTGTATAGCGCCTTTCACGTCGGGAGGACGTATAAACAAGATGGCAGCGCTCATGTTAGCATCATTGCATTACAGAGGCATCTGGTGTATTGGAGGCCACGCTCTCCCGTGCTATCCTGTGACGGGCTGGCGATGGGCAAGGCTGGGCGCGCATGTTCAGATGCAGTATGCGTAGTGTCCAGCGGAAGAGGTGCTGGCTGAGCAAGTGAAAGAGATAACTCGTCACATCGGATAATTCATCACTGAATCCTTTTCCCTTAGAGTGACAAGTTATTTGGAGTTTACTGTATCTTCTACTGACTTTCAAACTATGCCCCTTTATAAAATACTAGCTGTACTAGCTTTGCTTGCAACCAAAGGATCCAATATGGAATGTATATTTCAGTCCATGTATTAATCTAGTGAACCATTTTTGGACACTATCCAAGGTTAGTAAATCCTTCCTTTGGCTGCGTGCCCAAAACTGAATACAGTATTCCAAGCGGTCTCTCTAAATTAGTATTCTATATAGCTGGAGAAGCATCTCCTTATTTTTATATTTGTGCAATAACTGTCTAGTATCCCCACTTGCTTTAGTGATTGCTTTCTGCATCTGCAAATTAGATTTTAATCAATGAGCTTCAACTCATAGATCTTTTTGTTCATCCACTTCTAATGCCATATAGAAGCTGTGCCCAACTAAAATAATACTTCAAACTTTGCAGTGTTAAACTCCATTTGCAATAGTTCTGCTCCCTTGTTTATTTTGCCTCCGTCTCTTTATCTTTCTACTACCCTCTTCACACCTTCTAGCTCACTAAACTTAGAAATAGTCTTCTCTATTCCAGAATCCAGGTCATTGATATATATAGGGTGAAAAGCTGGAGCCCTATCACCACCAATCTCTGGGGGAACACCACTTGCCACTGCCCATCAATTAGAGACTGTCCCTTTTATATCAACTCGACCACACAATGTGCCTTTAGATGAGACATTAAAATGAGTCTCATCTGCCTATTCAAGTGGACGTTAAAGAATATCTATGACAGCATTCAAAAAGAGAAGGGAATTTCTCCTGATCAACAATCATGGAACCATACGTTTTACATACAGAAGAAGGCCATTTGGCTCATCATATCGGTGCTGGGTCTTTTAAAGAGCAATCCTTTCACTCCCATTTACCTACCCTGTTCCCAAACCCCTGTAGTTTGCTACATGATGAAAGCATAATAATAATCTTACATTTGATATAGGGCCTTCAGCCACGCTGCCCCCACCCTATGGAACTCCATCCTGTAGTCCCTCCGCTTCGCCCCTTCCTTTGCCTCCTTCAGGATCCGTCCGAAGACCCTCCTCTTCGACCGTGCCTTTGGTCACCCTCCTTCCCCCCCCGCCCTCCACCTTCCCCGATTCCGACCCCCAGCTTGGGCCCGAAACACTGATTGTCCAGCGCCTTGAGATGTCCTCCCGACGTGAAAGGCTCTTTACAAATGTAGTTGTTGGACATTGTAGACCTCAGTGTCCTCTGCTCCATGCCTTTCATTACAAGTATACCCTTTGATATTGGATTTTGCCAAATGCTGGCTACAAATTACAGAAAGCTTCCTTCTCAGATTCTCACCCCTGGTAATTACAGGAAAGAAGTCTTTAGGAGCTAGTGACACCGTTGAGATCAACCTGATGGGAACAGGGGCTTGAGAAATCTGCACATATAGTGTATGATTTATGAGGTGGTCTATAAATAAACTGGTTCATTATAGTTTCTTTCTGTGCAATCTGGGTCAATTGAGTGATTAGAAACTGTTGAACTGCTACATACTAAAATCAGTCATATGGTCTTAACATTTTTACTTTATTCTTTCTATTTTCATTGTGGAAGCTATCTACTTTATTAATGAAAGTATGCATTTGATTGTGCTGGGTACTGCATTGACACATTCTACATATATATGTCCCTCATGAGCAACTACTAATGCTGTATTGTGAAAAGAAAGGATAACAATGTCGAGAGGCAATTTTCTCAACCTCTGTGGTGCTATTTGCCCTATTTTTTATTGAAAACCTCTCAATTATGGCACAATATAAAATTTTCATAAAACAAAATGAAGTATCTTTTAAAATTGAAACATCTCAAACTGTTTCACAATGTTCTTCCAAAGCGATGGAAGAAGCATATAAGCGATTTACAGCAGAGGTTATTCAAGTCTGCGTTGGCCCTTAGAACAAGTCAATCTCACTACCCTGCCCTATTCCCCATACCTATTCAAGCTTTTAACTTCATATACCTGTGTACTTCCCTCTTGAAATCCAAGTGGATTCTGCCTCTTACCACCTTCCTTGGCAGCACATCCCACATCCCAACATCCTGAAACGTGTAGCTTACCGAGTAGAGCATTCGCAAGCGAGAGGACCTGGGTTTGATTCCAGGCAGAGCGAAACATTGGGCAAGTTTCTTTACTCCACACACCTCTGTTTACCGAGCAGTAAGTAGGAACCCAGTTGTTAGTCAATTAGCAGTCACTTTTCCAGGGGTAATAACTCCTTCAAAATAACTGAAAATAATTTGTTCACTCAATCCACGGCTGTTTGTGGGACACTGCCGTGCGCAATTGGCTGCCTCGTTTCTCCCACAAAATGTACAGTCAACTCACTCTAAAGTATATTCTATGAAGCGCTTTGAGACATCTCAAAGACTTGATAAGGCGCTATATCAAATGCAATAATTTTTATTAATTTTAAGATTATGTCTTCTTGGTTCGGATCTTCTCAGCAGAGGGAACCATCATCCACTATGTAAGCTATGATGATAAAAACTTGAAAGCACCATACTTCAACAATCAGAATCAGAAGTTGTGGGTTCAAGCCCAACTTCAGGACTTTGAACTCACAGTCGAGGCTCACACTCCATTACAGCGCCAGGAGAGTATTGCATTATTAGAGACGCCACCGGGTACTTTTTCACATAAAGGGTAGTGGAGATCTGGAGCTCTCTCCCCCAAAAGGATGTGGATTATGGCTGGATCCATTCAAATTTTCAAGGCTGAAGACAATATTTTTTGTTAGGTAATAAGGGTATCAAGAGATATGGAGGAAAGGCAGGTAAATTGAGTTGAGGTACAGATAGAAAGGTGCAACAGGCTCGAGAGGCTGAATAGCCTACTTCTGTTCCTATGTTTCTACAGTGTATCCTGTGAAGTGATTTTGAGACAGCGTCCTGATATAAAACACACTGAGTCAAATGCAGGGATTATTTATTTAGTTAATTACTTAATTAGTTAATTAACAAACATGTATGGTACAGTGTTCACTGCTATTAGTCAGAACGGGTTGTGTGCAAAGTCTGAGGGACCGAGAGCCAGGCTTGTGCTGCTCCCCTGTGTTCTGTTTCGTGAATAACATTGTTCACTGTGATCCAGTATTGATTTGCAGAGATAAAACAGATCAAAATTATCAACCAACTTAACCCTGTCAGTGAACTGAAAAGTGTTGACCAAGGGCACAGTCAATAAGATACAACAACAACAAAATTACATTTATAAAGCGCCTTTCACGTCGGGAGGACGTCCCAAAGCGCCAGATACATTTTTGAGAAGGTATTATAGGTAGAGCAACAAGAGGAGGGGAAAGGATTTGAGGAGAGAGAGATAGTACAAGTAAATTGTGGCTGAATTTCATAATAGTAAACAATAATAATCCTTACATTTGATCTTCGAGACGTTTCACAGCGCTTCACAAAATATTCTGTGAAGTGAATTGACTGTATATTTTGTGGGCGAAATGCGGCAGCCAATTGTGCCCAGCAGTGATCCACAAATAAAATTATTACCCCTGGAAAAGTGATCCACCACGACTAACAACCGGGTTCCTACTTGCTGCCAGATAAACAGAGGTATGTGGAGTAATGAAACTTGCCCAACACTTGCCCTGCTGGGAATCGAACCCAGGTCTCTCGCTTGCGAGGTGAGTGCTCTAACCACTGATCTCAAGGCTGAGAGTGTGAGGAGTTTCAATTACCTGGGAAAATACAGTTCCCAAAGGACCATAAATTAATCAACATTGATTTCATCTCAGAAACTTCCTGTGTAGAACTTCAAAAGGAAAGATTTATAAACAGAGCAAGGTCCTGCAGTCAGTGGTTGCTGATGTAATATGACAGATACAGGGCAGGTTAATCACAGCTCTCAGATCTTTAATCCTCTCTAGTTTTTTTATCGTCAGGTTCAGACGCTTGTGCAGAGAGAGGTAGCTTTCAGCACTGGGACATTGAGGGCAGGTTTGTTCTGCAGGTAATCTCACTGCAGTGATGGTCCTGAGCAGGATAGAGCTATCCTTTATACATCCCATCAAGGCTGCTTTGTGCCCAGGAATGATCTATGAGCAAAGATTAGACAAGCTAATGCTCTTCAGAAAAGATAACTCAAAGGGGACTTCACAGAGTACAAAACTATGGTCGGTTGAAATACTGTGTGCAATTTTGGTCTCCTCTTTAGAGAAGAGATGTTAAGGCGCTACAGCAAAGATTCGCCAGGATGTTGCCTGGAATTATAAAATGCGGTTATATGAAAAGGCTTGATAAACTGGAGCTTTTTTCTGTGGAGCCCAGAAGGTGTATAAAATTATGGGAGGCTTAGATAGAGTAGATTATTTCCAGTGGTCAAGGGGGGGTCTAGAACATTGTTTTAAAATCAGAATGAGGAGGTCCAGAGTGGAGATCAGAAGAAAATCATTCACACAGAGAGTGGTGAGAGTGTGCAGTTCTCTGCCACAATTAGTTGTTGTGCTGGCAATCATATGCTCATTCAAAAAAAGATGGACACCTGGTGAAGAGAGCATAAAGTTAAATGATATAGAGAAAAAGCCAGATGTCTCAGGGCGCCGAACAGTTAGAGTTTTTGGGACCCGAGTTGGGGTCAGGAGGGGTGGGGGTGGGAGGGTGGCTCAAAGCACAGTCGAAGAGGAACAACAACAACAAAATTACATTTGTATAGCTCCTTTCACATCGGGAGGACATCCCAGGAAGATCGTTAGGCAGGACTTGAAGGAGGTAAGAAGGGGGTGAGATGGAGGGATTGCAAGCTAGAGTTCCAGAGTGTGGGGTTAGAGATGGTGAATGCCCAAAAGCCAATGATGGGGTGGGAAGTGCAGGGGACCCAGAGCAGCAGTCAGTGCCCCATGTCCAGGGAGATGGAGACACAGCGACACTCTTTGACCAGTTGCACACGCCGATGTCGTGAGGGTGGTTGGAGGGCGGGGCAGTTGAGGATGATGGTGACTGAGACGAACCTCTTGGGTTTGCAGAAGGAGCAGGAGCGGAACGGTGGCGATCCGGGGATGTAGAAGGAGTTACATTGTCCGTAGCAGAAGCGGTTGATGACGGTGCGACTGACGCAACCATTTTCCCTCAGGGTCTGGTTGAAGGGATGGGACTTGCACCAGTCCTGGTGAACATGCCGGCGCTCGGTCACAATCACAGCCTTCCGGCTGGAATCCAGGACTGCTTCCTTGCTCCTCCTCAGACCCCGGGCAGCCAACACACCACGACCTTTGCTGGGAGCAGGGAAAGCACCTGGCATCCCAGCGCGTCTTGGCATCTCGGCACCGTTCAAAAGAGTGGATACGATCAAAAGGAGCAGTGCTCCGTAAAACATCCTGCAAGAGAGAGGCCAACGGTTAACACAGGGAATTGCATCTCGGAGCATTGCACACTGAAGAAGGAGGGAGAAGAGGGAGGGGGGATGACCACTGGAGGGGGTTCAAGGAGGTAGGGTTTGAGGTGGGATGTAAAGAGAGGGGACAGGACCGAGCGGTAGAGGGAGGGAGTTCCAGAAATTTAGGGCGTAGGACCTCAGGGCGCAGGCATTGATGAAGGTGGTGTGAAGAAGGTGAAGCACAGTTAGCAACAGAGAGCCACGGTCTTATCAATATTCATTTGGAGAAAGTGTGCTCTCATCCAGGACTCAATGTCAGACACTGGACCAGGACTGGAGTGGAGGGTGGAGGCAGACAGATAGAGTTGGGTGTCATTCCCATACGTGAATTTACACAAAACCCCATGACATCACCAAGTGGTGAGAGAAATGCAAGTTCACTTCTAAAAACTTCAACATTTCCACGGGAAAAAACTCCCTCTGAGCACTGTGACGTATTCACCACTTGAAAATCCAGCACCTGCCACATGCTTGCCACGGGCCAACTAACCACGCCCCCGCCTGTTTTTATGAATGCTTTTCTGACCGAGTGCTGCAAAGAACATGTTAATTTCTCAGAACGGAGAACAAGTTCCAGGAATGGTTATCTCCTGACAGTCAATGTGCCGAGCCGCAGAGTGACTCTGCGTTGCAGTGGAACAAGGTTTCAGGAACCGAGGCACGAGAAACTCATTCACAGAAAGTCTGGCTGGAAACACAGTGGCCGGGGTAGGGCCCACTCACTGTGACCAGGACGTCTGACTGATAGGATGATGGGAACAGCTCCTGAGCTCATTATACAATAACTATAAATGCTGGGCTCTGCCCACTGGCTCAAACACTGCCACTTGATAGAACAGCAGAATTATCAGAGGATCATCCTCGTTACTCTTCTCTGCACCTTAGGGGATCTAAGTTCAACTGATTTGCCTTGTTTGTTGCTGCCTCACACTGTTTTGACACAGTGAGCGATAATAATAATAATCCTTGCATTTGATATAGCGCCTCATCACGTCTTCAAGACATCTCAAAACGCTTCACAGGATATAATGTAAAATGCATTGACTGTATATTTTATGGGCAGACTGCGGCAGCCGATTGCGGACAGCAATGTCCCACAAACAATCGTGGATTGGGTGACCAAATTATTCATTTTTATTATTTTTAATAATGCCCAAATTTATAAAACTTGGGATTCATTAGCTTTCTTCACTTTGTCCACTTGCCATCCCAAGTATAAGATTATACACTGACCCCCCGCGGCTCTTGCAATGTCTGAATTCTGAAGCAATTTTTTCGGGAGGTTCTTTAAAGAACTACAGATAAACTAGTTTATCCTCTTTGACCGTGCTTACGGCCACCTCCCCTTTCTCCGGCTCGGAGTCAGGCTCCGCCACCGTTAAGTGTTCTGAGATGCTACCCTGCGTGGAAGGCGCTATATAAGTGCAAGTTGTTGTTAAACTTCCTTAAAATTAAGACAGAAACTAACAGTTGTCCCGATGTTGTGAATTGCTGAGACAGGGCTGGAGCCAGACGACCGTTCCCCCAGTGCTCCGCACTGATAAGCTGTGTTTTTTACTTGGTCTTTGCTCATCTCCTCTCTTTTCCTCCCTCAACGCACCCTCCCATGTTTACAATCCGACTGATAGCCCAGCTCAGGGCGTTAGTCCAGGGTAGGGCAAGTTCAATTCAGTTTAAGGAGACCGGAAGCATTCTGAGAAACTGATGATTAAATTCTAAAACATCCTTGATTTGGAGTTTCCCAGTATTGCCTGCCCTTTATCTGTCAACAAACAGGCTTGGGCTTCATTCAGTCCTCTGTTTCATAACCTTCCGCACAGCCACACACATCTCACCCAACACAAGGCCAGCCATGCCCTGTCCGTGGGGGGTGGGAGTGGGGAGTGCGGGTCAGCAGAAAGGGATGGGTGGGGGTGGGGGTCGTTCAGTTAGGCTATAATAACAATAAATAATCTTTGCATTTGATACAGGGCCTTATCAAGTTTTTGAGATGTTTCAGAGCGCTTCACAGAATATACTGGAAAGTAAATTGACTGTGTATTTTGTGGGCGAAACACGGCAACCAATTGCGCACAGCAGCATCCCTTATTCAAAGCGATTATTAATCCCAGAAAAGCAATCCGCCATTCGACTAGGTAAAATAAAATAAACATTTTATACTTGGCTGCCTTTCGGTAGATGATAGATTCAGGGTCAGTGATTGACTATCTTCGGGTAGCTGTATAATATAATTCAGAAAACAAAACAACAGTTGTTTTAATGTCTTTTTCATAAGTATTAGTGATACAATGATGGGGTAATTACCTCTTGGGCAGTGATGCAGACATTACCAGTTTAAGAGACAGCACTTCAAAGAGAGCAAATGGAAATAACTGCAAAGTTATTTTTACAAATAATAATAAATTTACAAACACAGAAACTGACCACATCAACACTCAACACTGTGCATCCCGTAATCTTATTCTTACTGCAACGCTTGCAGTGTCAGTGAGAAAGTGTGGGAATAGAAAATTACATCAACAGAGCGAAAGAGAGGAAGATAGGGAGAGAAAGGGAGTGAAGAGAGAAAAAAGGGAGAGAGAGAGTGAAAAAAGGGAGATAGAGAAAGAAAGTGAAAACAGAGAGAAAGAGAAATGAACAAGGGAGGAGAGAGGCAGAGAGAGTGCTCACACTGAGCACCTGAGAGACAAGTCTCACTGAAGCCAGGCAGACAGTGAAGCCCGCCTGACACTGGTTTATATAACAGTATGTTATATAAGCAATAATACAACAAGAACAACAATTTGCATTTATATATCTTGACGCTGGGGAGTGTCCTGGAGTGTTTCCGAAAGCCCAAGATATGAAAATAATAGTTTCATATCTGAGACATTCTCCCAAACATTTCCGCAGATTCTCTCCCTATCTTCCTATCCTCCATTTCAAGGTGACAGAAAGCGCAGTTTTCTGGATAATAATAATCCTGACATTTGATACAGCGCCTTATCACATCTTCGAGAGGTCTCAAAGCACTTCACAGGATACGCTGTAAGGTGAATTGGCTGTATATTTTGTGGGCAAAATGCAGCAGCCAATTGCCCACAGCAGTGTCTCAAAAACAGCCGTGGATTGAGTGACCAAATTATTACCGTTATTATGTTTTATGAGACTATTACCCCCGGAAAAGCAATCCGCCAATCGACTAACAACCAGGCTCCTACTTACTGCTAGGTAAACCGAGGCGTATGCGAAGAAAGGAAACTTGCCCAAGGTTTCGCCCTGATCCGCCCGGGAATTGAACCCAGGTCCTCTTGCTTGCAAAGCAAGTGCTCTAACCATTGAGCTACAGGATTCCACATATAACGGAAGAGTAACGAGAGAAGTTGAGAAGGGATCAGATAGCAGTGCTGAGCTGAGGGCTCAGTACAACCACAGCTTGAGACAAAGCACAAGAAGTGCAGAATTTTAACATTGATGACAACACAGACACACATCCCGGCACAGGCTCACCTGTTGCAGCAGCGGCTTCCAGCTCAAGTCTGAATCCTCAGCAGAGCGATCTCAGCCTTCTCCCCTCCCCTCCCCTCGCTTACTCACTCCTCCCTCCTTCATTCACTGCTCAGTGCTCCCTCACTCCCTCAGCTCCTGTTAACACTGCAAGCCAAAGCCCCTAACTCACGGGTATGGTGGTCCTAGCTGGACAAGCAGTGGGAAAACTTGCTACGCAGTGCTCTCAATGGCAAGCTCTGTGGTTTTAGCTGGTTAGACTCCAGCAGTTACCCCAACGCACATTCTGGGCTCCCCCCAAACCTGGGCTCTTGCCAACCTGTGCCTAATAGGTTCTGGAATTAGGTAAGCTGGGTGCATCCCTTTAGGGAGAGAGAGAGAGAGCGCATTCCAACAATCTATCTCTGAGATTTCCAGGTGTAGGTGGGATGAATGGAATTCTCAGTTTGGTTTGGAGACACTTAAGCAACAGCGATGGGTTTCCACATGTGTCAGACACCCGGATGGACAAAAAAAACTCCCTCACATGCTGCTCAGTCCTCCCTCATTCCCTCCACAATTTCCAGGTATCTTAATATATTTTTAGCCCTTTGCCAGCGTGGCGCAGTCAGTACAATATATAAATTTACATTTATTAGGACTCTGAGCTCACAATCCAGAAAGATGCTGCAACGCAGTGCTGGGGGAGTGCCTCATTGCCAGAGACGCCTTTGGATGAGATGTTGAGCCAAGAACCCCTTCCCCTCGGCTCGGCAACGTGCTCCGCCACCATCAAGCCCTCGATGATACCCTGCGTGAGATTATTAATGCAAGTTGTTTTACAGAGTTTTCGGCAAATTTTACAGAATATTATTTGATAATGAAAGTCATTGTATGATTACTACTTATTAGATTCCTGTTTTCACATTAGTTCAATCATCCTAAAGTTCGAAACAAATACACGAAACAAATACATTTGTGGAGTCCTGTAGCTCAGTGGTTAGAGCACTCGCTTTGCGAGTGAAGAGACCTGAGTTCAATTCCAGGCAGAGGGCGAAACCTCGGGCAAGTTTCCTTACTCCACACAGAGCCCAATAATAATCCCTCCAAAACCAAAAACAATAATAAATTGGTCATTTTCAATCTACGACTGTCTGTGGGACATTGCTGTGCGCAATTGGCTGCCGCGTTCGCCCACAAATATACAGTCAATTCACTTTGCAGTGTGTTCTGTGAAGCGCTTTGGGACGTCCTCCCGACGTGAAAAGCGCTATATCAAATGCAAGGATTATGAAGCATTGCTACATCTGTAGAAATGTAGAAATCTGTTTGAATGTGTCTCATGGGCAGCTTTACACGCGCTGTGCGCAATTGGCTGCCGCATTTCATCCACAAAACATACAGTCAATTCATTTTACAGTGTATTCTGTGCAGCGCTTTGAGACGTCTGGAAGATGTGATAAGGCGCTATAACAAATACAAGGATTATTATTGTGACACTGTCGGTCGCTGATGGAGCAGCAGCAATTCCTGCTGCCAGGATGGGAACAGATTGTTGCTGAGGTCAATCAACAATAACTTGCATTTATATAGCGTCCCTTATTATTATTATTATTATTCACGACGGGTAGCGTCCCAGAGCACTTGTCACACAGGAAGCGAGTGCGGGATTTTCTGTGATCCTCAACAACTCTCGGAAAGCGGAACGGGTTCTTTATCGCAATCTTTCCATTTCAATATCAAGTATTTTCTGAAGAGGTGTTGCAATTTGCGGTCCAGATCCTGGGCACTTCCTGTTACGGGGCATCACTTCCTGTTACACTTCCCTGCATTGGGGAGGGGCCTGGGGCAGGGGGAGGGTCTCAAGGAAAGGGAGGGGCTGAAGGGGAGGGTCTGGCGGCAGCGTCTACGAGCTCATAGAGACATTACATGGAGATCCCGTCTGTGACCTGTTCAGGTGAACGTTAAAGATCCACGCGGCGCTGTTGGATAAGATAAGAGTTTCTCTCTCTCCCAGTGTCCTGGCCGACAATCCCCCCCAGATAAAACCAATCGCTCGCTTCATGGCTGTCTGCGGGACTCTTGCATTCGCCTACAAAACACACAGTCACTACACTTTACAGTGAATCCGGTGACACCCTTTGAGATGTCCTCCCGGAGTAAAAAAATGCCATATTAAATGTGCGGATTATTGTTAGGAAGGATATCAAGGCCTTGGAGAGGGTGCAGAGGAGATAATAATAATAATCTTGCATTTGATATAGCGCTTTTCATGTCTTCTAGACATCTCAAAACGCTTCACTGGATAGACTGTAAAGTGAATTGACTGTATATTTGTGGGCGAAATGCGGCAACCAATTAATTGCGCACAACAGTTTCCCACAAACAGTCGTGGATTGAAATGACCAATTTATTATTTTTTTTCTTGAGAGATTATTATCAGGCGTGTGGAGTAAGAAAACTTGCCCAAGGTTTCACCTTGCCGGGAATCAAACCCAGGTCTCTCGCTTGTAAAATGAGTGCTCTAACCACTGAGCTACAGGACTCCACGTGTAAGCCCAGGTGTACCAGAATGGTACCAGGGATGAGGAACTTTAGTTATGTAGAGAGGCGAGAGAAGCTGGGATTTTTCTCCTTAGAGAAGAGAAGGTTAACGGGAGATTTGATAGAGGTGTTCAAAATTCTGAGGGGTTATGATAGAGTAGATAGGGAGAAACTATTCCCACGGTCAGGTGGGTCGATAACCAGAGGACACAGATTTAAGTTAATTGGCAAAAGAACCAGAGGGGAGGATATGGGGAAAGAGCGGGGGAGTGGGACTGATTGGGTACCTCTTCCAAAAAGCTGGCACGGGCACAGTGGGCTTAAATGCCCTCCTTCTGTGCTGTAATATTGTATGATTCTATGACACAAATTTCTGAGCTCGAGACTTGCAGTATTCACGCACACCACCAGGTGGGCCTAATACGCTGAGTCAAACACCCCCTCTCCCCCTCCACCCCCTTGAGTATCGGGGGGAGAGGGAGGGGTCAGGGAGGCCGGGCCGGGTTGATCCAAACTTTTGCCCAAATCACTTTATTCATAGAAACAAAGGAACAGGAGGAAGCTATTCAGCCCCTTGAACCTGTTCCGCCATTCTATTAGATCGTGGCTGATCTATACCTAAAGTCCACCCGCCTTTGCCTTGTACCCTTTAACACCCTGACCTAACAAATAGCTATCCACCTCAGTCTTGAATAGATCCGTAGCCTTTTGGGGGAGTGAGTTCCAGATTTCCACTTCCCCTTTGCCCCTAAATGGCCGAGTTCCAATTTTAAGATCATGCCCCTTGTTCTGGATTCCACACCAGAGGAAATAGTTTCTCCGCAGCTACCCTATCGAATCCCTTCATTATTTTAAACAACTCAAATCAGATCACCCTCCGCCTGTAAACTCAAGGGAATACATGCAGACAAGTTAATGCAAGCTTATTCAGTGGGTAAGGTTTGCAGCTGGTTCCTGTTAACCTCACAGTGCAAAACCCGATGGCTCAGGTGGTCCAGGGTGGACAAGTAGTGGGAAAGCTTATCTGAAAGAGCAGGAGCCTGGCTGACTCCCCACCCACCACCCGTCGTTTCCCTCCTTGTGTTTGTGTCATCTGTAAACTTCCAAGTTGTGCTGCTCAATTCCTGTTTTTGGGGCACCAGGCTTCACACATTCAAACCAGACTAAGAAATCCCTGCCTGCCACCCACTTGTGGAAATTCATGTCTATTGGAATGGAATGAGCGCTCTCTCTCTCTCTCTTTCTCCCCTGAGGAATGCCCTCTGCTTACCTAATTCCGGAGAGTATTAGGCGCAGGTTGGCAAGAGCCAAGGCTCGGTGGGCGGGGGAACCCAGAGTGTCCGTTTGGGTAACTGCTAGAATCTAACCAGTTAAAACCACGTAGCTCGTCACATTGTCACAAGCTTTCACATTGCTTTCCCAGCTAGGATCACCCTACCCGTTAGGGATTTGTTTTTCAACAGGAGCTGAGCGTGATGACTCCCCGCCCCCAGTGACTGGTCTGCTCTTCCCGGTCCTGCTGATGAATCAGGCCGGGCTGGGCTGTCATCAGTAATGAGCGCCCTGGAATACTACGAACCCGCCTCACTCAGGAACCGGGACTAAGACCGTCACAGAGGGCTGACTCAGTTTTGACATTCCGTTGGCAAGAACGTCAGCTTGAAGCCAGTTCAGCTCCAAGGAGACCCATGGAGGTGGGGGGTGGGGGAGGAGACTTCTATGATGGGAGCAGGGACCACATAAAACACTGAGAACCCACCTCCCCCGGGGACCAGTGCTGATGCAGTGAGCAGGGTGAGGGTGGGTGGGAAGGATGGGGCTGTCGTTGTGGGGGGTGAGGATGGAGGCAAGTTAGGGGTGGGGAGGTAGTGTGAGGCTGCTTGTGGCTTTGATCAGTTCCTGGTGCAAGAGTGGGGGGGGGAGGGGTTGCGTCAGACCACAGTTTAGAGAAGTGAAGCTCTAAGCGGGTTTTCACACCCAGAGACAGAGGCACAGCCCCAGCAGCGACAGAGCCTCCACAACTTCAACATGAACCGAAGAGAAAGTAAAAGGTGAGCAGTGCCTGGGCCAGACACACACAGACAGTCATGCATACACTGACAGTTGCACACACACACACACACAGGCAGAAACACACAGGCAAAAACACGCACACAGGCAGAAACAGACGTGAATTCAGACATGCACGGAACTGCTGCAAGGATGGTGAAGTGAAATTAACTCAGTTAGAGAGCACCACACACAGACAGATAGACACACAGAGTGACAGACTGGCTAACAGCAGGTGGGGGTACGGGGTGAAGAGGGTGACCCAATTGATGTACGTTAGACCTGTTGCCATCCCCTCCCTAGTCGGGAGGTTGTGGGTTGAGCCCCACGTCGGAGACTCTGAGCTCACAGTCCAGGCTGAGGTTCCAGCACAGCGATGGGGAGAGAGTGCATTGTCAGAAACGGTGTTCTTCGGATGAGATGTTAAACCTCATTCCCCAGTCGTTCCCTGTTCAGGTGGATGTTAAAGTTCTCCTGCGGCGCTGTCAGGGAAAAGAGAAGGAGTTTCTCTCTCCCTCTCCCAGTGTCCTAACCGACAATCCCCCGATACAATCCCTTGCTCGTTTCACGATTGTTTGTGAGACGTTGCTCTGCTGTGTTCACTTACACAGAAACTGTGCTTCACAGACAGATTTGAAGCAATTAGTCAATTGTAGTGATAAAGCAATGTATCAGATGTGAAAATTATTATTAACAGAGCAGCAAGCTCAGGCTTGCACCTGCTTTTATGTGCGGGGCGAAACTTTAGGTAAATTTCCATACTCCACACGCCTCTTTTTACAAGCAGTAAATAGGAACTCGGTTGTTCGTCACTTGGCGGATTGCTTTTCTGGGGGTAATAATTCCTTAAAGAAAATTAGTCACTCAATCCACGACTGTTTGTGGGACGCTCCTGTGTGCAATTGGCTGCTGAGTTTCATCCACAAAATACAGTCACAACACTTTACAGTATATTCTGTGAGGCGATTTGAGATGTCTCGATGTCATAGGCGCTATATCAAATGCAAGGATTATTATTATATGATAATGACATGTGTCTGAACGTAGAACACGCCTGTGTGTCGCACACCCCAGGTCTTGGTACATAGTCATACAAACGTGGGTGAATTGGCTGAGTGTGTGAGGTGTTGGCAGGGGGTTTGGGTTGGGCACTGAGCTGCACTGTGAGCTGGTGCTGTGGAAGGGGGCATAAAGCTGAGTGGATGTCAGGACAACAATCTGTTAAAACACAGTGTGTTTCTGTGGTGGCTCAACGATGGTGGAGATAAAGGGGAGATGATCAGAGGCACCAGAAGTCAAAGAGGGAGGTCTTCAACAACATTTACACAGCGCCCTTCACATCAGGAGGATGTCCAGCTGGACAGTCAGGGATCCATACCTGAGCTGGGGGTTGGAATCAGGAGGGGTGGAGGACAGGGAGGGGAGGTGTAGGAGGGTGACCGAAGGCACGGTCGAAAAGAGTCTCTAGGGAGGAAAGGGAGGGGAGCGAAGCAGAGGGAATGGGATGGAGTTCTGAGGGTGGGGGCAGAGAGACTGAGGACCGGTGGGGCGGGCAAGGTGGGGAACGTGAAGCAGGTTGGAGCCCACAGAGCGGTGGGAGCGCCAAGGTTGTTAGGGGTTAGGAGGTCACAGAGGTAGGGAGGAGCAAGGCCGTGGAGGGCTTTGAAGGTGAGCATCAGCTCTTCGGGTACCACGCATTTGTCACATCAAAGCTCAATTATGGAAATTCCCTCCTCATCGGCCTTTCCATCTCTTCCCTTCACAAGCTGCAGATCATCCAAAACTCTGCAGCTCATGTACTTTCACGCAGCACGCTCTGTGACCCCATTATTCCCACCCTCGCCCGACTCCACTGGCTCCCCATCCCTTAGAGGATCGGATTCAAGATCCTCGTCATCACTTTCAAGGCCTTACCCCATCTTACCTTTCTGACCCGCTGACTCCCTACCAACTTGCCTGCTCTCTGTTCAGCGGGTTCCGGCCTACCCCATGTCTCCCACCCGACCCGCCCTACCATCGGCGGCTGAGCTTTCAGCCTCTCTGCCCCCACACTCTGGAACTTCATCCCACAGTCCCTTCGCCTCACTTCCTCCCTTTCCTCCTTCAAGGCCAGTCTCAAAACCCTCCTCTTCGATCGTGCCTTCGGTCGCCCTCCCACCTCTCTGCCTTTCCTCACCCCTACCCCACCCCTCTCCCATGCTCGGGTCCCGATCCCTGACTGCCCAGTATCTTAGAACATCCTCTCGACATGAAAAGTGCTCTATAAATGTAATTTTGTCGTCGTTCAGTTATGATGTGAAGAAGGGTAAAGAAGGGACAAGGTGAGGATCGAGGCAGAGAATTCCAAAGTCTCGGGGTGTTAGTGGCTGGATGCACGGCCGCCGATGGAGGGGACGAGAGAGAAGCAGGAAGGCTGGAGCCCACTGAGCGAAGGGGTGGGGAGTGAATAGGTCAGGGAAGTAGGGAGGCGCTGGGGCGTGAGTTGATTCGCACGTGAATGAAATCGATCCATTCTGTGACAGGAGCCAGTGGGGTCATGTGGGGTGCGGAGTTTGGTGTGGATGAGGATACAGTCAACGGAGTGGTTGAATTAATTGGATTTTTTGAATGGTGGAGCTGGGAAGACCGGCAAGGAGGGTATTGGAATAATCGAGGCGGGAGGTGAAGAATGTGTGGACGAGGGTTTTGGCTGTCTGGGTAAGGTACTGTCAGAGGCGGGTGATGTGGCGAAAGTGGAAGAAAGCGGTCCTGGATGGAGTGAGTCTGAGGGAAAGGCGGAAGGTTAGGCTAACACTCCAGTGAAGTGTTAGAGAATGCTGCGTTGTCAGAAATGTCACCCTTTGGATGAAAGGAGATTGGAGTCGCAGGTAAGAAGACGTTGGCAGGAGCCGAGGAGTATGGTTTCCATTTTGTCAACATTCTGCTACAGAAATATGAGCTACAGCCCGTTCAGCCTTGATGACAAGCAAGCCAAGAGAATATCAGCGGACCTGGAGTCGCAGCTGGAGGAGGAGAAGTAGATTTGTGTGTCATCCGCATATATGTGGAAGTTGACCCCATGTCTGTGGATGACCTCACTGAGAGGGAGCATATAGATGAGCAAAAGTAGGGGGCCAAGGATGGATACCCTGGGGTGCAGCACAGGTAACCGAGTGAGGGCGGGAGGAGAAACCGATTGAGGAGATAAAGTGAAGGCAATTTGTTACATAGGACTCAGAATAGGTTAGTGCGGTCCCACTGAGGTGGATGAAGGAGGTGAGGCAGTGAAGGAGGATGTCATGGTCGATTGTGTAAAATGTGGTGGAGAGGTCCAGGAGGATGAGGAGGCAGAGGGAATCCTGGTCACAGAGAAAGAAAGAGAGAGAAAACATTGTGACCTTACCAAGCATTGTCTCTGTGCCTTGGGCAGGGCTGGAGGGGCTCGAGTAGGGAGTGGGGGAGAGGTGTGAGCGAGGTTGGGTGGCAACAAGACATTTCAGGACTTGAGAGGAGAGGTTTGGGTTGGGATCGTGAGAGTTTGTGAGAATCAAGGGATCAAAGGTGGGATTTTGAGGAGGGGGATGATGACAGTGGTTTGAGGGGGAGTGGAGCCAGAGGAGAAGGACAGACGTTTTGACTGGATTTTCTTCTGGACGTGAAAGGCACTATACAAATGTAATTTGTTGTTGCATGCGCTAGTAGGGGGAGAAGAGGGGGAGTTGCGTGGGGAGGGGGTTGAGGCAGCAGGTGATGGTTTCTTGTGAGGGATGAGGGAGAACTGGGGGCAAAGGCATGTAGGGTGGGGCAGTGATGGGGGACCGGAGCAGAGGAAGATAGGGGGCCACATCTGGCGTTGATGTGTGAGGACTGGATTGGGATTTAAAGGGAGCAGAGGTGGCTATGTAACAGGTGGAGGAGACATTCCAGGATTTCAGGGAATTGAGGGGAGAGGGGGATTAGACTGGGGAGAAGGGAGAGTGAGGAGAGCAAGGGAGAGTGGGGGTAGACTGGGGGAGCACTCATCATTCTCTATGTCTCCCCAGAGAATCTATTTCACTTTCAGTTCCAGGTTCTCAGTCATCTCATGTTATTGTCTGACACATTCAGGGACCGTCTCCAAACCATTGATAGACGCCAATGATTTCCTAGAACTGAAGGTTCAAACACTTCAATCACTGAGACTGGGTGAAAGTTGTCTGAAAATCCCCCCCCCCATCCCCACTCACCCAATCCCTTTACCTCACCCTGTGACTCTCACTCACTGTGTGGCTAACAGATGATTGACTGTGTTACCCATGGCCTTGCTTCTCCCTATCTCAGTGACCTAACCCGATCCCTCCGCTCAGCGGGCGCTGACCTGCTTTACGTCCTCCACCGAGCCCACCCCACCATTGGTGGGTGGGCCTTCAGCCTCTCTGCCACCACTCTCTGGAACTCCATCCCACAGTCCCTCCATCTTGTTACCTGCCTAGCCTCCTACAAAACCTGACTCAAGACCCTCCTTTTCAATCGTGCCTTCGGTCACCTTCCTACCCCTACCCTCCGCCCCTCCTCATCCCAACCAGCAGCTCGGATGCAGATCCCTGACTGTCCAGCGCCTTGGGACATCCTCCTGACGTGAAAGGCGCTGTGTAAATGTAATGTGTTGTATGAATGAATGATGTGAGATGTTTGGCTCTGGTGAGGCAGTTTGGTCATTCAACAGTCAGGGTCAGGGCGACAGGTCACCAGACACTCACTGGAAAAGACATTTGGAGACAAACAGGTATCAGCCTGGCTCACTCGCTTCTGCTCTCATCCTGGTCAGAAGGTGGGTTGTGGGTTCAAGCCCCATGTTCAGAATTTGAGCTCAAGGGCCAGGTTAATGCTCCAGTGCACTGTACTGCTCCTCACCATCCATGGTTGCACACTCCACTTTGCTAAGCCAGTCCAGAACCTTGGGGTCTTGTTCAACCAGCCTTTCTACCCCACATCTGCATCATGACGCGTTCTCCCACCTCCATAACGTCATACGGCTCCAACACTGTCTCACACCACAGGCCACCAAAATCCTCATACATGCCTTCATTACATTGAGGCTCAACTATGCAAATTCACTGCTTGTCGGCCTCCCCAACTCCTCCCTCCACAGGCTGCAGATCATCCAGAACTAACTCTGCAGCCCGTGTCCTCTCCTGCACTAGGCTCTGCGACCCTATCACCCCCATCCTTGCCCAACTCCACTGGCTTCCCATCACACAAAGGATATAGTTCAAGATCCTAGTCCTCACCTTCAAAGTCCTCCATGGTCTTGCTCCTCCCTACTTCTCCGACCTAACCCCCACCACCCTGTTCGTTCCCTCTGCTCAGCGGGCTCCAGCCTCCTTCACATCTCCCGCCTTGCTCGCCCCACTATCAGCAGGTGGGCCTTCAGCCGCTCTGCCCCCACCCTCTGGAACTCCATCCCGCAGTCCCTCACCCCTTCCCTTGCCACCTTCAAGACCCTCCTCTTCAACCGTGCTTTTGATCTCCCTGCTTCCCCCCCCCCCCCGCCCGCCCTCCATCTTCCCCTATCCCGACTCCAAGCTCGGGTCCGTAATCCTATCTGTCCAGCGCCTTGGGACGTCCTCTCGACGTGAAAGGCGCTATACAAGTATAATTTTTTTATTGTTGGGGTGGGAGAGCACCACATTGTCAGAGATGAAACCAGGGATGAGGGACTTTAGTTATGTGGTGGGACTAGAGTGGCTGAGGTTGTCCTCCTTAGAGAAGGCTGAGGGGAGATTTAATAGAGATGTCCAAAGTTATGAGGGATTTTGGTAGAGTAAATAAGGAGAAACTGTTAGATTATTATTCGTACTGCTGGGAATCAAACCCAAGCCCTTTTACTTGTGAGGCGAGTGCTCTAACCACTGAGATACAGGAGGATGTCTCAAAGCGCTTCACAGCATTTTAATATAAAGTGTAGTGACTGTCAGTTTGTAGGTGGACGCAGTAGCCGATGTATGAGCAGATTGATAGACATCCAGCGTGTTAGCTGCCGGGAACATCATCACCAGGCAATCTAACATGGCCATCAGTTTCTAACCATAACCCCAGACATTGTGCAAACGTTCCAAGAAGAAGCAGCCCTCCGCATTTCGTTGTGAGTCTATTCTCATTGTGAGATCAGATAATGCTGAGCGGCCACCAATGGCAATGCCGTTTGAGGTTTTGCAATGAGGTCGGTTTGCAACACTGCCCTAGCTCCTCGCTTATGACCTCCAAACCCCAACCCAGGTTAGAGGTCGCTCAGATACGGCACTATATAAAATTAAAGGATTATTGTAGATAATAACAGTAATAATAATCCTTGCATTCGATATAGCGCCTTATTACGTCCGACCGCCATCCTAGGCTCTTGGTAACTCACCGTTAAGAATCTGACTTCTGTTTGCTGGCCAGTAAATGGGAGACAGAAACACAGACACACACGTAGATGCATACAGAAACACACATACAGGCAGACTCATAGACACACACATAGAGAGACGGACACGCGCACACGGACACACACAACACACACACGCGCGGACAGAGAGACAGATAGAGTCACACACATAGAGAGAGAGACACATGTAGACGAACAGCCTTGCTTCCCTCCACTGCACTGATATTGAGCCTCGTTGCTGCTTTCTCCAACTTCACTGCCCTCAGACCTGCGGACTCCTCCCCTGTCTCTTCCTTTCCAGTTATTGTAGGTCAGACGTCACAAAACCACAACTTCCTGACTGATTTCATTCTCTCACCTACTTATTTCACCCTTACTGAGTTCCTGCACCGTGACCTTCTCCCCTTGTTCCTCTTCCTGGCTCCTCATCCCTCAGAGAATCAAATTCAAACCCTCATATACACCTTCAAAGCACTCCATGGTCCTTGCTGCCCCCTACCTCTGTGACCCCCCAATCAGCTTGTCCACTCCCTCCGCTCGGTGGACACCGGCCTGCTTCAGATACCCCCACTTCCCGCCCCACCATTGGCAGTCGGAGGTTCAGCATCTCTGCCCCCACACCCTGGAACTCTATCCCAAAATCCCTCCTCCTTACACCCGCCCCTCCCTTGCCTCCTTCAAGTCCTGTCTAAAGACCTTCCTCTTATCACATCTTCGAGATGTCTCAAAGCGCTTCACAGAATATACTGTAAAGTGTAGTGACGGTGTATTTTGTGGGTGAAACACGGCACTCAATTGTGCAGAGCAGTGTCCCACAAACATTCGTGGACTGAGTGACCACATTATTTTTTTTGGAAGGGATTATTACCCACGGGAAAGCGATCCGCCAATCGACTAACAACCGGGTTCCTACTTACTGCTGATAAACAGTGGCGTGTGTGTGGAGTAAGGAAACTTGCCCAACACTTCGCCCTGCCGGGAATCAAACCCAGGTCCTCTTGCTTGCAAGCCAAGTACTCTAATCACTGACCTACAGGTCTAATTTACTGGCGTGACTGTGGGGAGCGAGTGGTAAGCGCATCAGGAACGGAGCTCATAGTGAGTTTAGTGAGGAACTTCTTTACACACAAGCTTGTGAGAATGTGGAACTCGCTGCCGGAAGTTGTGGTTTGAATCAAAAACATCAACATATTCAAGAGGAAATTCGATGTGTACATAAGGGAGAGAGGAATAGAGGGGTGTGGGAGGGGAATAGAGGGTTATAGCAGAGGAATAGAGGGTTATAGGAGAGGAATAGAGTGCAGAAGAGGGGAATAGAAGGGTGTGGAAGAGGGGAATAGAAGGGTGTAGTCCCTTCACATTCATCCCACACTACCTCCGCCTCGCTCCCTCCCTTTCCTCTTTCGAGGACCGGCTTACGACCCTCCTTTTCGACCGCGCCTTCAGTCACCCTCCTACCCCTATCCCCCGCTCTCCACCCCTCCTGATCCCAACCACCAGCTCGGGTGCGGATCCTCAACTGTCCAGCACACTTGGGACGCCCTCCTGACGTGAAACGCGCCGCGTAAATTTAATCTGTTGCCTGTCTGTGGCTGATTGATGCCTGCCTCTGACTGACACTGTCTCTCGTTGGCGTGACAGGAAGTCCCGACAGGACAGCCTGCTGGTTGGGAAGAGCCGGCAGAGGAATGCCGGCGGAGGATGACATGCCCGAGCCCTGCAGAGATCAGCAAAGCCATCCTGTCTGTGCCGCAGCTCACCAAAACCCTCAGCCTACACGAGCTGGTCATGAAGTGTGTCCACTCGTTTGGTAAGTGCTTTCCACAGCCTGGTCTCGGGAGCCTGGCATCGGGAGCCTGGCATCGGGAGCCTGGCTTTGGGAAGCCTGATATTGGGAGGTTGGCATGGGAGACCTGTAGCTCATTGGTTACAGCACTTGCCTTGCAAGCGAGAGGACACCGGTTCGATTCCCGGCAGGGCGAAACATTGGGCAAATTTTCTTACTCTCACACACTCTGTTTACCAGCGGTCAGTAGGAACCTGGCTGTTAGTCAATTGGCGGATCACTTTTCCGGGGGTAATAATCCCTTCAAAAAAAAATGATAATAGTAATAAATTGGTCACTCAATCCATGACTGATGTGGGACACTGCTGTGTGCAGTGCTACCCAGTGCTACCGCTATTCCACAAAGACGTGATGAGGCGCTGGGATTATTGGGAGCCTGTCAGAGGGAGCCTGGCAGCGCCCTCGCCTCCACTCAATGCATCTTATTGTCTTATGCCTGGGCTGTGGTGTCCGAGTGAAGCTCTACGTGACACACGTGGCTGATCTTATTCTCCGGAGGCCATGAACCGTGACCTAGAATATTTCTTTTGTTTGACAATAATTAACAAGAGGCTTTAACCATCCTCAAACCTCAGTGATTTCCGCCTGACCAGAGTCCCGAGGGTTGGGGTTGGATTGACCTAGTTACATTTCTAGTCTATCATTCTGGTCAATCTCATATTAATATCCTCACAGTTACTGACCAATAATCCCTTCAAAATAAACAACTATAATAATAATCCCATCACTCAATCCAGGACTGTTTGTAGGGCATCGCTGTGTGCAATTGGCTGCCGCGTTTCGCCCACAAAATGTACAGACACTACATCTCCAGTGGATGCTGTGAAGCGCTTTGAGACATCTTGACGACATGATAAAATGCTGTATCAAATGCAAGGATTATTATTATTCTGTCTCCAGATGAGGACGGTGCCCTACGCTGTAACAGTCAGTCGGTGGATATGATGCTGATGATGCACAGCTGGATCGTCCCCTCAACTGATTTCGTTCAGAAACTGTTTCAGTTATATCCTTAATTATGTGTGTCTGTGGGTGTTTGTGTGTGGGGCGGCGGATGGGGAATGAGGGGGAGTGCGTGTGGCAGTATGTGTGTGGGAGGGGAGTGTGGGGCGGCTGTGGGTGTGTTGGAGGGGAAGGGTGTGGGTATGTGTACGTGAGTAGGGGTGGTGTGTTTTGGGGCGTTGTGTGTGTCTGGGGGGGTTCTGGGAGTGGGGAGGAGTGGTGTGGTAGGGGGTGTGGAGTATTGTGGAGGATAGGGGTAGTGTCTATGGTCGGGTTGGGACCAGGAGCTGAGGTTTAATCCTTGACAAGGGTCACATACCAGGACTCAAGCCCCCTGAGAGAGAGGCTTTGTCACTTTATCAGGTAACTATCTCACTCTCCTCACCAGGGACAATCTCACACACTCTCTCTGGCTCACACGCACACTCTCTCACACACATTCTCCGTCTCTGACTCACACACACGTCTCTGTCTCACCCACTCTCTGTCTGTATGGCTCACACCCACACACTCTCTCTGTCTCACGCTCTCTGTCTCACACTCTCTCTGTCTCACACACTTTTTGTCTCTGTCTCACAATCTCTCTCTGTCTCACGCACTCTGTCTCACGCACTCTGTCTCACACACTCTCTATCTCACACGCGCACACACACTCTGTCTCACACTCTGTCTCACACACTCTCTCTGCCTCTCACACACACACATTTTCTCTCTCTCTCTCTGTCTCACATTCCCTCTCTCTCTCTCTGTGCAGATATTGGATCACTCACTACCCAGCAGTGTTCACAATGGACAGTGACCTCGAGTTGGTTATGTTGAGGTTTTTGGAGTTCGTACGGAGGGAGGGCACCGAGGCTCACTCTCAGCTCATTGACACATCCAACATGTAAGTGGCACATGCGTGTTACATAGATTTACATACGGAAACTGTGCCAATGTCTATTCCATTTCCAGATCCTCTCACTCATCTTCAAACCCCTTCACGCTCTGTCACCCCCTCCCTCTCTGACCTGCTTTAACCCCCAACCCCTACCCGCTGCCTCCGCTCAACTGGCTCCAGCCCCTCCTGTCGGCAGCCGCGCTTTCAGCCACTATGCCAGGAAACTCTGGAGCACTCGCCCTCTATCTCTCCCTCTGCCATGCCTCCTCCTTCCCCATCTTCGGGTCGTGCCTTATGACCTTCCTCTTCAACCGCCCCTACGGTCAACTCCCCTCTCCCCTGGCTCGGCGTTGGAATCAGAGAGGGAAAAATTAAGGGGAAGGGTCAGTGAGTGGGAGGTGTCAATGAAGGGGAGAAAACAGTGCGGGGGGTGGGACAGTGAGTAGAGGGGTCAATGGGGGAGAGGAGTCAGTGAGTGGGGTGTCGGTGCTCGGGGAGGGGTCAGTGAGGACGAGGGGTTAGGGATGGGGAGAGGTCAGTGAGGGGTGGGTTCAGTGAGTAGGAAGGGGTCAGGGAGGGGGTGGACTCCATTGTCAGACTCCGCCACTGTGAGGCGCTCTGGGATACAAACTCGCGTGAGGTGCTGTGTAAATGCCCAATGCTGTTGTTGACTCTCTGCACAGACACCTACAGCAGTGGACACGGAGGCTGTCGCTGCTGGAGACGCCCAACAACAAGAAGAGGAAAGTCTCACTGCTCTTCGACCACCTGGAGCCCGGAGAGCTAGCCGAGCACCTCAGCTTCTTGGAGTTCAAAGCTTTCAGTCGGATATCGGTGAGAATCCCCCCCTCCGCTCTCGCTCGCTCGTTCGCTCACTCTCGCTCGTTCTCGGTCACTCGCGCTCTCGGTCACTCGCACTCTCGGTCACTCGCGCTCTCATTCTCTCGCTCACTCACCTTGGGTCTCTCGTTCACTCTCTCACTGACACTCTCTCTCTGGGGCTGTGTGTCTTACTCTCTCTCTCTCATTCTGTGTGTCTGTCTCTCTCGCTCTCTCTCTGGGTGGCAGTACCTGGATTACAGGAATTATGTTGTGTGTGGCTCGGTGCGAGAGAACCCGGCACTGGAGCGCAGCATCTCGCTGGTCAACGGGGTCTCGCAGTGGGTCCAACTCATGATCCTCAACAGACACACAGCGGCCCAGAGAGCAGAGGTCTTCACCAAGTTCATCCACGTCGCCCAGGTCTGTGTGTGTGTGTGTGTGTGTGTGAGACTGTGTGAGTGTGTTGTATGTGTGTCAGGTGTGTGTGACTACCCCCTCTTCGCTCCCTCCCTTCCCTCCCCTCACCCTGACCATTTCCCCCCCTCCTCGCTCGCTCCCTTCACCCTGACCATTTCCCCCCAATGCTCAGGTCCTGACCCAACTGTCCAGCGCTTTGGGACATCCTCCGGACGTGAAAGGCGCTCTATAAATGGAATCTTGTTGTTGTTGTTGTTGTTGAGTGTATCACAACACATGTCTCTCTCTCTCTCTCTCCCTCTCCCTTTCAGAAACTCCGTCAGTTACAGAACTTTAACACGCTGATGGCTGTGATCGGAGGCCTGTGTCACAGCGCAATATCCCGGCTGAAGGAAACCAGCTCGTTTCTCGCTCAGGACGTCTCCAAGGTCAACCTTTCGAACTCATCTCGTACCTACCACTCCCACGCCCCGCTCAGCCCCGCCCCGCCCACTCAGCCCCACCTCCGTCCCGGCCGCTCAGCCCCGCCCACACGCTCAGCACCGCCTCTGCCCACTCAGCCCCGCCCTTGCCCACTCAGCCCCACCTCCGTCCCGCCCACTCAGCCCCACCCACACGCTCAGCACCACCTCTGCCCTACGCACTCAGGCCCACTCAGCCCCACCCACCCACTCAGCCCTGCCTCTGCTCCGCCCACTCAGCCCCACCCCACTCACTCAGTCCCGCCCACCCACTCAGCCCCGCCTCTGCCTCTGCCCCGCCCACCCTGCCCCACCCACCCACCCAATTTCAGCCCCACCCAACCCCGAGCCCCTGCGGCTGTGTTACCGTGTGTCACTGTATTACTATGGCTGACCGCCTGCCCTGCGCTGACCGCCTGCCCTGCGCTGACCGCCTGCCCTGCGCTGACTGCCCACCCTGCACTGACTGTCTACCCTCTGTCCTGTGCTGACCCTCTCCCCCACAGGCGTTGGCTGAGATGACGGAGCTGTTGTCCTCGCGCAGCAACTTCGGGAGTTACCGGCGAGCGTTCAGCGAGTGCAGCGGCTTCAAGGTGCCGGTGGTGGGCGTCCACCTGAAGGACCTGGTGTCGCTCAGCGAGGCTCTGCCCGACTTCGTGGAAGGAAAGATCAATGTCAGCAAATTACACCAGCTTCACAGCCGCCTCCTGCCCCTCCTATCCACACAGAGCCACAAACCCCCCTTTGAAGCCAACAAGGACCTGCTCCACCTGCTCACGGTGAGGGGGGAGGGGCTGGGGTAATGGGGCTTGAGGGTTAAGGGGTTGAGGGTTCGGGGCTGGGGGTGGGGCTGAGAGTCTCTGTGACCCTCTGTGTCTGTCTCTCTCTATAGTTATCGCTTGACCTGTTTTACACTGAGGATGAAATCTACGAACTCTCCTACGCAAAGGAACCCAGAACCCATCGGACGGTGAGAATCCATACACGGGGTGGGGGGGGTTGCACACGAGGGGAGGGGTTGCACACACGGAGGGAGGGGTTGCACACACGGAGGGAGGGGTTGCACACACGGTGGGAGGGGTTGCACACACGGGGGGAGGGGTTGCACACGAGGGGACGGGTTGCACATACGGGGGGAGGTGTTGCACACACGGGGGGGAGGGGTTGCACACACGGGGGGGAGGGGTTGCACACACGGGGGGAGGGGTTGCACACACGGGGGGAGGGGTTGCACAAACGGGAGGAGGGGTTGCACACGGTGACAGTGACTGTGTTACAGCCAGTGACCCCCTGTAAGCCCCCAGTGCTGGGTGACTGGGGCTTGGACGTGATCCGGAAACTGGACGCTGTGACCGTCGGCAAACACGTACAGCAAATGGTGGATGTGAGTCTCACAATCGGTCTTTAGGGGTGATGGTGGGGGTGGGCTGTGATGGGGGTGAGGTTGTGTGTGTGTGATGGTGGGTGAGGGGTAGAGCTGCGAGCAGGGGGTGATGGGGGGGGAATGTGGGGCTATGATGGGGGGGACTGTGGGGCTGTGATTGGGGGGGGATTGTGGGGCTGAGATGGGGGGGGAAATGTGGGGCTGTGATGGACAATGTGGGATTATAATCTCTGCTTCGGCTCCTCAGTCTGTATTTAAGAATTACGACCACGATCAGGACGGCTACATCAGTCACGAGGAGTTTGAGAAAATCGCATCCATTTTCCCCTTCGCCATCCCCTTCAACCCACAGCGGTGAGCGGGGGCCAGTGGCGGGGCTGGGAGAGATACGGGGCTGGACGAGGGGCGGGTCTGGGAGAGGGGCAGAGTGGGCAGGATGGACGGGACAATGTGTGGTGTGCATTGAGGACACCCCAGGCTGTGCTGCCCTATTTGACCTGTGTCTCTGTGTGTGTGTCTCTGTGTGTGTGTCCCTGTGCTGTGTGTGTGTGTGTGTGTGTGTGCCATGTGCCCGTGTGTTCCAGGGAGGGGTTGCTGAGCCGGGAGGAGATCACCGGGCACCTGATGAGGGGCAGTGCCCTCTGCTCCCGGCCTGGCCAGCGTCACAGCTTCCAGGAGAACACCTTCATGAGGCCCACCTTCTGTGACATGTGCACCGGGTTTGTAAGTCACCACCCGCGCAGCGCCAGTTACAACAGGTATAGTGACTGTGTGCACAGCAACACACAGCCCCAGCGACATAATAATAATAATCCTGGCATTTGACCCGGTGCCTTATTGCGTCTTCGAGACATCTCAAAGCACTTCACAGGACACATTATAAAGTGTAGTGACTGTGTGTTTTGTGGGCGAAACGCAGCAGCCAATTGCGCCCAGCGACGTCCCCACAAACAGCCGTGGGTTGAAGTGACCAAATTATTATTTATTTAATAAATAAATTTAACTCCCACACACACACACACTGTTGCACACACTCACGCACACCATCGCACAATACAGCGCCCTTCACAAGGTATAGTGTCCCGGAGGCGCTCACACACTCTCCTCTCTCTGCACCGACCTGTTCTCAATTCATTTTCTTTCCTCCATAGCTATGGGGCGTCACCAAACAGGGCTACAGGTGTCAGGGTGAGCGTCGCTTACTCCCGTTAGCCGTGGAGGTGGGGGCTGTGTGCGTGGGGGCTGTGTGCGTGGGGGCTGTGTGCGTGGGGGCTGTGTGCGTGGGGGCTGTGTGTGGGGGGGCTGTGTGTGTTGGGGCTGTGTGTGACTCTTGTTGTGTACCTACAGACTGTGGAATTAACTGTCACAAACAGTGTGTGGAGCAGGTGACCCTCGAATGCAAGAAACGGACAAAGACCCCACATTGTGAGAGTGTTGTGTCCGTCAGCAACAGCAGCACCAGCACAGGTAACCCCCCCCAAACACACACACAAAGCCCCCTCCCATACACAGAGCCCCCGTACACATACCCCTTGCCCCTGTATTCACCCGAACTTGGGAGTGTGGGTTGGGGAGTTTAGAGGGAGCTTTGGTCTGTTAGGTCGGGCTGGGTGTGTAAGTGTGTCCTGGTGTGTTGCAGGTGTGGAGGACATCATCAGGGAGTGTCATCGCGACGATGTGAAGGACCGCATAGTGTTAATGATAGGCCGCGTAGCCCACCCCATTTCCGTGAGAGTGAAGCCTCCTGTGATGCACCAATTCACACAGACCGAGACCACCGCCCAGGCCACAAGCCCCCAGAGTGCAGAGAGTAGCCCCTTACACACTGAGCCGCACGGCCCCAACCCCCAGCCCCACGGCACGAGAGCCAGCCAACGAGAAGCCAACAATAGTGGGTGTGAACGCTGCTCACAGAGATGGCAGAACCTTCAGCAGGTGAGCAGAGAGACGGAGATCGAGACACGTGCTTAATATAATAATCCTTACATTTGACCCAGACATCTCAAAGCGCTTCACAGATACACTGTGAAAGTGTAGTGACTGTTTGTTTTATGGGTGAAACACGGCAGCCAACTGCACCCAGCGACGCCCCCGGAAACACCCTCCATCCTTCCTGATCCCAACTACCAGCTCGGGTGCAGATCTCTTGACCATCCAGCGCCTTGGGATGTCCTCCCGACGTAAAAGTAAATGTAACTTCTTGTTGTTGTAGGAGCAAAGGTTGGTCCCCGGGGAGACCCGGCTGCTGGAGGAGGAGCTGAGCAGTCTCCGGGCCCAGGTCAGGGCTCTCCAGGCCGAGGTGCAGGTACTGAGAAGCTCACAAGGAGTCCCCACCCTCACCCTGATTGTGGAGCAAATGGACAATCTGCACGTGCAGCAGGCTCCACGATAAACTCATCCGCACCAGCGACGGCCTCCACAGCTCAGGTGCCGAGGGTCTCAATAACTTGCATTTATAGAGCGCCCTTCACCCCGGGGTAGTGCCCCAAAGCGCAGACACATCACCATACGAATTTTCTGGGCGAAAGAAGACCAAGGTCCATCTAGTTCACCTTCCACCGGCCTGGCCATCGCTCGGATTACATCCTTCGTAAAGCGACAGCATCAAACACGGCCTCAGTTACCCTCAACGAGGTGCGGCCTGACCTCAGGCATCAGGAACTCACTGAGCCTCAGGGCAGTCAACAGCACCACCTCCAACTCTGCGGTGAGGGGAATTCCTTTTTTTTTTCTCGCCTAGCCGGGTGTTGACACGCACGGAAACCCGTCACCGTGACCGGCCGGGTGTCTGACACGCACAGAAACCCGTCACCGTGACCAGCCAGGTGTCTGACACCCACGGAAACCCGTCACTGTGACCAGCCGGACACACACGGAAACCCATCACCGTGACCAGCCGGGTGTCTGACGCGCACGGAAACCCGTCATCGTGACCGGCCGGGTGTCTGACACGCACGGAAACCCGTCACCGTGACCGGTCGGGTGTCTGACACAGACGGAAACCCGTCACCGTGACCGGTCGGGTGTCTGATGCATACGGAAACCCGTCACCGTGACCGGGTGTCTGACACATACGTCACCGTTGCTTAAGAGTCTCCAAACCCAACTGAGAATTCCCCACATCCCACTGCACATTGGTGAGATAGATTGTTGGAATGGAATGCGCTCCTTCTCACCCAATTTCAGAGAGTACTAAGCACAGGTTCACAAGAGCCAAGGCTTGGGAGGACCCCCGAGTGTGCGTTGGGGTAACTGCTGGAGTCTAACCAGCTAAACCCAGACACAGCTCAGCCATCGAGAGAGAGCGAGCGCTGTCTGGCCAAGCGTTCCCGCTGCTTGTCCAGCTGGGACCCCCCCCCCCTCCCTGTTAGTTAGGGCTTTGGCTGTGGGGTTAGCAGGAGCTGAGGGGGAGGATTCCCGGCCCCCAGTGACTGGTCAGCCCTTCCAGGTCCTGCTGATGAGCCGAGCCGGGTTGGGCTGAGATGCCCTGGAAGCCTGGCTCAGGAACCGGGACTAGAGACCCTCACAGAGTGGGGGGGGGGGTGCGCGGGGCTCGATCCCCACATTCCGTTGCCAAACATGCCACCTTGGGGCCAATTCAGCTCTGAGGGGACCCTGCGGTAATGACAGCGATGTGAGGGGTAATTAGAACGAGTGTGTGAGTGAGTGAGAGGGTAATTATAGTGAGTGTGTGAATGAGAGTGTGTGCGAGTGTGAGAAACACACACACACCCTATGATTAGTCCATGTAATGTCAGAGAACCATTCCAGTCAAATATAAACACCCGAGTCTGGTGGCGGCAAATTGAAAATATACATTTTTACAAAACTATTTTTGTGCCAATCTCGTCACTGAATGGCCCCGTGTGGCCCCGTGCCCCGCCCCCCCCACCAGCCCCAGCCCCATCTCTGCCCCACCCCACTCCCCAGCTCTGCCTTGCCCCCTGCCCCGCCCCATCCAAGCTCTGCCCAGCCCCCCCCCCCACCCTGTCACATAGCCCTTCCCCCACTCCACAGTGCTCCCAGGCCTCTCACCCCCCACCCCCCCAGCCCCCAGCTCTGCCCCCAGCCCCACCCACCATCTCATTGACAATTGACAACAATCCCCCCCAGAATGAGGGGCTGTAGACGTCTCCTTGAGAAAATCAGACGCAATCAAAGTACCCCCCGCCCGGGGTTTGCTGTGTGTCTGCCCCTCCCCCAGGGGAGGCTTTTCATGGTTGTTTGTGCCCTTTGCCCCTCTTCTGTTTGTTCCTCTTTCGCCCCCCTTCACCGCGGGGACCGTCCCACGTGGGCATCGGACGCTCCAAATCGCTCGGCCGCCCCCCCCGGTCTGGCACAGCCCCCATTACAACCTACAGAGAGAGTAGAGCGAGTCAGTGTGGCTAGCCCCGCCTCCAGCCAGTCCCGCCCCCTCCACCTCCAGGACCCGAGCCCCACCCTTCCCCAGTCAGCCCCAACTCCCCACAGCCGGCCCCACCCTCTCCCCCAGCCAGCGTCGCCCTCCCAGGCCTACCTCCTCCCTCCCCCAACCAGGCCCCGCGTTCCCCCTACCACACTGCCTCCCCACTAGCTCCACCCACCCCCTGCCGACCACACCATCGCCCGCTGGCTCCGGGCTCCCTCCCCCCACCCCGCTGTGCCGACCTTGTTGATGGCGCAGGCTGTGTGTTTGCGGCTGGCGAGGCTGGTGGTCTTGGTGACGATGGACAGGTCGTGCCGAGCGGCCAGCACATGGGCGAGGGTCACATGGCTCCTCGCACTCAGCTCTCGCCTGAGCGGCTCATACACACTCCTCACGGCAGCTCGACGTTCCTAACAGGACAAACACAGCCACTGAGCCCCAGAGCAACAACAACTGGCATTTATACAGCCAGTAGAGCCGGGCGAGCTTGGGGGGGCGCGGGGGCACGCGATGGGCTCACGGAGGCTGGTGCGGGACAGGACACGGGCTGCTTCCCGTTGCTTCACCCAGAAGCCAGGAGAAGCGTCAATTAACAGCGTCTTTCACGAGCAGCAGACGAGCTGACCTCGGCTCGCGGAGACCAGCGGAAGGATTGGATGGTCAGGTCCAGGCGATGGAGCAGCATCTGTTTCCGACATTCGTAATCCTTTCCCAAGACCTCACCGATCACCTCCAGTCGCTCCTGTAACACAGCCCCAAAGGTACACAGTCAATTCACTTGTCCTGTGCAGCGCTTTGAAACGTCTCGAAGACGTGATGAGGTGTTTTATCAAATGTAAGGATTATTATTACCCATTAAATACACACCTCCTCTTCCCCCATCACACACATATCTCCTCTCCCCCCCCCCCCCCCACCCAAACACACAAACACACCGTCTCTCTGTCTCTCATACACACCCACATACACCCCATCACACACACCCCATCACACACACCCCGTCACACACACGCCGTCACACACACGTACCCATTGTGCGGGCTCCAGGGAACAGGTGAGCAGTGCTGCCCCCACATCCTGCTCAGCAACCACCTCGCTTACCTAGAGTGAAACACGAGCGTCATCACGATACCAGGCAATCAGCTGATTAATACTCAGCTCCATCAAAATATCTCAGCCATTTATTTACACGAGGCATTTAAGCTTCCCATCACCCCGACCCTCGCCAGCCTCCACTGGCTCCCTATCACACACACTGAACCCCGTCCCCCCATCACCCCAGCCCTCGCCAGCCCCACTGCCTCCCTATCACACACACTGAACCCCGTCCCCCCATCACCCCAGCCCTCGCCAGCCCCCACTGGCTCCCTATCACACACACCAAACCCCGTCCCCCCATCACCCCGACCCTCGCCAGCCCCCACTGGCTCCCTATCACACACTGAACCCCGTCCCCCCCATCACCCCGACCCTCGCCAGCCCCCACTGGCTCCCTATCACACACACTGAACCCCGTCCCCCCATCACCCCAGCCCTCGCCAGCCTCCACTGGCTCCCCATCACCCCCACTAAACCCCGTCCCCCCACATCACCCCAGCCCTCGCCAGCCTCCACTGGCTCCCTATCACCCCCACTAAACCCCGTCCCCCCATCACCCCAGCCCTCGCCAGCCTCCACTGGCTCCCTATCACCCCCACTAAACCCCGTCCCCCATCACCCCAGCCCTCGCCAGCCTCCACTGGCTCCCTATCACACACACTAAACCCCGTCCCCCCATCACCCCGACCCTCGCCAGCCTCCACTGGCTCCCTATCGCAGAACGCATCAATTTCAACATCCTTTCACTCTTCACGCCCTGTCACCTTCCTCCCTCTCCCACCTGCTAACTCCCCAACCCACAACTCGACTGGCTCCGGCCTCCCTCTTGTCCCTCGTGCCCTCCGTTCCACCATCGATGGCCGCTACGCTTTCAGCCACTACATCCCGAAACACTCACACTCTCCCTCCCTCCCTCCGCCTCACTCCCTCCTTCCCCATCTTCAGGTCGTGCCTGAAGACCTTCCTCTTTGACCAGTGCCAACAATCACCTCCGCCCTCCCCCCCACCCCCGGCTCGGTGTCGGGCTCCCCCAATGTCAAGCGCTCTGGGACGCTGCCCTGCGTGAAGGGTCGCTGTTGTTGTCGGGACAGGCGAGTGCTCACCTTGGCTGTGAGTTGCGTGAGGAGCTGTGACAGGGAGGTGCGTGGGCTGGGCTGGGCCAGGCCCAGGTCTGTGAACAGACTCCGCAGCTCACAGTCCACATCTCCCCCCTCCTCCACCTCCCCCTCCCGCGGGGCTGGGGACTGGCGGCCATACAAACACCTGGCAGCTTGTAGCTCCGAGCTCAGGAACCCTGCGAGCAGACAACAGCCGGGTTTACAGGGCACACAATCACCCATTTGACACAGCGCCCGATCACGTCTTCGAGACGTCTCAAAGCGCTTCACAGAATATACTTTCAAGTGTGTATTTTGGGGGCGAAACGCGGCAGCCAAACACGCGCAGCAGCGTCCCACAAACCGCGTGGATTGAGGGACCAATTGATTATTATTATTTTACTTATGTATTGAAGGGATTATTAACCCCGGAAAAGTGATCCGCTAATCGACTAACAACCGGGTCCCTACCGACTGCTGGTAAACTGCTGGTAAAAAGTACACAGTGTGTGTGTGTGTAGTAAGGAAACTTGCCCAACGTGTCGCTCTGCTGGGAATCGAACCCAGGTCCTCTCGCTTGCGAGGCGAGCGCTCTTACCACTGAGCTACAGGATAATCCGGGACGTCTCAAAGTGCTTCGCGGGATATACTGTACAGTGTAGTGACTGTGTGTTTGTGGACGGACAATCCAAGCTCTGGACGGGAGAGAAAGTTGGTGAAAGTTCACAGACGTTTCAAGCCCTACCTCAACATCTGGACATGTGATAAGTGTCTGACATCTGGACATCAACCCCTGATACTCACCCAACAGCTGGAGGCAGGTCTCCTTGTTGGTCAGCCTGGCGGTCACGGGGCCAGTGGTGAGAGACGGATAGGGACATGCAGCTCTGCCAGCAGCCCACTCACCTCCAGCTGAAACGTCTCTGCATCATCGGGTCCTGCAAAACAGGATAATAATAATAATAATAATAATAATTCTTGCATTTGATGCAGCGCCTTATCCCGTCCTCAAGAACATCTCAAAGCACAGGATACACTGTAAAGTGCAGCGACTGTACATTTTTGTGGACGAAACGCCAGGAATTATTATCGTTCAAAGTGCAGTTCACCTTCGGTTGGGCTCACCCTCTCCTCCAGTGAGCAAACAGCCCTCAGCTCCTCCACGAGCCAAGCACACAGCCCCGCAAACCGGGGACACGAGGGTCCGGCCTCCACTGCCCGCAGCAGCTCACTGACCCCCACCAGCGGCCCCCCGTACCTGCAACAAAGCCACAGTCGGCGCTCTGCTCTGTTCCACTCCCCCCCCCTCCACACCCCCCCCCGGCCTCAAAACAGCAATAAAATAAAAATAATCCACGCGTTCGACACAGCGCCTCATCACGTCGTTGAGACGTCTCAAAGCGCTTCACAGAATATACTGTAAAGTGCAGTGGCTGTGCGTTTTGTGGGCGAAATGCGGCAGTCGTGAATTGAGTGACCAAGTTCTTATTATTTTGAAGGGATTATTACCCCCGGAAAGTGATACCCCCAATCAACTAACAAGCGGGTTCCTACTGACTGCTGGTAAACACAGGCGTGTGCGTGTGGTCTGTCTGCGTGTGCGTGTGTCTGTGGTGTGTGTGTGTGTAGTAAGGACACTTGCCCAATGTTTCGCCATGACCTGACCCGCCCGGGAATCGAAGCCGGGTCCTCTGGCTTGGGAGGCGCGGGGTCTAACCCCTGAGCTACAGGGCCTGTGGGGTGCGTGGAGGGGTCTAACCCCTGAGCTACAGGGTCTGTGGGGTGCGAGGGGAGGGGTCTAACCCCTGAGCTACAGGGCCTGTGGGGTGCGAGGCGAGGGGTCTAACCCCCCCCTGAGCTACGGGGAGACTCCACGTGTTATTTTGTGACTCGGGTGGATAGACTGAGCAGCTGAGCTGACACCTATGGCTGTTTTTTCGGACTGATTGTCCAGTAAATCGGTGGGTCAGGAGGTGGGGGGGGGGTGGGGCACGGGTGGGGGGGGGCACGGGTGGGGGGGGCAGGTGGGGGGGGGCCGGGTGCGGGGGGGTGTGGGTGGGGGAAGGAGCCAGCGGTCCGGTTGGTTTTACTCGGCTCGGGAGGGGCCTCCTGACAACAACAACAACGACCACCACCACAACAACAACCACAACAACAACCACAACAACTTGCTTGTTTGTAGAGTGGAGTCTCTCCCCGGAGCTCAGGGGGTTAGACCCCGCGCCTCGCGAGCGAGAGGACCCGGGTTCGATTCCCGGGCGGGTCAGGTCGGGGCGAAACATTGGTCAAGTGTCCTTACTCCCCCCCCCCCAGACCCCACCCCCCTCCCCCCACACACACACACACACCAGACACACACACACCAGACACACGCCTCTGTTCACCAGCGGTGAGCGGGAACCCACTCGTTAGCCGACCGGCGGATCGCTTTCTCGAGCATAATAATTCCTTGGGCCGCAGTCTGTCGGGAAGTAACCTGACCAACCCCCGGCCCCTTCCCCTGCCGCTGCCATGGAGGTGGGGGGGGGGGGGGGAGAGACACGAAGCAAAGCCGGTGTTTGCTGGGCGAAGGTTCACTGGAGAGGGAGTGGGCGGGTTTTTTTTTAGAAAAATCACACCAGGGAGGCGCGGGGGGCCGGATGCGGCCCGCGGGCCGGGTCGGCCCAGAGTCCAACCGGGAAGCCTCGCGGCCCGGGGGGCGGGTCACGTCGAAGCCCCGAGTGTGAAACCGTCCCCGACGACCGACGGCGGCACCAACCACAACAACAACAACAACAGCAGCCGTTACCCCAAGTCGCTGAGCGCCGCCGCCGTCACCTCCATCCGCTGCTTTACGGCAGTGAGGCTTCTTTTTTTTTCGCGTTGCGGCTCTTTGCTTTTACGGCAGTGGGCGGGGGGTCAGGTGATGTGGCTGCTTTACGGCAGCGAGGCGAGGTGACGTGTGTGTGTGGGTGGGTGGGTGTCGCCACTTTACGGCAGCGAGTACGGGGAGGAGGGTTTGGGGGCGGCGGGGGTTTGGCGGCCGCTTTACGGCAGTGAGGCCGCTCCGCCTTTGCTTTCCGGCAGTGAGGCCGCTGCCGGTTGGCGCAGTCACTATGGCGGCGCTGGAGCAGGCGGTGACCATGTACGAGCAGCTCCGGGCCGAGTGGAGCCGTAAGAGCCCGAACCTGAAGCGATGTGAGGACCTACTGGTCAAACTGAAGGTGACAGCAGCCTGAGGGGGGGGGTCCTGGGGGGGGGGGGCTGGGGGCTGGGGCCTGCGGGGGGGGGCTGGGGGGCTGGGGGGCGATCCTGAGGGGGGGCCCTGGGGTTCCTGAGGGGGAGGGGGCGTTCCTGAGGGGGGCTCTGGGGTTCCTGGTGGGGGGGCCCTGGGGTTCCTGAGGGGGGCTCTGGGGTTCCTGAGGGGGAGGGGCGATCCTGAGGGGGGGCCCTGGGGTTCCTGAGGGGGAGGGGCGATCCTGAGGGGGGGCCCTGGGGTTCCTGAGGGGGCCCTGGGGTTCCTGAGGGGGCCCTGGGGTTCCTGAGGGGGGCCCTGGGGTTCCTGAGGGGGGCCCTGGGGTTCCTGAGGGGGAGGGGCGATCCTGAGGGGGGGCCCTGGGGTTCCTGAGGGGGGCCCTGGGGTTCCTGAGGGGGGCCCTGGGGTTCCTGGTGGGGGGGCCCTGGGGTTCCTGAGGGGGGCCCTGGGGTTCCTGAGGGGGGGCCCTGGGAGCTATCCCCCCCCTCGGCCCCTGGTTGTTTCATGACAAAAATAATCACTTTTTATTTGGTTTAAAATCATTAAAAATAAATAATAATTAACCGATAATAAATAATCATAATAATAACAAACCCTTTGTGTTTCTCACAGCGCCGTCAAGTGTAGTGACTGTGTGTTTTGCGCCCAGTGATGATTCTTCCCCCCACCACCACCACCACCACCACACAAACGCCTACGGTCGCTTCACAGGACGTGCTGTAAAGCGTAGTGACTGTGCATTATTTGAGGAGTCTCTCCCTGTAGCTGCAACGGTTAGACCCCTCGTCTCGTGAGGCAGAGAGAGGACCCGGGTTCGATACCCGGGCGGGTCAGGGAGAAACATTGGGCAACTTTCCTTACTCCCTCTCCCCCCCCCCCCCCACAACCCACACGCACGCACGCACACGCCTGTTTCCCAGCAGTCAGTAGGAACCCGCTTGTTAGTCGTTTGGGGGCTCACTTTTCCGGGGGGTAATAATCCCTTCGAAATAATAATGAATTGGTCCCTCAATCCACGGCTGTTTGTGGGGGGACGTCGCAGCCGGGCGCAATCGGCCGCCGCGTTTCACCCACAAAAGCACACAGTCACTGCGCCTTGTGGCGTATCCCGTGAAGCGCTTGGCGGTGCCCCGAAGACGTGATCAGGCGCCGGGTCGGGCGCCGGGATTAGTATCATCAGCATCGGCCTTGAGGGCGTCGGTGACCCAACTGTGCAGCGCCTTGGGACGTCCTCCTGACGTGAAAGGCGCTTTATAAATGGAATCTTGTTGTTGTTGTTGTTGTTGCTGCTGCCGAGCGCAGTGTGAGCTCACGGCCGTTCGCGTTGTGTTACAGGTTTCTCTGCTGGAGCTAAACTTCCTGCCCACCTCAGGCACAAAGCTCACCAAGAGACAACTCATCCTCGCCCGTGAGTATAACAACAACTCCCCCCCCCCCCCCTCCTCTCTCTCTCCCTCTCCCACTCCCTCCCTCTCTCCAGCTCCCGACAACAAGAGTCTGAACCTGTTTTTCCTTTAAAGGGGATGTTCTGGAAATCGGAGCCCAATGGAGCATCCTAAAGAAAGAGATTCCTTCCTTTGAGCGTTACATGGCACAGCTCAAGTGTTATTACTTTGACTACAAGTAAGTCTCGTGTCAGTTACACAGAGAGAGCGACAGAGAGGGATGGAGAGAGAGAGAGAGAGAGAGTGACCAAATTATTATTTATTTAGATATTTTTGAAGGGATTACTACCAGCAGAAGAGCGATTAATAACTTACCTACTTCCTGCTAGGTAAACAGGCGCGCGCGCGAGTGTGTGTGTCTGTGTGTGTGTGTCTGTGTGGAGTAAGGAAAGTCGCCCCGACCTGCCTGGGAATCGAACCCGGGTCCTTTCGCTCTAACCACTGAGCTACAGGGACTCCACATCTTGTGAGGGACGTTCTCCTGGCCTGAAAGGCGCTGTACGAATAATAATAATCCTCGCATTTGACTCAGCGCCTCATCACGCCTTCGAGGCGCCTCAAAGCGCTTCACAGGATACACTGTAAAGTGCAGTGACTGTGCGTTTTGTGGCAGCCAGTTGCGCCCACGGCGACGTCCCCACGAACACGTCGTGGGTTGAGTGACCGAATTATTGTAAACAGGCAAGAGAGTCAGGGAGAACGCGTTGCGTGTTCTTGGGCTGTAGTTAAGCGCTCAGCGACGCTACCTCGCGTGGAGGGCGCTACGTGAATGCAAGTTGTTGTTGTTGTTGTATTGTGCTGTGTTTCTCTGCAGGGATGAGCTGCCCGAGTCAGCCTACAAGCACCAGCTGTTGGGGCTGAACCTGCTTTTCCTGTTGTCTCAGAACCGTGTGGCCGAGTTCCACACCGAGCTGGAGAGGTTGCCGGCGAAAGACATCCAGACGAACGTATACATCAAACACCCGGTGTCTTTGGAGCAGGTAAGAGGTGCGGGCAGGACGGCCGCAAACCGCGGTTCAGGAGAGTCGGGATTGTGAGAAGGTCTTGTTATAATAATAATAATAATCCTCGAACTTGACACAGCGTCTTATCACGTCTTCGAGACGTCTCGAAACGCCTCACGGAAGTGCAGTGACTGTACGTTTTCTGGGGCGAAATGCGGCAGCCGATTGCACACACCGATGTCCCACGTGTGTGTGGAGCGAGGAAACTTGCCCAACGTTTCGCCCCGCCCGGGAATCGAACCCAGGTCCTCTCGCTTGCGAGGCGAGAGCTCCAACCAAACGCTTTTAAAACAACCTCCCGACGTGAAAGGCACGGAATAAACCGCGAGGAGGACACGTACACAGGCCATTGCTCTGTGTTGTCTTTCAGTACCTGATGGAGGGGAGCTACAATAAGGTTTTCCTGGCAAAGGGGAACATTCCCGCTGAAAGTTACACCTTCTTTATTGACATCCTACTGGATACTATTCGGTGAGTTCCTGAGTGTGTGTGTGAGTGTGTGTGTTGGGCTGGGTTTGCGCTGGAGCCCAGCGCATTGAGTGACCAAATTATATATTTTTTTGAAGGAAATTTTACCTCCGGAAAAGCCATCCGCCAATCGGCTAACAGCCGGGTTCCCAGCTTGCTTACAAGTTGTTGGGATCTGGGATGCGTTGCCTGAAAGGCTGGTGGAAGCAGATTCGATAACAGCTTTCAAGAGAGAAGCAGATAGATGTTTGGGGAGGATACGTTTGCAGGGAGAGAGAGTGCGGGGGAGTGGGGTTGATCAGTGCTATGGGGAGAGAGAGAGAGCGTGGGAGTGGGGTTGATCAGTGCTTTGGGGAGAGAGTGGGATTGATTTGTGTAGCTCTTTCAAAGAGCAGCTACATACACGATGGACCGAATGGCCTCCTTCTGTGCTGTATGATTCAATGATTACTGCTGGTAAACAGGTGTGTGTGTGTTACAATGTGATACAGCTTTGGAAAGCAGGAAGGTCTGCCGGGGTGGGTGGGGTGTGATTTTTGTTGGGGGGTGGTGGGTGGGTGCACGGGTGACTTCTCGCAGAAAACGTTGGTGGTTTCGCTGCAGGGACGAGATCGCCGGCTGCATCGAGAAGGCGTACGAGAATATCTTCTTCAGCGAAGCTTCGAGGACCTTGTTTTTCAGCACCCCCAAAAAAATGACCGACTACGCCAAAAAGGTGGGTGCGGTCAGTCAATGGGGGGTGGGGGGGGGACTTGGTGAGGTGGGGCAAGCGAGGGGGTGAGTTGCGGGGTTGCGAAGGTGGGTGGGGGGGGACTGCAAGGGGTTGGGGGTGCTGGAGCGCACGTGCGAGGCGGGGTGGGGGTGTAGGGCAGGGGTTTGAGGTGGTGGGGGTGAGGGTGGGGGAATGTGAGGGGGTGAGGACGGGGAATGTGAGGGTGGGGGTATGTGAGGGTGGGCTTTGTGAAGATGGAGTTTGCAAGGCAGGAGGGTGCAGGGTGGGGAGCGCGAGGTGGGGGTGTGAGTTGCTGGGGAGTTGCAGGTGAGGAGAGGGGATGGGGAGGTGGGGTGGGGTGGGGGGGTCTCGGCTGACCTGGGCTGGTCTCTGCTCTGCTGTGACCCACTCTCCGCTGTGTTTCCCCTCAGCGAGGCTGGGTCTTGAGGCCCGACAACTGTTACTCCTTCACCACCCAGCAACACAAGCCTGAGGAGGCCACCATCCCGTCCACAGAACTCGCCAAACAGGTCATCGAGTACGCCCGGCACCTGGAAATGATCGTCTAGCGTGAGGGGGGGTGGGGAGAAGGGAGAGTGGGTGGGGGGTGGTGAGGGGTATCATAGTGATGGGGGGCATTATGTAGAGGAGCCAAGGGGTGGGCAGTTACCTGTCCTTGCCCCATATCCCTTAAAACCCCGACCTAACAAAATATCCCTATCAAAATGCGCTCACACGTGTACCGCACACCCACTCGTGCCCACATTTCACACCGTGGTGTGTATTTTGGGGTGTAAACTGCGTGTAGCCTCTACCGCAGTCTCTCAGCACAGGTCGGCATCTCACTCACCTGCCTGTCTCGGTATCTCAGGCTTCACCGTCGAGACTGAACGGAGAATCGGTGGTTCCTCAGCCTTACAATGTAATTTAATAAACTCTTTGAAACTAAAGCTCTTCGGTCTTTAAATTTCCAGGTCTGCCTTAATAACAACAGCAACAACAACAATCCTCGCATTGGATTACAGCGCCTTATCGCGTCTCCGAGACGTCCCAAAGAGCTTCACAGAACACGGTGCAAAGAGACTGTGCACTTTGTGGGCAAAACGCGGCCGTCAGCGACGTCCCCACAAACAGTCTTGGATTGAGCGACCAATTTATTATTATTATTATTTTTTTTTGAAGGGATTATTACCGCCGGAAAAGCGATCCGCTCAATCGACTTAACAGCCGGGTTCCTATTGACTGCTGGTAAACGGGGGCGTGCGTGAGTGCGTGAGTGCGCGTTTGCGTGCGGAGTAAGGAAACTTACCCAACATTTTGCCCCGATCCTCCCGGGAATCGAACCCAGGTCCTCTCGCTTGCGAGGCGACGGCTCTAACCACTGAGCTAAGGTCAGAAACTCCCGACAATACGCTGCCCAAACCAGACTGAGTCGCGAGACCGATAGCCAGTGACGTAGCCGGCCAGGCCGGGCGCCATTTTAGCGTCAAGGTTTACAACTCGACGCCAAATTGAACGCCTTTCACGTCGTGGGGTGGGGGGGGGGGGTGGGGAGGACTTTAGCCTCTGCGGAACTTGGGAAGTAATTTTTTTTGAGCTTTGAGGCTGGTCAAAATAACGTTTATTCACATATTGAATCTGGAATTAAAAAAATATACAATTAAAAACAATAAATACTTCACGATTATACGACTGCGAAAAAAAAAAAAAAAAAAAGTAGAAGGGTGGAAATTAAATAGGGGAGCACACACGGTAGTTCGGGGCGCACAGCGGAGCCATTCACTGAGATCACGGAGACCCAACGAGGGGAGTAATTAAAAAAATAAAACAGAACCAGTTTAGAAACAGTCTGAAGTTAAGTACAAGGAAGGAAATGGGGCAATGTCCCTCACCTCATACGGATGCACCAGATTTCAACCTCACCTTCAAGGAGTGGCCCCTCCGCCCCCATTTTTATTTATTTTTTTCCGCCTGCGCCCACTTTTTAACCCTTCGATCGTTTGGGATCCCGGTCGCTTTCCGATCGCGTGAGTCAGTGCAACGTTTGCGACGTTCGTCGAGAATGAACTGGGAACGGGAGGTATTCCATCACTGAATACAGGGAGTGTGCGTTGTGGGTGGTGGGGGGTGGGTGGGGGGGGGGGGGGGTGGGGGGTGGTAACTGTTGGAGTCTTAACCGGCTAAGCCCACGCGTAGCTTGGCTATTGAGAGAGAGTGAGAGAGAGAGCGCGATGACTGGAAAACTTTCCCGTTAGGACCACCCTCCCTGTGAGTTAGTTGGGGCTTTCGCTGCAGGGTTCGCTGCCCCCAGTGACTGCCAACGAGTCAGGCAGTGCTGCCGTCAGCAGTTGGACCAGGACT